AGGTAAATGGCATTTCCGTGCGCTGCTCTGGTTCACCAGAAGCGGCTTAGTCATACTGGCCACATGACCCGGAAGCTGTACGCCGGCTCCCTCATCCAATAAAGCGAGATGAGCGCCACAACCCCAGAGTCGGTCACGACTGGACCTAATGGTCAGGGGTCCCTTTAATGCTTTCAGCTCTTTGTTTTAACTTTGCATTGGTTTTACATTTGTATTATAAGTTACATTTTATTTAATAATAAAAAAGGGTGACCAATAAGTTCAGATAACAATATTAGTTAATTAATCAAACAAACAATAGTAGAACTGTAGGGTTGGAAGATTGCAGCTAATGCAGTGCCTTTGCACTTGGCATATTTTCCTTCAGAAGCTGCTGTATGATGGCCAAATGATTACAAAGAAGAGTTATTTCCAAGTGCACAACTGCCTTAGATCAACCCGTGTGACGCATGTTCAGAGAGACCTCAGTCCTGAGTGTGCTTCTTTGGAAGTAAGTTCCACAATATTCAATTGGACTCATCTTGAGTCTACGTGCTTCAGGTCATGTTCCAGAGTGACCAAAGGATTCATTAATCATGGTTTCCCTTCTGTGATGCAATGGCTCTCTTGTATCTTGGTGGGGCAACTGATCCCCCTGGGCTGGGAAGAGAAGAACTTCCTTTCCCCTTCTCTTGCACATATGAGGTTATTTATTACCGCACCGTTTCCATGTTCAGCAACATACAACCCACAGGTTCTGAAGTGCTAGAGAGGCCAGCGCTTTTTCCCTAGAAGTTCTTTATTACCACACCGGTACAATTACCATGAAGTTGTTACAGTAAATTTACAGTAAGTTTACAGTAACTTTTTAACAACAACAAAGGCGCCCTTGAGTACCCCCTGAAAAGAACGAGAACAGCTACAAAATGCTTTTTTAAAATCATTGTATTTGTTTTTAAATTTGTTTTTATTGATTAAATGCTTCATCAGGAATGTGCACATACAAGCAGCACTAGGAAAGAAAAAGGAACTGAACTGAAAAGGAAAGGAAAAAGAGATGATGTGTGCTTGTTGTGCATGACTTCCATGAAAGTGAGAAAACATCATTTCCCATCAGTTTGAAGTACTAATGCTTTAAATGCCAGACAACTAAGTATCATTGTGACTATACGAATGGAAAATAAATCCAGTGCGTAAATCTAATTCCTGGATAAACTAGCAATAAAGCTGACTGCTTAACAAACTCGACTACATAACAGATATGTACCATTAGCCCTGAGTGGCAGCAGTCACGAAATTAAAAGACGCCTGCTCCTTGGGAGAAAGGCGATGACAAACCTAGACAGCATCTTAAAAAGTAGAGACATCACCTTGCCAACAAAGGTCTGTATAGTTAAAGCCATGGTTTTCCCAGTAGTGATGTATGGAAGTGAGAGCTGGACCATCAAGAAGGCTGATCGCCGAAGAATTGATGCTTTTGAATTATGGTGCTGGAGGAGACTCTTGAGAATCCCATGGACTGCAAGAAGATCAAACATATCCATTCTTAAGGAAATCAGCCCTGAGTGCTCCCTGGAAGGACAGATCCTGAAGCTGAGGCTCCAATACTTTCGCCACCTCATGAGAAGAGAAGACTCCCTGGAAAAGACCCTGATGTTGGGAAAGATGGAGGGCACAAGGAGAAGGGGACGACAGAGGGCGAGATGTTTGGACAGTGTTCTCGAAGCTACAAGCATGAGTCTGACCAAACTTCGGGAGGCAGTGGAAGACAGGAGTGCCTGGCGTGCTCTGGTCCATGGGGTCACGAAGAGTCGGACACGACTAAACGACTAAACAACAACAATCATTAGCCCAGTAAGAAAAGTATGTGATATCTGTTCCTTTCAGCTTTTGCTCTGAATATATGCATCAAACCAAACTCCACCGGTAAGTATTATTAGTCACAAGCAAAATATAAACTGGGCCAATTCAAAATGTTGTTGTTTAGTCGTTTAGTCGTGTCCGACCCTTTGTGACCCCATGGGCCAGAGCACGCCAGGCACTGCTGTCTTCAATTCAAAATACATAAACTTAAATTCACCAGGTGGGTGAATATTGCAAGATTTACCTGTTTCCATAACTGACTTCTCCCACATCACCAACATTTTAGCTAGGAGCAAACACATCCAAACAGCAACTGCTTGGAGACATCAGCTTCTGCTCTGAGCATTGTTCTGCAAGCATCATTGTGACCTGATATTGTATTCCTTTTAAATGTCTGTGCTGATCCAACAGACCAGAAGTCATCTTACACAAGCCAATTTTTCAAACTCAAAGGTCCAATGCCGGGGTGACCTGAGCCAATAATTACACCAGGGTAGATAGATAAGGAAAAGATTTGTTCAGATTGCAGGAAGGAGAAGCAGAGGAATCAAACCTCAAATCTCTCATGCTTTTTATGGTGCGCTCAAACATCTTACACAATTTAACTTTATACATTAATGCTTCCTATGATTCCAATTACTACTGGCTTTACTGTAAACATAGAACAACCTACTTCTTCTTTTGTCTTCTCTTGAAAAGCCAGCTGTTGACAGCGTCATGGTCAACAAGATGGAAGGGGTGATTGGATGTCCGGTAGAATCATAGAATCATAGAGTTGGAAGAGACCACAAGGGCCATCGAGTCCAACCCCCTGCCAAGCAGGAAACACCATCAGAGCACTCGTGACATATGGTTGTCAAGCCTCTGCTTAAAGACCTCCAAAGAAGGAGACTCCACCACACTCCTTGGCAGCAAATTCCACTGTCGAACAGCTCTTACTGTCAGGAAGTTCTTCCTAATGTTTAGGTGGAATCTTCTTTCTTGTAGTTTGGATCCATTGCTCCGTGTCCGCTTCTCTGGAGCAGCAGAAAACAACCTTTCTCCCTCCTCTATGTGACATCCTTTTATATATTTGAACATGGCTATCATATCACCCCTTAACCTCCTCTTCAGCTTAGTTTGCTAACCAGTACAGGGGTTTTTTTGGGGGGGGGGGGAGTAGGAGAAGTGAAAAGAGCAAGATCAACTTCATAATCTCCAGGGCAACCACGGGTCTCTCTCAGATGGTCAGTGGTCCAGCTCACTTTGCAGGTCACACTCTTGACGTGATATTTGTCTCCAGTGAAATGAGTGGACTGAGGATACAGGAAGGGTAATGCACTCCCTTGCCATGGTCAGATTAGCCCAGTAAGAAATGTATGTGATATCTGTTCCTTTCAGCTTTTGCTCTGAATATATGCATCAAACTAAACAATTGTAAAGTAGGTGAATATTGCAAGATTTACCCATCTCCATAACTGACTTCAAGGGGCCAAGGGAGCTTCAGGGCCCCCCTAAAATATCGGAGGGGGTCAGGGCCCCCCAAAGTAGATGAGCATTGCTGTTCAAATGGTGTGTCTGCATAGTGCCATGTGACCAGGGGGTGGGGCTTGCCTGGATCTCCCCAATATTTTATTCAAGGTGGTACCCCTGGGTCAGACAATCCTCTGGTTAAGTATGGACTGACGGTGGCAGTCCCTTCCAGCCCCACCCCTCATTGTCCTCTATTTGTCTGGTTTAAATACTTTTTAAAAGAAACACAAGAAGGAAGAGCAGGAGGAGCATTGAAGCTGCCCACCAGCAATTGGCACGTTATACAAAATGTAAAGGTAAAGGGATCCCTGACCATTAGCTGACGACTCTGGGGTTGCGGTGCTCATCTCGGGTCATGTGGCCAGCATGACTAAGCCGCTTCTGGCGAACCAGAGCAGTGCATGGAAACGCCGTTTACCTTCCTGCTGGAGTGGTGCCTATTAATATTCACATATGTACTAGGAAATAATACAGTCATACCTCAGGTTATAGACGTTTAGGTTGCGTGTTTTCAGGTTGCGCACTGAGCCGAACCTGGAAGTACTGGAACGGGTTACTTCCGGGTTTCGGCACTTGAGCATGCACAGAAGCACTGAATCGCAACCCGTGTGTGTGCAGACTGCTGTGGGTTGCAAACGCTGCAGGTTGTGAACGTGCCTCCCGCATGGATCACGTTCACAACCCGAGTGTCCACTGTATCAAACTTTTAAAAAGAATGTATGGGTTAGGGTGTTTTTGTATATATTCAAGGGACACGGGTGGCGCTGTGGTCTAAACCACTGAGCCTCTTAGGCTTGCCGATCAGAAGGTTGGTGGTTCGAATCCTCACATCGGAGTTAGCTCCCGTTGCTCTGTCCCAGCTCCTGCCAACCTAGCAGTTCGAAAGCATGCCAGAGCAAGTAGATAAATAGGTACCACTGCGGCAGGAAGGTAAACGGTGTTTCTGTGCGCTCTGGTTTCCGTCAAGATGTTCCATTGTGCCAGAAGTGGTTTAGTCCTGCTGGCCACGTGACCCGGAAAGCTGTCTGTGGACAAACGCCGGCTCCCTCGGCCTGAAAGTGAGATTAGCGCCGCAACCCCATAGTCGCCTTTGACTGGACTTAACTGTCTAGGGGTCCTTTACCCTTTACCTTTACCACACACACACACACACACACACACACACACACATTTCTCTACACATTTTTGTGTCTTTTCGTTTTTTCTTTGCATCACTTTATTTCTTTAAAATTGTAAACTTTTCAATAGACTATTAATATCAAAAGAAGAAGAAAAGAAGAAATAATAATAACGATAATTGTTAATAATGACACTTGGGCAGCAGATGAAGCAGGCCGACAGGTGACCTGGCTGCCATTCCCCCACCATGGTGGTAAGATGCATTTATATTCCAGTCTTGCATGTATACTTGTAAATTACCGCATGCACCTGTTATGCAAATGTAAACTTTCTTTTGTCCGTGTTTCCGGTAATCCGCTTCCTCTTTCTTTGCCCCCATCCTGCAATTCTGTCCTTGCAGCAATCCTGTGAGTCAGATTAGGCAGAGCAATATCAACTTGGCAGCCCAGGGAGCCTCAGGAACCCAGATCATTCCTTGCCAGCGAACTTTGATGCTGCCTCTAGCACATGTCTTCTGGAGCCAGGAGCCCACAGCACAGACATAACACACACCAGGCAGCTTCTAGTGTCATGTTGCTGTGCTCTGGAGACGCACGGCAGGTGCAGAAAACAGAAACCCAGCACACACACACACACACCCAAAAAAATTCCGCAATGTGCAATGTGGGGAAATGAGACTTCTCCTTTTTAACGAGGATAAAAGCTGCAGCCCACTAGCCGAGTCGTTTGGCAGCGAGGGGGCACTATCTCAGCCACAGCCAACAAGCATCAGGGCTGCAGGGATTTAGCAGCGACCATGGGAGATACCTATATCCGACATATTGAACTGCTGGGCTACGAGAAGAGGTTTTTCCCAAGCCAGCACTATGTAAGTCTGTTGTTGTTACCTTATTATTAACTTACCTTTCCTCCTCAAAGTTCTCTTCTACGGTTCTCTTCCTCCTCGTTTTCTCCTCACAGCAACCCTGTGAGGTAGGTTAGGCTGAGAGTGAGTGGCTGGCCCGTGGCCACACAGGGAGCTTCATGGCATTGCGTGTGGGGTGGTGGTATTGTTTTGCTTTTTCTGTTTTAACTAATTGTTTAGGGAAGTTTTTAATGACTGGTGTTTTAATGTACTTTTAATCTTCGGTTGGAAACGCAGCCAAATGGGCGGGGTATAAATAATAAATTATTATTATTGTTATTATTAGTGCTTTTGTCTTGTATATTTTTTCTTGTGAACCACCATGAGATCTTTTGATGAAGGGCAGTACAGTGGTACCTTGGGTTAAGAACTTAATTCGTTCTGGAGGTCCGTTCTTAACCTGAAACTGTTCTTAACCTGAGGTACCACTTTAGCTAATGGGGCCTCCTGCCGCCGCCGCACAATTTCTGTTCTCATTCTGAAGCAAAGTTCTTAACCCGAGGTACTATTTCTGGGTTTGCGGAGTCTGTAACCTGAAGCATCTGTAACCTGAAGCGTCTGTAACCCGAGGTACCACTGTATTATAATAATAATAATAATAATAATAATAATAATAATGGCTGAGTAGGGATTTGAACCCTGGTCTCTCTCAACTCTTCCTAGTCAGGCACACTAACCACTGCACCACACTGCAGATGCGCCACAGATGGATGTACGATTGTTGGGAAGTACCTCATTCAGCCCACCTGGGGCTCCTGAGCAAAGGGGAAGGGAAAATATGCCTGTGAGAGACAGGCATTTAGAAAAGCTAAAGAGCTTTTCTATTCATCTCATTTTTGCTCCTCGTTATGTGGAAGATGCATCTTTTTAGTTCTGCTTTTGGCCCTTGTGATGTATAGTTTTAGGAACCACCCTATTCTTAGGACAGTAGTTTGTTTTCAGTGCTCTGTTTTCAATTGTTGTGACCCACCCTATGGCCTTAGGCTGAAGTCCAGGTAAAATAATAATAATAATAATAATAATAATAATAATAATGAAAAGTTGCAGTGCTGCCCACCCCAAAAACCGCCCAGGCAAGGCAGAGGCAAGCAATCGTCACTCAGCTGGGATTTGTGTATTTTGTTTATTAACTTAAATAATCTATATACTTCTTAACTACAGTAGTTCTCTAAAGGGAAAGGTAAAGGGACCCCTGACCATTAGGTCCAGCCGCGGAAGACTCTAGGGTTGCGGCGCTCATCTCGCTCTACTGGCCGAGGGAGCTGGCGTACAGCTTCCAGGTCATGTGGCCAGCATGACTAAGCCGCTTCTGGCAAACCAGAGCAGCGCACGGAAACGCCGTTTACCTTCCCGCCAGAGCGGTACCTATTTATCTACTTGCACTTTGATGCAGTTTACAAATATCCAATAATAATAAAAAAGGCATCAGTTAAAACTATAAAGTCAATCCTCAATTCATTGGATGTCCACAAGTCTCCAGTGTTATGAGAGGGGGAGAAAAACATTTTTTCTGCCCACTTTCTCCATGCTGTTCGTCGTTTTATATACCTCTCCTGCTGGCCCTTTCTTTAATCTGAAAAGGCAGAGAGTGAAGGAGGGTCATCTGGCTGGGAGATCCTGCTTAGATCTAGGGATAGCTTCAACTTTCATTTCATCCTTAGTCTGTCAAATCTGCACTTCGTACACCAGAATCCTTGGAAGTTTGCCCTTCTTTGAGGCTCCTAACACACATCTACCAACTGAAGAACTGGTCCAAAAGATGCGTACATTAGTGCAAACTGTGTGCAAAGCCATGTGGAAATTAATGTACCAAAACGCATTCTATCAGGTGTGGTGTTAGCAAACTCCTTGCAAAAAAGTGTAGGCAACAAAAATGAGCATATCATGCTCACACGCATTTTTGTGCAATTTTTTTTTTTTTTAAATTGCAACATTATGCAGAAATGGCAGGAACCAAGCTTAAGGTTGGAAGAATGAGAAACCGAGAGGATCTGAAATTGACGGGTGTGTCTATGCCTGGTTTGGACATCACTCCCTGACCTCCCCACTGTTGTTTGCTATCGATTCTGGACCCTGCTTTCTTTCGTTCCCCTTTGCCGGTTAACAGCAAACCCTGAGCCACACACTCAAGCCTTGGCAGGGATTTTCTTGGCCTTCCTTCTTTTTATAACGCTATTTCACCATGATGATCTGCAGGAAGAGGATAGATAAGTCATTCTGAGCCGCCCAGGGAACTTCAGCATTTAAGGGCTTGGTGATCAACACTGGTGCAGATTCATAGGGGTGGGGTTTTCTGCAACCAATAAGAGAGAGAGTGTGTGTTATGTGCTGAGTTGAATAGGATCCAAAAGGCAGCAGTCTGATTGGTCCTAGAACAATAGGATTCAGAATGCAGCAGTCTGATTAGTCCACAGGAGCCACCCAATCCAGCTCCAGGTGGAAATGAATCCGCAACCTGATTGGCCTACAGGTGAGTCCCGGAATTAGCCAATCACGTGGGGCCCATTGTGTAAATAATGTATATAAAGCAGACATTCTGGGGGAACTTCCATTCCTCCTCACCACTATGAGCTGAATAAAGAGCATGAAATCCACTCTCAACTCCAAGTATATTTCAGAGAGCAGGGTCATCGGCCCTCTTTTCCACTTAGGTTAAACATGATCAGCCTCTGCTTGGAAGGAAATGCAGTGGTACCTTGGTTCTCGAACTTAATCCGTTCTGGGAGTCCGTTCGACTCCCGAAACCATTCAAAAACTAAAGCTCGGCTTCCGATTGGCTGCAGGAGCTTCCTGCACTCAAGCGGAAGCCGTGTCGGATGTTTGGCTTCCGAAAAAAACGTTCGCAAACTGGAACACTCACTTCCAGGTTTGCGGCATTTGGGAGCCAATTTGTTTGGTAACTAAGCTGTTCGAGAACCAAGGTACGACTGTGCTTTAATTTGCAATCTCACTGTTCTGATCTCACAAATGCCTGCAAGGAAATCCTCTCTGCTGTTGTCATACGTTTCCGAGCACAATTCAAAGTGTTGGTGCTGACCTTTAAAGCCCTAAACGGTCTCGGTCCAGTATATCTGAAGGAACGTCTCCACCCCCGGTGGACACTGAGGTCCAGCTCCGAGGACCTTCTGGTGGTTCCCTCACTGTGAGAAGTCAAGTTGCAGAGAACCAGGTCTTCTCGGTAGTGGCACCCGCCCTGTGGAACGCCCTCCCACCAGATGTCAAAGAGAACAACAACTACCAGACTTTTAGAAGACATCTGAAGGCATCCCTGTTTAGGGAAGCTTTTAATGTTTGAGGCGTTACTGTATTTTAATATTGTGTTGGAAGCCGCCCAGAGTGGCTGGGGAAACCCAGCCAGATGGGTGGGGTATAAATAATAATAATAATAATAATAATAATAATAATTATTATTATTATTATTATTATTATTATAATACTTTCCCCTCCCCTGCCTGAGAAAGAGCTAGGTAAGAGGCTCAGGGATGGATGAGGAAACCTGTTGGACTACAACTCCCATCATTCCTGGCCATGCTGACTGGGGCTGATGGGAACCTGACACCTCAAAAGCCCCAGTTTCTGTGTCCCCAAGATATGGAAAGGCCACATTAAATGTGTGAGTGGTGGCAAGTTTTCAGGTGCCTCAGGTGTCAATGCTCATGCCAAATTTGGCCTCTTGGGAAAAGGCAGGCCAGAGCCCAGGTGATCCACATTGAAAAGATAGCGCTGGTTTTTCGCTTGCTGTGTTTTTAAAAACCTGCATTTTCTTCAGCCTGTAAGGGAAAAAGAGATGGAAGGAGCACGGGGGACTCCCAGATGACTTGTTTACTGAGCACGCACCTGGATTTGTTTCCAGGGAGATTAGATGACGTTGCACTTTCCCATCACTTTGTTCATTGCAAATGTCATCTTTTGAGGAAGCAGGTTTGTTGCACAACAGCTCAACTTTAATTGTGCAATTGGAATTAGCCAGCACTTGATTGAAAGTCCCGCAGACCGCAACAATCTGGAAGTGCCCCAGGGGTGAAGCAACAGCCAGCAGGCTTATGATTCGAGTGCTCTATCATGTGGCTTCCCTGTAGAAAGGGGGGGGGGGGAACCATGTGAACGAAGGCAGGAAATTCCACCCCATGTGCATTGCTTGGGAATACCCTCGCTTAGAGGAGGCTGCGAGGGAACAGCCACCGTTCTAAAGCACAGCAAATGCTTTGCGCACCCAAAATCCCAGGTTCATTCCCTGGGATTTCCAGTCCATGGGCAGCATGGCAAGAGGAGATAATGGATAGCTCAGTTGGTAGAGTGCAAGGCTCTTAATATCGGGGTCATGAGTTCAAGCCCCACACTGGGTAACTGATCTGTTGAAAATGCAACTTGAAAAAAGAGACAATACACATATTTTTGCAAATTAAGAAATCTTTCATATTGTGGGTTGTTTTTTTTTTAAGATTCGTGCATTGCAAGGGGTTGGACTAGATGACCCCTGAGGTCCCTTTCAACTCTACAATTTAGTGATTCTATAATTGTTTGATTCTTCTGTGCCTGCTGCCCTCCAACACAAGGCTGTAACACACCCATAAGTCAACCCTGCATTTTACGACATGAAAAAAACAAACACCAGTCGTACAATGAAAAACCACAAGTCCGTTTCCAGATTCAGATATGCTTCCATTAGTGAATATTTGTGGACTGTTTTCAGGATGTCTACATTAGTTGCTTATTCTAGAACTAGGAAAACTGGCATTGTTTTGTGCTTAAAGCTTCAGTTTCTGATGAGTGTTTCTGCAGGACCAGAAGCACTCTAGGATTCCAGTGTCAAAGCAGATAACACCTATTTTTAATGCATTTTATTTTTGAACATAATGTGTGTAACATTCGTCATTAATGGAGTCTCCCTGCACATCTAAATTCGGCGCCCTCTGAACAGCCTGGGATGAAGAGTAGGGTTGCCTGGGGGAGGCCATTTGAAAGCTTTCGCTGATTCTGAACAACAGTCTATTCTCCTTGTCAGGTCTACATGTTTCTGGTGAAATGGCAAGATCTCACCGAGAAAGTTGTGTATCGGAAGTTCACCGAGATCTACGACTTCCATGTAAGTAAACTGTTGGGTCTCTGGCGCCTTAAGAGTGTCCGGCTAATTTCGATGTCTTTCTGTTCTAGGATGTGCATTCATTACATTGCCAAAGAAGACTGAAAGGAGGACTTGCATAAAATGTGCATGGGCTAATCTATATGGACACCTGCAGATTTAGAAATAATTGCTGTTATTTCAGATAGGCCTCCTTTTCACCTTTTAGGAGTTAAATCATAGCAGTCATTCCTGAATCTGCATCTATACATATAATATAATGCCATGCAAACCTGTGGCCTCCTTTTTTCTTTTCTTTTTAGGGTGTGTGTGCCGCTCTAGGGCAACTTTATGTGGTTGCTCCTCTTTCTTAGGAAATACAAGTACATACTGAAGAAATGAGCCTATGCTGCCAATTCTCATAGTAGACCAGTATAAATTAAGCAGTACATAAGCGGCACACAAAACGCTACCAAACCATTCTACGTTCTAAATCTTATATTAATAATCTAAAAATTGAAAGAGCTATGTACAAGATCTACTACAGAAGCCACAAACAGAAAACTCATTCAAATTGTGTCCAAAAGGAAGATTCAGTCTTTAAAATTCCTTTAGCCAGGCTCCTGTAGATATCAACAAAGGTAAGTTTGATCAAACGAAGTGTCAGCGCTCAAGGGTTAGATATCAACGAGGACAAACGCCGGCACCCTGTCTAACTCTGTGTAACTGCCAACCTAGCAGTTTGAAAGCACGTCAAAGTGCAAGTAGATAAATAGGTGCCTCTCCGGCAGGAAGGTAAACGGCGTTTCCGTGCACTGCTCTGGTTCGCCAGAAGCGGCTTAGTCATGCTGGCCACATGACCCGGAAGCTGGATGCCGGCTCCCTCAGCCAATAAAGCGAGATGAGCGCCGCAATCCCAGAGTTGGCCACGACTGGACCGGATGGTCAGGGCTCCCTTTACCTTTACTTTATGGTGCCTTAGGGCAACTTTCTGTGGTTGCTCCTCTTTCTTAGGAAGACAGGATGTCATTTTGAGTAGTTCTCTGAGCAGCCCATTGGGACTGTGGGGTGGAAGGCAGTGGGGATCAAGGGTAAGAGGAACCAGAGCTATCAAAAAATACGCGCTCGCAAGCATTGTGGACAAACCTTACAAATCTCACTAAAACTGGAAAGAAGAGCAGCCGAGTAGGTGGTCAACAAAAGAGGGTGATTCCTGCATTGTTCTCTTTTTAATGCAGCTGGTTGGAATTTCTGAGCTGCCTGGTTTAAATATTATTTCATGAGATAGTCATATGATGAGAATTCAACATTTCAGGTCTTTCCCTTTTTTTGCAAGCCGCAAAGAGGAAGTCTGCTGCTGCCTTTGCCGTCAACCTTGTGCCTTGCTCTTTTGTTTTCTTGTTTTGGGAAGGCTGAGGTGGAAACCCAGGGGAGGGGCAGCCACTGGGTCACTCTGGGGCACTCAGACTTTGTAATCCCAGATCTCCCTCCATTCAGCCCCCATGAGACCAGTGGAGGCTGACCCACTGCAACAAATGAGGCACTGCCTCACCAAACTCAGTCTGCTCCTAGCCAGCCTCTTCCTGCCAGACTTCTTACTTACAACCAATCGGGGCGGCTTTGCCTGTCATTTGCTCTGGCGCCACCTACTGCCAGCCTCCTGCCTTCCACCCTACCAGTTAGCACTTCACAGGACAGTCCCTGCTTCTTGTTGCTGGTTCCTGTCATATGGCTGTCCCACTGCCTGGTCATGTCCGGCTCTTTGGCCACAGATTTAAGGCATTGCGACACAATGTAAAATGGTCACAGCTTCTCTCAAATCATTCTGGGAGCTATAGTTTGTTAAGGGTGCTGAGAGTTGTGAGGAGACCCCTGTTCCCCTCAGAGAGCTGCAGAGTGATTTAACAATCAACCTCTCTTCTCAGGGGACTTTGGGAATTGTAGTTCTGTGTGGAGAATTGGGGGGGGGGGGCTCCTAACAACTCTCAGGACCCTTAACAAACTGCAGCTCCCAAAATTCTTTGGGGGGGAAATTGATTGAAGTGATATCACAGCACTTTAAATGTATGGTGTCAATGCAGCCGTTGTTGAATGGGGATTTGCTTTTTAAAAAGTAAATTGCGGACACACACCCCTCCTCACAATCTGCGTCAGGATCCCGTAGAAAAGGATGAAAGATTAAGGGACTCCTCTCTCCCCGCCCTGCATCAGGGTCCCAGTCCAGACTTCCGCTCCCCTGTCTGCAATTTACTTTTTAAAAGCAGGGGAAGCAATTGCTAATTGCCAAAGTGATGGGAATGGAGGTCCCTTATTAAATTACTGACTGAAAGTGACTAAACGCACCCGATGATTTGTTTTGCGTCCATACTTTCATCTAGAATTCTAAGGCTGCTCTTGCTTTCTCTTCTTTCTCCAGAAAACTTTAAAGGAGATGTTTCCTATTGAATCTGGGGACATTAGTGTTGAGAACAGGATCATTCCTCACTTGCCTGGTAAGTAAGCCAGTACAACTGCCAGTTCTAGGTTCTTGGCATTGCCCTGAGTCTGGAGATATAAAGCCAGCCCTGATTTACAATCAGCACTATATTTTAAATTATCATCGTGGCGAACGTGTCTGAAATTTTAAACTGCTGGCCTAAATTACTTTTTAAACTGTATGTTTAAATCACATTTCCCACCTCCCAAAGAATCATGGGAACTGTAGTTTGTTTGCCACCGAGCTACAATCTCCAGTACCTTTAAGAAACTCAGTTTCTCAGGATTCTTTGCAGGTGTGTGTTTATGTAGGATCCTTCTTCCCAGCTATTCAGGGCTTTCCTTTGGTGGAGCGTGAAAGCAGTCTTCACATGCTCAAAAGAACACCTCCCACCTCATCATATTACCATATTTTTCCGTGTATAACACGCCCCCCCTTGTATAAGACGACCCCTAATTTTTTGGACTGCAAAAAAATTGGGGGGAAATTGCCCAAAGTTGTTGAGCTTCTTTTGAGGGGGAGGGGGGAGTCACCGCTGCCAATCGCTCTACAACCTGCCCACCAATGCAAATTGCACGCATCGCCGTGGCCAACAATCGTCTGCATGCTCGCTGCCAAAAGCCCACCTGCACACTCAACGCAACCACAGCCGACTGCACACACACCTTGCCGCTGTCGTAAATAGCACACCCAATTGCCACAGCCAATCATCACCAGGCCTTGCTGCAGCAACCACTCACATGCAAAATCACCTCTGCCAATCTCCTGCTGGCTGCTGCCACCAATCGCCCGTCTGATAGCCGTCTATGAAACGACCCGCAATTTTCGCCTATTAATTCTAAGGAAAAATTGTCGTCTATTACACAGAAAAATGCAGTATATTATTTCACAAGATTTAAGGCTGAGCCCCAGTACAGTGGTACCTCAGGTTAAATACTTAATTCATTCCGGAGGTCCGTTCTTAACCTGAAACTGTTCTTAACCTGAAGCACCACTTTAGCCTATGGGGCCTCCTGCTGCCGCTGTGCCACTGGAGCACAATTTCTGTTCTCATCCTGAAGCAAAGTTCTTAACCCGAGGTACTATTTCTGGGTTAGCAGAGTCTGTAACCTGAAGCGTATGTAACCTGAAGCATATGTAACCCAAGGTACCACTGTACTTTAACATTTCACTGGCAGCACCTAAATGTTCTCTGGTTTCTGGTAAGCTCTGGGAAATGGGCAGACTGAATGTTCCTTTTGGAAACGTGGCAATGTAGAGACTGTAGTGTCTTTAGGATACATGGTTTACTGGCACATATATACAACCTGAGCTTATGATGGAGGGGCTCACAGCGTCAGCACCCCAAGAGGGTCTCATTTCTCCCAAAGACTTGAATTCAAACAGAAATCAACCACTGTGCTCTGACCTTCTCTCCAACTTGCTGCTTTTTCTAGCCTGCAACCTTTCCCCCCCTCTAGGTCACATCACAGCCAACTCTCAGCTCTGCCTTTGTCTTCTAACTAACTCTGAATTGAGGGCATGGTCCCACCCATTTGCTGTCTGACCCAGACTCCACTCTCCTATTTACTTTCTTAATGGCCTATTCCTTTGTTCTCCTAATGGCCCATCTCCCAGGCGATCACCTGAACACAGGAAGCTTGGGTATAGGGATTAGCAGTTTAACCCCCCAAGCCTTGATTATATTCTAACGCCTACTGGACCCAGGAATTTAGTGGTGCCTGGCACTCACAAAGTCATAACATTGTCATTGCTCAAACGCTCACTTCCTATGTAGTAACCAGGAACACATTTAGATCTTTGGTTTGTCCAAATCAGTTGTCTTGCAAATGCAGTGGGTTTCGGGCGCTGAAATAACTGTTCCGTTGCAGTTGATTGACCAAGCAGCCACATGTGGTTTTAAAAAAAAATTGTTCCTGTTCCCTTTTGGATCCTGTTTACATAATGATGAGAAATGGCCAAGTCTTGAACCAAGTCACAAACTGAGACACAAGCGTACAATGTCTGTTTCAGTTTCTTTCAATTTCTCATTTTCCCAACCACATCTGTGTATTATTATTTTTTTATTTTGAAGTTGGCATTTGAATGTGAATTTCTCCCAAAATACACATTTTTCTATGCAAATTTGCCCAGAATATACTCCTTCTTTGTCAAGAATTTCTCCCCGAAGTAACACATTTTTGTATGGTATTCTCACCAGTCTTATGCATGTTTGTGAATCTTACTGGGCTGGAGAACTGCACTGGAAAATTTGGAGAGGTGCAGCTTTAGAAAGGTAGTTTTGCCTGTTAGGTAGTGTCACCTGAAATGCAAACTGAATTGACTGGAATAGGCATTGACCGGACGGGATGGGGTAGTCCTCTGGCATGATGAAATGCAAACTCCTTTGTTCCTTCCTACCCATCTATCTAGCGCCAAGGTGGTTTGACAGCCAGCGAGTCACCCAAAATCGGCAAGACACGCTCTCCGAGTACACCATGGCCCTCATCAACCTGCCTCGCAAGATCTCCCAGTGTGGACATGTCTTGACCTTCTTCAAAGTCAGACCGGATGACCTGAACCCACCTATAGCAAGCCAGTGAGTATTGTCAGGACGCTGGGAGACACCTATTGGGCTAAGACTGGAGGGAAGGGTCCATAGGGAGGAAGGGACCCATGTCCATCTCGAACTCGGTGTCAGCACCTGATACTTTGGGTAGCTCTAAGAAGTCCAGTGTCACCCTCTCCTAGGGCTCATTGCCACTTACCCTCTCACTGCCGCTTCTGGTAAATGACTCTGAAAAGTGCCATTTACAGTATCTCAGTACAGCCCCTTCCCAGTGGCAGCTGCTCCCCAGCCATGTTTCTCAAACTTGGGTCCCTAGCTGTTGTTGGACTACAACTCCCATCATCTGTAACTAGCAGGAATGGTGATCAGGGATGATGGGGGTTGTAGTCCAACGACATTTATTAGAGAAACACCGCTTGGGCCTGGTAGGGCAGAACACAGGGAGCCAGCCAGTAGGGGGTGCCAGAGCTGATGACAGGCAGAGCCATCTCCTTCTAGTTTCCCCCCCCCATCTGCCTTCTCTCTGCTGAGTTCTACAAGGGCGACCCTGAGACTAAGGAGGAGGAAGCGGACAGTCAGGGCCACTCCTTGGCCTGCTTGTGAGATATAAGGCAAGCAAGCTGGCTGGAGGCAGGCTGAAGTTGGTGGTCCAGCCTCCATAGACATCTAACTTGACACTGCATGGCAAGACAAGAGTTCATGGTTGTGGCCCACTCCACAGAAAAAGAGTCAGTGCTGTTCATGTTTATAGTCCATGTTTCAATTACTCAAAGTATGTTACCTTTGTAATCCTTGCAACAGCCCTGAAAATCAGGCCAGTGTGATTATCCAACATGCTGTGAGTTCATGACTTGCTTGAGGCCACCAGTTCGAGTCTGTGGCTGGGATGGAAGACTTGACAATTCCAACAGTGTTTGCCTTTGATTCTTTTCCCCTTAGCGTCAAGAAACCGGAAACCTTTTTGATGCCAAAAGACTCCAAGAAGATTGCAGCAGGTAATTAAAAAGCAGAAGTGGTGAAATCCTTCCCGCTCGTCTTGCCTACCTCTTTCCCTTCAGTGGTTGTATGTTACTGCCAGGATCGCAGTCTGCCTTGCCCTCAGCAGCACTAAGGTCTAAAAGGGAGCTGTGGTTGCCCTCATGTCCCACGTGCCGCTTCTTCAGAAACATCTGGCTGGGTAGTTGGTTAAGGACGTTAGGAATCATAGCTCTGTGAAGCATAAACTGCAGTGCTCAGGATTCTTTGGGAGTAGCCATGCGCTTTCATAGGATCCTAGAGTTGGAAGAGACCCCAAAGGGTCATCAAGTCCAACCTTGGGCTAGTCATACTTCTTTGAAGTCTCTCAGCCCCACTCACCTCACAGAGTGTTTGTTATGGGGGAGGAAGGGAAAGGAGATTGTTAGCTGCTTTGAGACTCCTTTGGGTAGTGATAAAGCGGGATATCAAATTCAAACTCTTTTTCTTCTCTTCTTCACTGCCTCCTCTGCTTTCTGGATTCATAAATTGCCACAAGGACTAAAAACACGGCGCTCTCTCTTAACTAAAAGCGGCACTGGGAACTCTATGAAAGCAGTTCTCAAGTCTATTTCTCAGATTTCACCTTCCGCCCTGTTATGTACTGAGTTGAATAGGATCCAAACTGCAGCAGTCTGATTGGTCCTAGAACAATAGGATTCAGAATGCAGCAGTCTGATTGGTCCTAGAACAATGCAGCAGTATGATTGGTTGGCAGGAACCACCCAATCCTGCTTCAGATAGAACTGAATCCACAACCTGATTGGCTTACAGTAGAATTCCAGAATTAGCCAATCATGTGCAGCCCATTGTGTAAATAATGTATATAAAGCAGATACTGTGAGGGGACATTCATTCATTCCTCCTCACCACTATGAGCTGAATAAAGAGCATGAAATCACTTTGCGACTCTGAGTATATTTCACGCCCCAAACTCTGTGCCCTCTTTATCCTAGAACCATGTGTGTGTGGAGAATTAGCTCACCGTTATTCAGTGGGGAGGGAGATCCTCTGCATGGCACAAAACGTACTGTATTAAGTTTGCACGAGGCGCTGGCCCCTCGCACTCCAGACAGGTCTGAGGGGCTCAGCTCCAGCAAATCCTGGCTCAGACGGGGCCCTTGAGAGTTCCCCTAATCACAGCCGCTTCTCCTCCTGAGAGCCAGTGTGGTGTAGTGGTTAAAAGCAGTGGACTCGTAATCTGGTGAACCGGGTTCACATCTCCGCTCCTCCACTTGGAGGTGACCTTGGGCTAATCACTCTTCTTTGAGGTCTCTCAGCCCCACTCACCTCACAGACTGTTTGTTGTGGGGGAGGAAGGGAAAGGAGAATGTTAGCCACTTTGAGACTCCTTCGGGTAGTGATAAAGCAGGATATCAAATCCAAACTCTTCTTCTTCCTCCTCCAATAGATATCACAGGACCCATCATCCTACAGACGTATCGGGCAATTGGCGACTATGAGAAGAACTCCAGCACTGAGATGGGGGTCAAGATGGGGGACCTGGTGGACGTCGTGGAGAAAAGCGAAAGCGGTAAGGAGAGAGAGATGGTGTTTATCTCTTGGGAGAGGGGCTGGTTTTACAACGGTGGCAGAGAAAGTAGTGAACGTGCTATTCCATAGTCATAATTTTACTATTTATACCCCCGCCCATTTAACCGGGTTGCCCCAGCCACTCTGGGCGTCTTCCACCACATATAAAAGCATAATAAAACATTAAACATTTTTTTAAAAAGAGCTTCCCTATACAGAGCTGCCTTCAGATGGCTCGGGAGTCGCATAACTCCAAACCCTGCAACATTTCTGTGATGACAGTGAGGATGTCCTAAGGAAAAGTGAGACATTCCAGGATCAAAACAGAAACTGGGGTGACTTCTGTAAATCCAGGAAAATAGGGACACTTGGAGGGTCTGTACTTTGGCCGCAGCAGGAGGCTGACCCCCAAGCGGAGGCTAACAATGTTGCATCTCTGGGTCCATGGCGTCCCTTGAGGTCTTCTCCTGGTGCCTTCATGGAGAGCCTCTGATTCCCTCACTGCCTCCTTGGTCATGAGATGAGGGCAGTGGTTTCCCTTTCCTCCCTCAAAACGTGCATAGAGTTGAAAGAGGAAGTTCGAAGAGCGGTGCCTTCCCCCACTTCCTCTTCTGGCTCTATGTGCTTTCCAAGGCTCGTATTATTTCTATCGCCTCTTGACTTTGGCCCAGGTCCTTTGGAAAAGCTAAGTGTGCCCACTTTCTTTCTCCCCGTCTTTGATGGGGCAGATGAGCAGACGAGAGAAGTGGTCTGTTGGCAGGCCAAGGACAGATAAAACAAAGTCCTTCTTAAAGGTAAAGGGTAAAGGGACCCCTGACCATTAGGTCCAGTCGTGGCTGACTCTGGGGTTGCGGCGCTCATCTCGTTTTACTGGCCGAGGGAGCCGGCATACAGCTTCCGGGTCATGTGGCCAGCATGACTAAGCTGCTTCTGGCGAACCAGAGCAGCGCACGGAAACGCCGTTTACCTTCCCGCCAGAGTGGTACCTATTTATCTACTTGCACTTTGAAGTGCTTTCGAACTGCTAGGTTGGCAGGAGCTGGGACCGAGCAACGGGAGCTCACCCTGTCGCGGCGATTTGAAATGCTGACCTTCTGATCGTCAAGTCCTAGGCTCTGTGGTTTAACCCACAGCGCCATCCACGTCCCTTGCCAAAGTCCTTCTTAGCATACAGTTAATCTGTGGAATATTATCAGACAGGAGGCAGCAATGTCCATCAATGGCAATGCTTCTGAATACCATTTGCTGGAAACTGCCGGAGAGAACAGTGTGCTCTTGTGTTCAGATCCTGCTTCCAGGTTTCCAGAAGTTGCTGGACTAGATGGGCCATTGGTCTGATCCAGCAGGCTCTTTTGAAGACCTGAAGAGGTGGCACCCACACTGCTTCCTCAAAAAATCAAAATAAGCCCATGGGTCTAAAGAGGTTGATGACCCGTGCAGGCATTAAGCATAACCAGCTGCACTTCTGATGTGTAAACTTTAGAGACAGGTAACTTGGTCCAGGAGGACACCGATTTATTTATCTGTTTGTCTCGCTCCAGGTTGGTGGTTCTGTCAGCAGACGAACAAACGGGGTTGGGTCCCTGCTGCCTACCTCGAACCTATGGATGGTCCAGACGAGTCTGAAGAACAGGATCCCAACTATGCAGGTAAAACTAACCCTCTCTGTTGGGTCCGTGGATGCCCAGGTCCCGATTAACCCTGAAGTTAAACGGCAGCGTTTGAAAGATAGCTATCTTTCAGCCTCTGTTTTCCTATCTGTAAAATGGGAACAATAGCGATCCACACCACACATGGCTATCACGAAGGGGATTGCAATTCAGATCAGAAAGCACGTTGTGTGTGCTTTAACTGTGCAAACTGAAGGATGACTATCAATGAGATGATTATTGGGTCTTTTGTTGCTGCGCAAACTCCTGAGTCCTTCTTGATGGCCCTCTGCTCCTTTGTTTTAAGGGGAACTCCATGTTGTCCGGAAAGGCTACACAGCCGCCCAGGAAGACGAGATCACTCTGAAGGAAGGGGAAACCATAGAAGTTATCCATAAACTGCTTGATGGATGGTGGGTTGTCAGGTGAGGAACCAAAGAAGGGCTGGTGGAAATAAACATCACCTAGTCTGTGGCAATTGGAGGTATCCTGCCTTTGAATGTGGAGGCTCCATTTCTGTCTACTGTGGCTAATGGACATGGACTGTTCTGCCCTAAGGACTTGTTTGGACCTTTCAGAAATCCCTTCCGCTAACCTGGGGCCCTCCAGATGTTTGGGGACTACAACTCCCATCAGGTGCATGGTGGGGCTGATGGAATCATGGCTGCACTGGCGAGGGTTGATGGGAGTTGTGGTCTAAAGGACCTGGAGGGCACCAGGATGAAGGAGGAAGGACTCTGTCTAATACAGCTTACTGTGTCTCTTATTGGCCATCATTCAAAGTGTACCTTTACTGGGTGGAGGGCGAAACAGGATCACACCTCTTGCTCCCATGTCAGGGGGTCCAGTGTGATATTTGAAAGTGGAGCACACATATTTTTGTGTGCTGTTTTACCCACATAGGCTCCAACCAGGAAAACCTCTTTCAAATATTGTGCTGAATCTGTGGATGTCAAAAAAGTGTGTTTATCAAAAGTGGGGGCAGCATTGCTCATGGTGTGGGAGATTGGGGTTATGTCCTCCTTCACCCTCCTGGGATTAAGGCTCTCTGTCCGCTTGCCAACCACAGCACTCCTTCCTCTTTTCTTCTTGTGGGTAAATTGATGCTGTTTCTGAAATCTCAGGAAGGACGAAACTACAGGCTATTACCCGTCGATGTATCTGCAGAAATCTGGGGAGCTGAATAACCCAGAGAACAATCAGCTGAGGAACAAAGGAGCCCCACCTCGAAGGTAGCGCGTGTGTGTGTGTGTGTGTGTGTGTGTGTGTGTTGGTGGAAGAAGATGCTTTTGGTAATTTTTGGCATGGGGACAATAATTAAAAGGACTGGTGCAAGACATTTTTCTGCATGAGTCAAATCAAACAATTGCAAACACTTCCCATTCCACATACAGAGGCTGATTGCACCACCATAAGCAAATTTATTACATGACCCACTAGCTTTGACACCTTAAAAATATACTTTGACAATTTCCTAAACATGAACCAGTTTTTTTTTTTTATTATTCTGGGGGTACTCAAGGGTACGCAATACCGTCTCCTTTTTTTCCTAGAAGAAAAGCACTGATATGAACAGTTAGGTTAAAAAAAAAATTAAGGAAGAAGTTAAAATAATCAGAAAGCTTTTGACACAGTTGAATGAAACCTAATTAAAACTAAAGCAAAACTGAACATACTCTTAAATTTCTCAGATGTGACTGTACTAGCTCATTCTGCCCGGTGCTTCCTTGCAGCTGCAGTGCTGTCCCATATGTTACATGTGGGTAAACATCTTTTTAGAGTGAACAGATTATTTCTTGATAAGACCAGACAAAGAACTTCTCATAAATCTTCCCCTTGGGGCATCCTATAAAGGATGTTTCACTGCAGATTACATTCTCTAGCCAAACAAACAAACAAACAAACAAACAAACAAACAAACATGTCTGTATCTGACTTCCTACATGTTGGAAAGCATAACTCTTGTATAAGGGAGACACTGTCAGTTCTTGTAGATAGCTAGACCTTTGATGATCCTTTCTGAGAAAGACAATACATTGGGGAAATTTCGTTCATTGTAGCAAACTTATATCTTCTCTAGCTTGAGCTTCATACAACCTGTCCCTTTGTGTGTGTGTGTGTGTGTGTGTGTAAGGTCTAAACAAGGCCAAAACAATTATTTTGGTAATAGAATTTGCAGAGTGCCATTGCGATTTCCTATATGACATGAGGGAAGACATGCTCTTTCTCCTTCTGACTTGGCAGATCCACCATCCGAAATGTCAAGAGCATCCACAATCAAGGCCGCAAGCAGATCAGCCAGGAGACGTATCGGCGGAACAGCGTGAAATACTTAGTGAGCCGGAGGAAGATGAAGAACAACCTCATCTACAAAGGCAGCACTATCAGTAAGTACTCGGTGGGGCCTTCCCAGTACTTCGTCTGGTTTTGTTTGAAAGCAGCTTTTCCAAAGTCACCCTGTGGCGAGGAGGTAGCGAGTTGCTGTGGCCGCTGTGAGAACAGGTTGCTGAAGCAGATGGGACTTTGGCCTGATCCGGAAGTTTCCTCTCTTATGTTGCAAAGTAGGGCCCTTCTCAGCTACCTCAACCTCTGAGACAGGAATTTGCAGGTGGATTATTTATTTATTTGTGTTTTTTCAAAATAAAAAGGTGCCATATTGAAAACAACAGCACAAGACCTCTCTCAACAACCTTATAACCTAATGGGGACAATACGAAAAGAAAAGGAGATGAGGTGGGGAGAGGAAGATGGGCAAATTCGGGTACCGACTCAAAATTATTGCAATGACCCATCTGAGGGAGTAAGTTCTGGAAAGGGTGGACCACTGAGTCCTAGCTGTGTCCCCTCTCCATATCAGAATGTGCCAAAGCAACTACTTTCCAGTTTACACTTGATCTTCACAAAGCAAACTAGTTCAGTTCACAGTACAAGTTTTTATCCAAATGAGCCTTGGCAAAATAAATAAATAAAACAAAAACAAAAACCAAGCCCTCAGAGCATTGCAAACTGCTATGCTGAAGTATAAAATACGTTTAACAAGACCAAGAAAACATTTAAACACACAACAATTATGCTCTTTAAAGCTTAAAGGCCCAAGGAGTCTAAAGCAGGTGTGAGGAATTTTGGGCCACGCTTGCTAGGGCTTTTGGGAATTGTAGTTCAGAGACATTTGGAGAGCCACAGATTCCACATCCCTAGTCTAAAGAGTAAAAAAAAAAAAATTCTTACGAGTGGGCTTGAAGATGAGCAAGGAGTCTTTCTGAGTTCACCCCAAAACAAACATAATTCACATTCATTTCACCCCAAAATGGTAAGAACTGCTTTCAGTTACAGTTCAGAGATTTTCGAACCGATCCCGTGAGCTTTGTTAAATCGAACCAATTCATTCCAAGCACCGCTTGAGATGAAAACAAAGAAATTTATTGTGTGCCTCTTTCATTTTATAGCGGAGAAAGATGAGACAGAGAATAACCAGTCCAAGGCTCAACCCGCTATCCCTCCAAGACCCAGTAAAGACTTGATTGTGGCCCGCTGCTCAGAGACCACCAAAAGCAAAATCAAGTGAGGAAGGAGCTTATTTCTGCCCATGGCAGAATCTCCGAGGGACTCACGGGCCAGACTGGACTCCTGTGAAGTTTTGCTTTCCAGAACTCTGCGCCCGAATTTTTAGCAATGCATATGCCGGTGTTTGTTGTAAAATTGTCGTCAGTGAAGGGTTTGATGCTGGTGGACTCTGTTCATTCTTCAGGATGTGCTTTTCCTTCTTCCCCCCAACATTAAATCTTAGGGACTAGTGACTTGTTTGCTTCCAGCAGGTTTAAATGCCTACACAGAGCAATTGAGGCGTGTTGGCTGGTCAGTGGGGTAACTGATACTCCTAACAAATAAATAGTGCTGGCCGTTAGCTTTTGCCAGCTACTAGACTTGAAGTATTCCATCAATCAATTTTGTGATAGCAGGAGAAGGAAGGAAAAATGATATTAATGCTTGTCACCCATTATCTGACATATAGCACAGGCTCTTTTGTAAATTGTGTTTTTGGTTAATATGACCTTGGTCTTTGTCCAAGTATATCTATATATGTATATGTTTAAGTACACAAATGTTTGATAAATAAATAAGTGCATGTGAAACCTGAGTTTCCCGTCATCTTGCACAGGCAGTTCTGGATAGGAAACTCTTGCAACAGAAAGGAAATCCTTGGCATATAACTTTCTGTTTTGCAGTCTCCGTTTCTTTGCAAAACCTCTTGCCTAAGCCCGGAGAGAGAGGAAGGAAGGAATTCACAATCCTCTACTGTCAGAGGGAAGATTGCAAATTATTAACCCGAAGTGGGATGTGCAACAAAATGTTGCAGGGGTGTTCTTAGCAGTCCTCCTGCTCAGGAAGTTCTTCAGGACATAAAACATGGAACTGACTGCCTGGCTTTTCTTTCCAATTAGGGCCAGGTCCACACCATACATTTAAAACACTGTGAAACCACTTTAAAAACAGCCATGGCTTATCCCAAAGCATCCTGGGAACTATAGTTTGTTACGGGTGCTGAGAACTGTTAAGAGACACCCCCAATTCCCCTCACAGAACTACAATTCCCAGAGTTCCCTGGGAAAGAGGGATTGATTTTTAAACCACTCTGGGAACTGCAGCACTGGGAAGGGAATCAGGATTCTCCTACCCACTCTCAATATCCTTAGCAAACCACAGCTCTGGGATAAACCATGACAAATTAACGCAGTAGATGTTGTGGATGTGGCCTGACACCAACCAATGGCTACCCAGAATGCCTGGTTCTCACTGGACTTCCTTATTTGTGCCCCTTATATTGTACTTTCCCAGTCTAGGGCTTCTCCACGCAAGTCTGCTGGTATCTGGAGGGAACCAGGTTGGGGAAATTTGATTTACATTGCGGCATCCACGTGCGTGGTGCTTTACGAAGTACAAGGGGAAGGGCGAATGCATGCTCTAAATACAACCTTGGTCTATGTCCAAGTATACCTGTGTCCAAGAGGAAAGGAATAGGTCATGGAGCAGGGCAGCTAACTTGAATACAATATTGTGGGGGCCCAGGTAAGCCCCGCCTTGCATAATCAATCACATGATGAGGTGCACACACACCATTTGACTGGGAATGCCCATAAGCTTTGTGGATGCCTGGCCCCCTCAAATATTTTATATTGGGGGCCGAAGCCCCCAAAGCCCCTAGGAGTTGGCTCCTATGTCATGGAGTCTGGAACACACCAAGGAAGAATCTGCATTTGTTTGACAACCATGTGTACATACCCTCCCACATTTCTCTGACGAAAATAGGGCTGTCCTAATCCATAATTATAACAATGATAATCTTATTATTTATACCCCACCCATGTGACTAGGTTGCTCTAGCTACTCTGGGCAAATTCCAGCATATATAAAAACATAATACAGTGGTACCTTGGGTTAAGAACTTAATTCGTTCTGCAGGTCTGTTCTTAACCTGAAACTGTTCTTAACCTGAGGTACCACTTTAGCTAATGGGGCCTCCCGCTGCCACCGCACCGCCAGAGCACAATTTCTGTTCTCATCCTGAAGCAAAGTTCTTAACCCGAGGTACTATTTCTGGGTTAGTGGAGTTTGTAACCTGAAGCGTATGTAACCTGAAGCGTATGTAACCCGAGGTACCACTGTAAAACATTAAATATTTTAAAACTTCCCCATACACGGCTGCCTTCAGATGTCTTCTAAAGGTTGTATAGTTACTTATCTGCTTGACACAGGGAGTCACATAACTCCATACCCTCTTAACATTTCTAACGAATAAAATAGGGACATCCTAAGGAAAAGCGGGGTGTTCTGGGGTCAAATCACAAACCAGGATGGCTTCTGTGAATCTGGGACTGTCCCTGGAAAATAGGGACACATGTTTACTCGGAAGTAGCAGAGGCTGGTCCATCAGGGCAAATGGGGCACTGCCCCACCAAAACACATGTGCAGTTTAATATGAAACAAGCTCATCCTCTCCGCCTTGTGTTTCAAGTTGCATCTGCATGGTGTGGAACATATCAGAGAGCAGGTGGGGATGTTTTTGCCCCATGTGTGTGACAGCTGTCTCAAATGTACGCACCTGACTTCACTATGAAGTGAATGTGTCTGAAGTGTGGGTATAAACAGGCTTGCAGAGGAGCCAGAAGCATCAAGATTCTAGTACAGTGGTACCTCGGGTAACAGACGCTTCAGGTTACAGACTGCACTAACCCAGAAATAGTACCTTGGGTTAAGAACTTTGCTTCAGGATGAGAACAGAAATCGCGTGACGGCGGCAGCGGGAGGCCCCATTAGCTAAAGTGATACCTCAGATTAAGAACAGTTTCAGGTTAAGAACGAACCTCCAGAATGAATTAAGTTCTTAACCGGAGGTACCACTGTACCGTGCAGTGTGGTATAGTGGTTAGAGTTCCAGAGCAGGACCTGGGAGGCCAGGGTTTAGGTCCTGCTTGGCCACGAAGCTCAGTGAGTGATCGGGGGGCGGGGGGAAGGCAGTCACTGCCTCTCAGACAACCTCACAAGTTTGTCGTGTGAAAGTTATGGGAAGGAGGAAAACTCCACCTTGAGCTCCTTAGAGGAAACATTAGAATATAAATGTAAATTTGCTCTGCAGTTAGTCCGACTGTGTTCAGTGGAGCTTACACAAGTGTACACAAGTATGCAGCCTTAATGGAATAAGAACCTCCAGTTCTATTCCATGAATAGTTCAAAAGTGTTTTTAATGGTTCTTTTTGGTATTTAATTGCATTAATGAGAGTACCCCTGAACATTTTTTTTTAAAAAAGCACTGCTTCCTGATCCAAAACACCCACCCACCTCACTCACACACGAAAACAAAGATCGCCACAGCCAGTCACAAGCAAACAATCACACCCTAGGCCAGGGGTCTGCAACCCGCGGCTCCGGAGTCGCATGTGGCTCTTTTACACCTTTGCCGCGGCTCCGGGGCAGATACTAGCGAGGGGAGGAGGCGCATTGTGCGCCCCGACACTCCCCACTGTGGCGGGCGCTGTACTGGCTGTGACGTCGCATGGGGGCGGGGCGTGCGTTAGTCACGCACCGTCCCGACGTCACCTTCCCGCCCACCCACCCTAAATTGTAAGGGGCATGTACACTTGTCACTGCATTGAAAGGGGGCATGTACGCTGGTCACTGTTTTGAAGGGGAGTGAAGAACACACACACACAAAAACAGGTAACTTGTTAATTTAACGTTTATTTCTATGAGGAGGAGTAATTCTGAGGGGTCAAACAAAGAAATAATAAAAAAAAAGTGACAAAAAGTTATTTTTTATAATGACGAGTTTTGCGGCTCCCAGGTTTTTTTTCTTCGGAAACGGGTCCAAGTGGCTCTTTTTGTCTTAAAGGTTGCAGACCCCTGGCCTAGGCCAACCCCAACCTCTCTCACCACCAAAGGAACACAAGTGAACAACACAAGCAACGCTGACACCAAACTCTACATACATTAAACATAATAGAAACACCGCCACCCGACCCCACCCCCATCCATCTTCCCTCTCTCCACCCCCCCCTTTCTTTTTTCCTTTTTTTCTTCTCCCCCTAATGCCTCAACAAATGAAACGGATTTGTAAAATTGTTACATGGAAAAAAATAAATACGAGGCATTACACTTACTTCTGTAAAACAAGAAAATCACATATATATATATATATATATATAGCATATATATATATATATATATATATATATATATATATAGCACTGCTTATTCCCATAAAAATGAATGGATAACCATTCAGAAACATCAGGCCAGTATATGCCTCTAGTGTCATGGCTGCCGCCGCCAACTCAGATACGGGAGATTAGGCCAAGTGACATCTCCTTAACTAATGTGAAGCTTGACCGCAGCCTCTAGCCTATCGTGTCATGGCTGCCCTTAGGAAGTGGTCGTTGTGCAGAGCGAAATGAAAGCTGAAAGGCGTGCAGCGCCCTCTAACGAATGGCGGACTAGGTGAGAGGGGGCGGGAGAGAAACCGAACTGCCTCTCGTATCATGCCTACTATTGGGATGAAGCTTCTGCGGCTGCGCAGACCAGGCACCTGCTTCATTGCCTGCCGTGTCGTGGCCGCGCTTCGACAGAGAGGCGCTGCGCATGCGCAGAGTGAGAGCCCGGGTGAAAGGTGAAAGGTGAGCAAGATGGCGCTGCCCGTGCTGCAGGTGTTCCTGTGCCTGGACCAGATGCCGTAGACGCGGCGGCGGAGGAATCGCGGCCTCGCTAGGCAGCGATGGGGCCTCATGGGGGGCTGGTGCAAGTGTGCAAGATTCGGGGCTCCCGTGGGGCTGCGCTGCTCTCCCCAGAGCTCCAGAGGGGGTCAAGGGGGGCTCTGCTGGGGCTCCCTCGGGGAATATGGGGCTTTTCCCGGAGAGCTTCTCCGGGGCTGCTTCTGAGGCCCTCAAGTGACGCCCTGGGCCCCCCTTGGACGCCCAAGGAAGGGCTGTTTCTGGGTCTCCCCGGAAATGGATTGGGGTGTCCCTGGGGCCTGGCCTTGTTCTGCACGAGGGGTCTTTTTCAAGGGCCTCTAACAAGGAGGCAGCGCCCCCTCGGGCTCCCCTCTCAAAATCCCCAGCAGGGCTCGCTGTGTAGCCCCTGCAGGGCCTTTCTTGACCTCCCGCCAAGGCTTCCTTCTGAGGGGCTCTCCAGAGGCCTGGCAAAAGCAGCTGGGAAGAAGAGCATCAGAGACATCAAAGAAGCTGACGACAATGCCCCCATTTTCCAGTACGTGGGGAAACAAGCCAAAAGGAAAGACCGGGTGTTTGTGTGGGGTTTCTGCTTCTCGGGGGCGTTGGGAATCCCCACCTTTGTCGTGCCTGACCCTGGGTTCAGGAGACGGAGGATCCAGCCCACTCCATATCGCCTGGAGGTGGATGACAAGGTGAGTGGGGGGAAAATGAAGAAGTTGGCCTCCTTTTTGATTTGGGATGCTCAAGAGGCATTGATGGGCTTGTAAAGCATCTTTTCCCATTATGCCAACTACTGCTGTGCATTGGGCAGAGCCAAGATTGCTTAGAGTGGTGGCTACAATGGTAAACCAGCAGTGAGTGTTGGAAGATTCAGGACGGCCAAAAGGAAGTCCTCTTTCTTTCTCTGAATAGCAGTTGCTGGGAATTCCAGGTGGGGAGAGTGCTCTTGTGCTCAGGTCCTGCTTTTGGGCTTCCCATCTGGTTGGCCACTGTAAGAACAGGATGTTGACTAGCTGGGCCACCGGCCTGATCCAGCAGGCCAGTTTGTATGTTCTTATGATCAGTTTGGTCTTTGCCAGGAGCAGGAGATCACTTTAGCTTGTGCCCTTTCTTCATTTCTGCAGATCTAGAGATATTGCTGAGTCCTTTGTTTCTTTATCAATATCAACATCTACTTGTATCTCATTTTGAAAGATTTCCTCTGCTGCCTGTGGCTATGGATTCACCCTCCTATCCTCCAGAACGACCGATGTCACCAAAGTCTGGGGCACGGGCCTCAACAAGGATTCCCAGATTGGGTTTCATCAGAGCAGGAGAGATCGCTGTAAGTCTGTGAAGACTTGGCTGGTTTGAAGCTTTGTATGGTCTTGTACCTTTGGTCCTGTCATTTTTATTTTAGGATAAAATATCCAACTTATCTGTTGGGCTTCCTGCATCCTGCCCTTCCAGTCCTGATGGGCATCATGCAACCGTTATCCTCCCAAACCTTATCCCATAATTTTTAAGATTCCACAAGACCTGTTCTTGGTTTTGCCGCAACAGATTGCATGGCTACCTCTGGAACTAGCAGTCATGTTTGTATGCAATAACGCCTGTCCTTTCTTTCATTGTATATTTTATAAAAGCTAAAGGCTACGACTATGTCTTGGAGCCGAGTCCTGTTGCACTGCCCCTGGACAAGCCGCAGCAGACCCGAGTTGTACAGGTTTCCTGTGGGAGAGCACACTCCTTAGTGCTGACAGACTCTGAAGGAGGTATGGTGGAACTCCAATGAAGTTCTAAGGAGGGGTGCTGTTTGTAGTTATGTATCTCTCCCAGGTTTTTGATGTGGGGGTGCTTCAAAAACTTGCCCTACATACTCCCACTGCAAAACTATCCTCAATTCTAGAAATGATTCTAGAAATGACCACAGTTTAACCACAGTTAGTGGTTCAGGTGACCAGCCTAAAAAGAATTGGAAGCTTCTGATCTCTGTCTTGTGGCCACACTTGACAAAGGGAGGTAGGAGCATGTGAGCCCAGTATGGAGGCTAGACTCATTTTGTACTCCTAAGCCATTGCTTAGCATTGTGTCCGAACTCAGCCAGTATTTATCCTTGAGGGGTGGTACTTGATATCTGTCTGATGGCATCCTATAACTTTGTTTCAGTCTTCAGCATGGGCAACAATTCCTATGGGCAGTGTGGCCGGAAAGTGGTCGAAGGTGAAATTTACAGGTGAGACGATCTGCTTTGTTCCAAACATGTCTGTTTCTCCAAATGTATCTCCCAAAGCAGGTTTGTCAAATTCTGAATGAGTTATAGGGTGATTCGGGAAACTCCGTTCTACCAGGTCAGATGATTTCTCCATTGGGGCCACTATTGCCTGTTCTAATTGGTAGCAGCTCTCCAGGGTCTTGAAGGAAAAAGAGATTGTTCTTTCTTTCTTTTTAATTTTGTCTTTAAAGAATTTTCCAACTTTTCCATACATACATATTATTATTACCTCTAGCAAGGTAATAATAATAATAATAATAATAAGCTGTTAGAGGTAAGAGATTGTTCTCATACCCTGCTTCCTGAGATCTCATTTAACTGGAGATTCCAGGCATTGAACCCTTCTGCATACAGAGTGTGAGCTCTGCCCCTGAGGCCCAGAATGGTTTAACAATGAATCCCTTTTCCAGGGAACTCTGGGAATTGTAGCTCTGTGAGGGAAATAAGCAGTCTCCTAACAACTCTCAGAACCCCTAACAAACTACAGCTCCCAGGATGTATAGTGCAGATACGGCCTAACAAACTCCCTAACCCAGGAGTTGCTAAGGAGACTGGGCTCCACTTCCCATCAGCCCCATTGAGCAAGATGGAGAGAATAGAATGTCTGAATAACCAGAGGAGGCCCTGCAGCCAAAATAATATTTTCCCACCCAGCATGTTGGTTATATGAATTCTGCCTGAAATTAGGTCAAGCATCCCTGTCCTTGCTTGATGTTCTTATGCTAAAATCTTCATCCTGCCTTATAGGATGCAGATAATAAGAGCCACTTAGAAGAACTGTACGGGAGAGAGAATGGGAGGTTCGTCTTATGCCGTGACACTGGTGTAACATCCCAAAACTTGAGATAGATAGTTCCCCGCCCCCATCTAATCAGTTAATTGAGTAAATCCTCAAACAAGATTTATGTAATCCCATGACAGCCACAATTCCAAGCCTTTGTTAAATTGCAAATAACCCTGTGTGTTTGCCAGAAAGGTGGTGAATTTAAATTTACTACAAAACGCAGTTAAAAATTAGTATAGCGTAAACCCTAATGTGGGGCATGGGTGGCGCTGTGGGCTAAACCACAGAGCCTAGGGCTTGCCGATCAGAAGGTCGGCGGTTCAAATCCCCGCGACGGGGTGAGCTCCCGTTGCTCGGTCCCTGCTCTTGCCAACCTAGCAGTTCGAAAGCACGTCAAAGTTCAAGTAGATAAATAGGTACCGCTCCGGCGGGAAGGTAAACGGCGTTTCCGTGCGCTGCTCTGGTTTGCCAGAAGCGGCTTAGTCATGCTGGCCACATGACCTGGAAGCTGTACGCCGGCTCCCTCAGCCAATAAAGCGAGATGAGCGCCGCAACTCCAGAGACGGCCACAACTGGACCTAATGGTCAGGGGTCCCTTTACCTTTACCTTTAAACCCTAATGTGCTTTAAAAATGATCCCAACCGTGCAGCTTCTTGCTGGCTTACTTCATTTTCTTTCTTATGATCTCTTCCTGGCCACATACAGTGAGAGCCAGCTTATTAACCGCCTGCCGCAACTTGAAGACAGAGTTGTCCAGGTAAGTAGCCTGTTTGAATTTGTATACTCTTCTTATCACCATCATTATCTGCTGCTTTGCATCTACAGGCAACTCCCCATTTACACGGGGGTTACGTTCTGGGCCCCTTGCACATAAGTGAAATTGTCTAAGTGTCAGTTAGCACCCTCTAAACGCCCTTTAAATGCCCTCTCTGCCGCTCTCTCTTCAATCCAGACCAAAAATCCTGCATCCAACAATATCCACAAATAGAATTGAAGTTCTGGGGCCAAGGATGCATGGGAAAGCGGGGGCGGCAGCTGCGCTGCCCCACATGGCAGCTGTTAGGCAGGGCTGCTGAGCAGCGTAAACAAGGCCCCACTGCTGCTTTGGTCTTTTCAGGGCTTCCTCCACCCTCACTGACATTCTCTTTGGGCTCTGGGGAAGGTCTCCTCGTGAGCCACAAGGACTCCCCAGCTCTCTCTTGCCATTTCCGGGTATGAATTGAATTATTATTTCCTGGCGTTGCACATATACATTGTCACGTGTGAGTAGAACGCACATAAGATGAGATGGAAGGGATGACTGTGCTTTTGTGTGTAAGTTAGTGCAAGTCAAACCATTGGTCCATCTCAGGACACTGACGGAAGAATAGTTTAACAGCGAATCCCTCTTCCCTTGACAAAACACCCTTAACAAACTGCAGTTCCCAGAATTCTACAGAATAAGCCACGAAAGGAGCATGATACTGTTCTAAATGCATAGTGCAGAAGGGACCTGACCATTGAGAGGTGGAATGGAACATACTCTCCCTGGAACACTGAACAGCAGCCCTCGGCGCTGCAACACTTTGTTGCAGTTTCTGTTTGCATTGTTTTAATTCCGAACAATTTTTTTGGGTCCAACTCCTCCCCTGCTGTTTTGTGTGTGCCTATAGGTTGCTTGTGGGCAGGACCACAGCCTCTTCAGGACGGAGAAAGGAGATGTCTATGCCTGTGGGTGGGGAGCGGACGGCCAAACAGGTAGGCTGTCCAAAGGGTCCTGGTGGCAGGATGGGGCATGAGCCTAGTCTAGGGAGTTTGTTCTGCTCCCCAAGGCTCCCCAACACTTTCTACCTCTCGTGGAAGTAGCACGGTTGAGGCAGAAGGATGCTTGTCCATGGAAATTAAGAGCATGGAAATGACTGCCTTAGGAATGGGGAACCTGCGGCTCCCTAGATGATGTTGGGACTACAACTCCCATCAGCCCCAGCCAGCATGGCCAATGGTCAGGGATGATGGGAGCTGGAGTTCAAGGGCTCCTCTGAATTATACCCATTATAATGGGGGGGGGGGGGGCGGACGGACACCTGGAACAACTGAGAATGTTCTTGGAGTTTTGTATGCATTAAACCAGAGATCTTCAAACTGTCCCTGGCCCAGCCCTGGGTTTATTTACCTGTATTTGGGTAATGGAGAAGGAGACTGTTCTGACCAGGGCAGGATAACACAAACCTGGCCTTAACTTCTGTCATTTCCACGGCACAGCCTAGTCTGCTAATTTTCCCTTGTATATGGGAAAATTATAAGGCAAGGTTATAAGGCAAGGCAACAGCAATTAAAATGAGAGTTCTGTACAAAATTTGAGTTGAACCATCCTGCCCATGACAGTTTATTAAGCTGTCCACTGAGACAACCCGTCCCCAATCAATCAAGCAATCTTCAGTGGTCTGTGCAGGGTAGGGAGATGGAAAACCACGACACTTAATCCCAGACACTGTATTCGTAGAATGGATTCCGCAAGTCAGACACATTTGCATCCAATCGCTTTCTTCCACACTGTATGCCTTCTGGCAAGGGCCAGGGACACAGAAGATCTCCCTCGCCTGCCGATCTGCTTCTCCACGCCCTCCCTCTGCTTGAGACTTTGCTGGGCATTGTCCATAAGTTTAAGAGTCAGGTATCTCCTTTCTGTAGGGACACGGGTGGCGCTGTTGGTTAAACCACAGAGCCTAGAACTTGCCGATCAGAAGGTTGGTGGTTCGAATCCCCGCGGTGGGGTGAGCTCCCATTGCTTGGTCCCTGCTCCTGCAAACCTAGCAGTTCGAAAGCACGTCAAAGTGCAAGTAGATAAATAGGTACCGCTCCGGCGGGAAGGTAAACGGCGTTTCTGTGTGCTGCTCTGGTTCGCCAGAACTGGCTCAGTCATGCTGGCCACATGACCACTGGCTCCCTCAGCCAATAAAGCGAGATGAGCTCCGCAACCCCAGAGTTGGTCATGACTGGACCTAATGGTCAGGGTTCCCTTTACTTTTATCTCCTTTCTATAGAGCAGGGTTTCCCAAACTTGGGTCTCCAGCTGTTGCCAGACTACAACTCCCATTATCCCTAGCTAGCAGGACCAGTGGTCCGGGATGATGGAAAGGTATAACATATACAAGGGATTTTCTCTGTTTCCACACCAGGCCTCGGTCACTACGACATTGTCAGCACCCCCACGAAGCTTGGTGGAGACATCGCGGGCGTGCACATCGCTCAGGTTTCTACCTGCGGCGACTGTTGCCTTGCCGTGTCGGAGGACGGCGACATCTTCAGCTGGGGGAACTCGGAATACCTGCAGCTGTCTTTGGTTACTGAGTCGACCCAGGTGAGAACAGTTCAGATGGGGTTTGTGATCCTGTCTCTTGTGTTTGGCAGTAAGCGGGTGAGGATGAGTGTCTCCCCCCTGAGATTTTCAGGTGGTGCTGGGGTCCTGCTGGAATCTTGAGTCGGGGGGGGGGCGCAATTTTTTGACAGCAACAAGGGTTATGCTTCAGGTCTTGGGCATAGTGGAATTTATATCAGTCCAAGTTCAGGAGAAGTAAATCTATCAGTCTCCGTTTCTTATTTTTTGCGATCATAAATTTAGTTCTCCACATTTCCACACCAGCTTGCATTTTCTTTAAGTCCTCATGAAAATTCACCAGCGTTTTAGAGTGCATTTTTTCTAATATATACATTTTGGGGTACACAATTTTGCCCTACTATGCACATTTTTGTCATTTCCCTTAATATAGTGCATTTTAACGTGTTGCCCTGAGCTGATGGGAGTTGTAGTCCGGCACTGGAGAGCACCAGTCTGAGAGGTGCTAGACTGGGCTAGAATTAAACTTTAAAAAAGGAGGTATTGAATTCTGGAACTATAAAATGCAGAGTATGAAAGATGGAGGATATTGGATTTTTAGGCAGACATGCTTTCAGTTGCTCTTCTGTTCTCGCATCCTGTAGTGTCAGTGTGAAACTCTTGTCACTGAACCAAACTGTGGAAGACTTATTTTTAAGCCAGTGTGGTGTTCTGGTTTTAGTTTTGGGGCTCGGCTCTGCAAGGCCAGGGTTCAGATCCCCACTCAGAGGTGTGAAGCTCCCTGGGTAACTTTGGGCGGAGTCCCAGTGACCGGCTCAGCCTACCTCACAGGGTTGTTGCGAAGAAACAGGATAGGGAGTGTGTCTGTCACCTTGAGGAACTTGGAGGAAAAGCGTGATATACAAGGAAAGTATAAATACACACACATATAGATGAAACCCAAACCGTATCTGATCAGTGTCTCAAACTTCCGTGTTGCATAGGTTAATGTGCCCAGACACCTGCCCTTCAAAGTTGGGAAAGTGAAGGAGGCTGCTTGCGGAGGGACAGTCAACGCTCTCTTAAATGGTATGTCCAGCGCTTAAAAAATCTATGATTTAAAACATTTGCATGATGCTTTGTGGGAGAAGGCAAGGAGGCCAACAGTAGGTGGCGCCAGAGCTAATGAAAAACGGAAAATGATCTAGAAGGGGGAGTGACTCCTGTATGAGGAAAGGTTGCATCATTTGGGACTTCATAGTTCAGATAAAAAGGTGGCAATGATAGCAGTTTATAAAACTATATGTGTGGCCTGGAGGGAGTGGATGGAGAAAGGTTTTTTCTCCTTCTCTCATGAACACTGGAACGCATGGGATGGGGAGGGAATCGTTCAAATGGGGGGAGGAGGTGGAACAAGTTGACTCGGTTAGTTAGAGTGTTGAGCTAATGGATCTGGTGGACACGGGGCGTTGCAAAAGACTGAGCATGTTAACACTGAGCCTCTCTTGACCCCCAACCCAGAGGAAGGCCATGTCTTTGTCTGGGGCTACGGGATACTTGGGAAAGGACCGAAGCTGATGGAAACGGGGACTCCCGAAATGATCCCACCCACCCTGTTCGGCCTCTCGGACCTCAACCCGGACGTCCGTGTGGCTCGGATCCGCTGTGGACTCAGCCAGTTTGCTGCTGTCACCAGTAAGTGGCTTCCAAAGCATGCCTGGGCATGTGAACTCAGAAGTAAGTCTGAGCGAGGTTTAGTTCAAGGATTTTGCAGTCTTCGGCTGGGGGATTTTCCGCCCCTGCCTCTTTCAAGTCCGAAGAGGAGTTTTTCTTTCTCCTGTCAGTTTTCTTGCTTCCCACAGTTAATCCAGAGCAATTTTTGTAGTTCGCATCTGTTCCCTCTGCCAAGTCCCGTTAGTGCTGATTAATTAACATTAGAAATTGTGGACATCCAATGAAGGGGACTGTTTGAAGATTCAGAACAGATAAAGTCCTTCACACAGCACAGAGTTAAACTACGGAACTCCCTCCCACTGGAGGCAGGGATGGCCACCAAACTAGATGTCTTTAAAAGAGGACTAGATATATTCCTGGAGGAGGAGAGGGCTATTGATGGGTACTAGCCATTGTGGTTATGCTCTGCCTCCCAAGTTAGAAGCAGTAATGGAAGGAGGAGAGAGGGCTCTTGTGCTTGAATCCTGCTTGCAGGTTTCCCACAGGCTTCTGGTTGGCCACTGTGAGAACAGGATATTGCCTGATTCAGCAATGTTTTTATTAGTCAGCCAAGCAAAAGCATTCAGTATTAGAGCTGCCTCGTTATAAACAGGCTTAAAAGCTGGATGCTTGTCCGTGAGCCCTCTCTGAGCACTTCATTGGCCGAGTTGCTGTGACATCATAGAATGTTCACCAGCATTCCGACTACGGAATGTGTTGGCGATAGAACGTCAGAAAACAGCACACCACCTGAGAGGGAAGGGGGAAATAGTTAAGTAAGAGGAAAATGTAAGTTTGGGGTCTAAAGGCAGGACACGAACAAGGTGGTCAGTGGGCAGAGGCATGGATTCTGGGCCAGTATGCAAGCCCAGCTGGTGTGTAATGGGGATGAAGAGTGAGGTAGTGAAAGGCAGAGGGGGCTAAAGGAAGAGGGTCTGTGTTGGGTTGGTGAAAATCCTGATGGAAGGAGGAGTGGGTTGTATTGGAAATAGTGCTAAGTGTACTTTTCTGTGTATAAGACTAGGTTCTTTTACTCTAATGTTAAAAAACGGGGATCATCTTATACACGGGGGTCATCTTTCCCCATTTTCATAAATTTGAGTCCCCCCCAATAGGGGTTGTGTTGTACATGGGGGTGTGTTATACATGGAAAAATATGGTAACTCAATTTCACTTGTGCAGTTGGACCTGCCACCCCCTCTTTCCTGCCCCAGACACAGCCCTCTGGAAAAGATTTGGGGAGGGAGCAGGGCAGGTGGGGAGGAGGCAGGTGCATGAAGTCATGCTGCCAGGACACGATGGTTGGATATTGCCCAGTGTCTGATCCTGGGAACAAGGCACTTTTATGGTAATGGAGCCCATTAATGGCCGTGCCGCAGTGCCACTTGCAAATGCGGTCCATTTACAATTAAAAACAAAAGAGAGGCAGGCAGACATAATTTTCTGGATTTGCTGTTGGATTTGTGTGTGTTGTTTCCATGGGCTTGGCACCAAATGAATCCTGCAGGGGGCAGCTGCTCAACAAACTGTGCTAGTTCATTACACAGAGAGAGATTAGCCAAAGTAAGGTTGGTTCTGTCAAAAAAAGCAGCAGCAGCAGCAAAACAATTACGATTATGACGGTTTGACTTTCCTCATCTCCCATCACAAATATCTACAAGTAACTAAGATGTGCTCCCTTTCGTTTTCATTTTTTTTTTAAATTAGGAGGTAGAGGAATACCTGTAGTGGCCAATTAAGGAACTGGATTTAAAATGACTCTTTCTGCCAACAAATAAGCAAAGGTCCACCAAGGCCAACTTGGAGTCATCACTTGGTATATTGTGTTGCTTTGCAGACCGAGGAGAGCTCTTCGTATGGGGCAAAAATGTCAGAGGATGTTTGGGGATCGGCAGAATGGAAGACCAGTACTTCCCATGGAGGGTAAGGAAGCTCCTCTTTGTCTTTTTTTTTTTTAAAAAAAAAGATTGATCTTCAAGAATTGGGCAGCCATGTTGAGCTAAGGTCCCAAATGTGGCTGAAATGCTCGTGGTTTTCAGGAACCAGAGTCAAGCATAGATCAGCCCCACGGTGTCAGTGCCGTTAGCTCTTTATTCAAAGAAGCCTAAACAGCGCAGCCTAGTGGTCAGCACAACTCTTCCCAGTAGGTCTTGCCCCAAGGAGACAGTTGTGAGGACTGAAGGTCCCCGCCTTCCCACTGCTCTCTGTAAGGCTCCTCTCCAGAGTTCCTTTCCCCCAAGTAGTAGTAGACTGCGCCTGTGTACAACCAGTCTCTTCTCTGCCCTTTTCATTTCTCTGCATGTTCTGCGAGACTGGGGTGGGAGAGGGGAGTTGGCCGCAGCAGGAGGGGGAGACCCCCTGGCTTCTTCAGCAGCCTGCCTCATCTCTGTCTCCTGGCTACCATCCTTTACGGCCTCCGATTCTGGACTGCTCTCTGCCCCAGCGATTATTGCCCTCACTGTGGGCTGCCTGGAGGTCTCCAGTTGGTCTCTGTGGGAAATGGGATGCTAGAGTAAGATAGGCCTCTGGCCTGATGGAGCAACACGACAGTGTAGCCAATCAGCGATGACCATGCAGCAATGTCAGCCTAAGCTTTTCAACATCTACATGCAGCCGCTGGGAGAGATCATCAGGGGGTTTGGGCTGGGTGTTCATCAGTATGCGGATGATACCCAGCTCTACCTCTCTTTCAAATCGGAACCAGTGAAGGCGGTGAAGGTCCTGTGTGAGTGGTTGGAGGCGGTTGGAGGATGGATGGCGGCTAACAGATTGAGGTTGAATCCTGACAAGACAGAAGTACTGTTTTGGGGGGACAGGAGGCGGGCGGGTGTGGAAGACTCCCTGGTCCTGAATTGGTAACTGTGCCCCTGAAGGACCAGGTGCGCAGCCTGGGAGTCATTCTGGACTCACAGCTGTCCATGGAGGCACAGGTCAATTCTGTGTCCAGGGCAGCTGTTTATCAGCTCCATCTGGTACACTGGCTGAGACCCTACCTGCCCGCGGACTGTCTCGCCAGAGTGGTGCATGCTCTGGTTATCTCTCGCTGGGACTACTGCAATGCACTCTATGTGGGCCTACCTTTGAAGGTGACCTGGAAACTACAACTAATCCAGAATACGGCAGCTAGACTGGTGACTGGGAGCAGCCGCTGAGACCATATAACACCGGTCTTGAAAGACCTACACTGGCTCCCAGTACATTTCCGAGCACAATTCAAAGTGTTGGTGCTGACCTTTAAAGCCCTAAACGGCCTCGGTCCAGTATACCTGAAGGAGCGTCTCCACCTCCATCGTTCTCCCCGGACACTGAGGTCCAGCGCTGAGGGCCTTCTGGCGGTTCCCTCGCTGCGAGAAGCCAAGTTACAGGGAACCAGGCAGAGGGCCTTCTCGGTAGTGGCACCCACTCTGTGGAACGCCCTCCCACCAGATGTCAAAGAGAAAAATAACTACCAAACTTTTGGGAGACATCTAAAGGCAGCCCTGTTTAGGGAAGCTTTTAATGTTTAACAGGTTATTGTATTTTAGTGTTTTGTTGGAAGCTGCCCAGAGTGGCTGGGGAAACCCAGCCAGATGGGTGGGATATAAATAATAAATTATTATTATTATTAAGCCATTTCAGTGTGAGGGCAGGAGGCACTGCCCTTCCCTCTGGGTGTTGGAGAGGTGTTGTGCAGGTGAAGACCTGAAAGATCACGAAGAGGGTGCTTTTCAAAAGGGTGGGGATGGAAATGCCCCCCCCTCCCCCCGTTTCTCTTTGACTTGGCCTGAATTGGGACAGCTTGGAGAATGTTGGCAATGGACTCTTGGAAGTTCCAGAGACATGCATTCCTGCAGGAAGTCCGCTTCTTTCTCTACCAGAATCCATGATCACGAAATCTGCAGGGCACCTGCTGCTCCGTCATGTGGCGGCGTTGCCATTCCTGGCCTAGGTTTGAAGGGAAGCAGCAACAGACGGTGTGCATGTGTAGCTGGTTCTCCTCGACCAACATTCCCGCCTCCACCCTCTCTTTCCAAGAAGCAGCTCAGGTGGCTGCCAAATCATGCAGCGTTTGGGCATGGAAGGCGGCAAGAGCTGGCTTCCGCTCTGCAGTAACAGAGTTCCTTTTTCATATATCCCAAAATGCGCTGCGAGGCACCTTCCTTTGCTGACGTTCCCTTGTGATTAGGCTGGCTTTATTGGTCACTGCTGGGGACCTATCCACACTCACCTTCCCTCTGCTGTTTCTAGTCAAGGACCACACTTTAAAAGCTCAGAGTGAGTGCCCCCTTCTTCCCCCCCCTTTTTTTTTTGCTGTATAGCTTTCCCTGCGAGAACTCGCTATTTAAAGTCAAATTGGAGCAAACAGCAGTCCGTGGAAAAACTGAACTGCCATTTGCTTCGAAGGAGCACTAAAGAGCAGGCTTTTGTGGGGAAAGCTAGGGGGCAAAAAAAGTGTGTGGGGGGGTACTGCTTTGATTCAGAGCTTTAAAACACAAGACCCTTTCCTGGAAAGAGCAGGGCAAAAGGTAAGAGCAGATAAGGCCCGAGAGACAGGCAAAGGCCCTGTCTGCTTATCTGCTTCCTCTGTTGCTATGGCACTATACATTTAAAGCAGTGTGAGACCACTTAAAGCAATCATGGATCCTGGGAACTGTAGCTTGTTAAGGGTGTTGGGAGCTCTTAGGAGAACCCTATTCCCTCTGCAGAGCTACAGTTCCTGTAGCGGCTTAACGGCAAGCTGTCTTTTTCCCTGGGGAATGCATTCTGTACCATTCATTGCTTTAAATAATTCTGGTTTCAATTTGCTTTTGTGTTTCTTCTTGCTTTGGCACCTTCCTTCCCCCATGCAAAGTGACTAGTGAATGTAATAATAATAATAATAATAATTATTATTATTATTAATAATAATTTATCTATACCCCGCCCATCTGGCTGGGTTTCCCCAGCCACTCTGGGCGGCTTCCAACAAAACACTAAAATACAATAACCTATTAAATATTAGAAGCTTCAGATGTCTTCTAAAAGTTTGGTAGTTTTTTTTCTCAGTAATCAGTAGTATAGGGTAAAATAGGGGGTTGCCAATCTTTTGGGGCACGTGGGCATATTTGGGATCTTGAGAGTGTGCCATGGGAGCTGTCGCAAAGTAACTGCCATGGGAGAGGGGGTCACCTTTTCACATGTTGCCATGAAAGAACTGTTTCGCAGAACGCAACCTCTGTTGCAGAATGCAATATCCCTCTCTGACACACACACACACACACACACACACACACACACACACACAGAGAGTACTGTCCCCCACAGACTTCTGCCTGCCTTTTAAAAACCATTCTGCTGGGCTGGTTTCCCAATTGGGTGCTCATGTGTCACCGTCAAATGCAAAGAACCGAAAGAATGGAAGTGTGATTGATGGGAGCTGTTGTGCAAAGCAACCAGAGGGCACCAGGTTGGCAAAGCTGGCCGAGGTGCCCTTCCCATGTTGCAGCACTTTTTCTGATAGCTTACATTTGGGGCGGACTTGTCATTGTATCACCACCCAGAAAAAGGAGAAGTGTTTTATTTTAGTCAATGATCTCTCTCTTTTTCTCACTGCCCCTTCCTCCCAAAAATATTTAGGTGATCGTGCCAGGTGAGGTGGTAGATGTCGCCTGCGGGGTGGACCACATGGTCACGCTGGTTAAATCCTTTGTGTAGCAATGCCTGATTGGACAGTGCCTGGTGACTTGGAACACAACTAGAAATGTATCAACTTTTTCCTGATGACTGGTCTTGGTGGCTCTTTGGGACTGATGCCTGAATTCCTTGTGAGCGAACTTAACGAGGTGTGCACCGTGGCAGCAGGCTTCAAAGGAACGAGGATTTGCTCTCAGAGGGACCCTGCGGAAATTTTGGGAGCTGTTCACTCAGGACAATCGTTAGCTGCTCGGCTGTCTTCCTAATGTTGAACTTCTGAAGTGGTCGCTGAGGACTTGGGAGTGCTGCGAGGAAGCCTGCACTGATGTGCCGTCAAAGCAAAAGGGTTTGTTTACAGCGGGATTGTAGAACATGCTGCTGCATTTGAAAGATGTTCTTATGAAATGATTGAATGTCTTGCCTTTTTCCTTTCTTTCTAGCACCCAGCTCTTTATTGTCCCAGAGCAGGGCTAGGGAAGCTGTGGCTCTCCAGCTGTGGTTGAACTCCAACCCCCATCAGCCCCCAGCCAGCATGGTCAGTGGCAAGGGATGTTGGGAGTTGGAGTCCATGCACAGCTGGAGCACTGTAGAATGCCTGCCTTGTTTGAAAGCAACCGCTGAAACTTAAAAGTTTCATCGTATCCCTGGTTCCCTCCCTTCACAGATCTTAGCTCCCACTATGTTCTGCACCCAAATAGAGAACATATTATATCGTGCCATGGAACATGGGCTTGTCAATTCTCCTACCAACTGCGGGTTAGCAGTGTCAGAACCTGTGTAAACCATGGTTAGCCATAACTATGGTTTAGCGAAACCAGCCTACATCAAACCATTATTTTGGAAGGTGTCTTTGTTTTAGCAGAACCAGAGCTAGGGATTCAGATACGATGCTGAAACTGCAGTTAATTGAAAAGGGAAGCGCAAGGTTCGGATTGCCTTGCAGCCGGGGCAGGAGGAGAGGAAACGCGTGAATGACATACATGTCAGGGTTGCCCATGCCTTCAGTGCTGATCTACATGAGGGTTCAAGCCTCCTTCCCTTCTATTCTGCCCCTCTCCTACCCTTGCACTCCCATAGTTTTTGATGGAGAGGAATGAGCCAAGCGTATGCCATCTGGCCATCTCTTTAGTTTGAGAGAAACAGCTACTTGGCCTAAGAGAGAGAAAGAGTGGTGTGCATTTATTGTAGTAGTAGTGGCGGGTGGCGCTGTGGGTTAAACCACTGAGCCTAGGGCTTGCCGATCAGAAGGTCGGCGGTTCGAATCCCCGCACCGGGGTGAGCTCCCATTGTTTGGTCCCTGCTCCTGCCAACCTAGCAGTTCGAAAGTACATCAGAGTGCAAGTAGATAAATAGGAACCGCTCTGGCGGTTTCCGTGCACTGCTCTGGTTCTCCAGAAGCAGCTTAGTCATGCTGGCCACATGCCTCGGAAGCTGTACTGGCTCCCTTGGCCAGTAAAGCAAGATGAGCACCGTAACCCCAGAGTCGGTCACGACTGGACCGAATGGTCAGGGGTCCCTTTACCTTTACCGGTCGTTGTTGTAAAGTGTACCTGGCTACTTCCTTCCTTCTCCCCTGCCTCACACGTTCAGCCCTCAAAGCGCCCCCCCCCACCCTGGTCTGAGTATTTCTTAAACAATACTTTTGACTATCGGAGAGAAAGAAGCGATCAGAACTGTTGTTCAGGCATTGCAGGAATAAGCCATGGGCAATGAAAACCCATCATTGCCTTCTGATAAATGGCCACATGACGGCACTGCACAGAGTGCCTGGCAGCATTTGGCTGCTAGGCGAGGCGACTTATCAAATCTGGCAGCGGTTGCTTCTGTCTTGGGAGCTCTTGAGCTGAGCTGCGGTACTGCTGGTTCCATCATTAGCCGGAGATAGAATTCTAAAATGTGCTTCCCTGTGCCTCTTGGCCATTGGTTAATAAGACAACACTGTATTACCTCTGTGGCCAAGATCTTTCTAGAGCAGTGGTTCTCAACCTGTGGGTCCCAGATGTTGTTGAACTACAAGTCCCATCATCCCAGAGCTCTGGCCTTGTTAGCAAGGGGTGATGGGAGTTGTAGTCCAACATCTGGGGACCCACAGGTTGAGAAAGGCTGTTCTAGAGTGAGGGCTGCATTTTCATCTGCAGGACATGCTTTCAGGGTTGTGTTTTTGAGGGGAGGCTTCAAGTTAAGAACGGACCTCCGGAACGAATTAAGTACTTAACCCGAGGTACCACTGTATTGCAACCAAGCAGAGAAGGCCTATCGTCTTAATGCTCACTGCTGGTTTCTAGAAGCATCTGCTTGGCCACTATGGGGAAGCAGGGCTGTAGCTGTAGTGGTTCAAGCAACTGGGTGCAATCCCCAATGGCATCTCTGGGTAGGGCTGGGAATGGCTCTGTGCCTGAAATCACGCAGTGCCCGGGTGTTGCTGTACTACAACCCCCATCATCCATGACCACTGGTCCTGGTAGCTGGGGATGATGGGAGTTGTAGTCCAACAGCAACCCAAGGTTGAGAGAGGCTGGTGCTGATGATACAGAGCTAAAATGGAGCCTTCATCTGCTTTCTGTTTCTAAACAAAATGCTGGAATAGATGGTCTGAGACAGGACGGCTCCCTTTTTGTCCTCATAGCACGGTGACGCTTCCTTGTAACAATTGACCCTCTTGGCCTGACGCACTTAATGACCGGCCTGTTGTTCACAGAAAAGGCGACAAGAGTCCAAAATTGTATTTTATTTCCCCTTCTCACTGTTCTTCCGCAAATGCGTGCTACACTTTTGCTCTTCCCATCCTCACAAATGTGCTCCATCCCAGTTCCTCCCTCAATTGAAGTACACAGTCTCTTTTATTTCAAACCTCGGATAACAGTGTATTTCTGTCACACCGGCAAATAAAAATGAAAAAGGGGGAGAGGGTGGGTGGGTTGAAAGAGAAAACAGCAGAATTGGTACATTTTGAACTTCAGAAACCCTCCACAGTTTTTAAATCCCAAACATTTTTCCTTCTTGCTCCTCACTGTGCTCTGCCCCTTTGAAGATTTTATTTTCAAAATTGCTATTTTTAAAAAAGCTATCAGGAGTTATTTATGCCTCTCAAGCAGTCTTTTGTTTCTTATTTTCTTCACACGTGGCAACGGCTTCTTTTCCCAGGCTCTCTTTGGAGTAAAAAACCAACAAACCACATTTTTCTCTCTCTCTCCTTGCTCCAAGAAAATACTGAGAAGAATTTTTGACAGAAAATGCACCCTTAGTCCCGCGCCAAAGGATTCCTAGTGCTTTTCAGCTTGACTCACTTGAAGTGCATTGATAACACCGTTGATATTTTCTTCTGGTACCTGTAGTGGAGGGAAGAAACGACAACCACCCCTGAAAACCAGGACGCTACATTTTGATAGAAATTCAGGCTTCTAGATATGATAAATTATAGGCCAACTGTCATAAATGCAACATTGCAGGGTGCCCAGAATAGATGGACAGAATGTTAAGATGATATCTAGCATTAGCTTTACTGAGTCAGGTTCACTTATTTGTTTCTAGTCCTTGGAACATGACAAAACAAAGTTTAACAATACAGTGGTACCTTGGTTCTCAAATGCTTTGGTACTCAAACAACTTGGAACCCAAACACTGCAAACCTGGAAGCAAGTGTTCTGGTTTGTGAACTCTTTTTGGAAACAGAACATGCTCCGTTTTGAGGGTTACGCTGAGGTCTGTCTGTTTTTGCTATTTATTTTGTGGTTTTGTTTTTGCGGCTCTTTTGTTTTTGTGACTGTGTGGAACCCAGTTCAGCTACTGATTGATTGATCGTGTGACTGCAGTACATCGTTTGCTGCTTTCATTTTATGGATCAATGGTCTTATTAGATAGTAAAATTCATGCTAAATTGCTGTTGTTTTTAAAAGTCTGGAATGGATTAATCCATTTTGCATTACTTTCTATGGGAAAGCGTGCCTTGGTTTTGGAACGCTTTGGTTTTGGAACGGACTTCCAGAACGGATTAAGTTTGAGAACCAAGGTACCACTGTATTAAAGTAAAGCTGAACACGAATGACAACATGAACAAACACAGAACACTCAAGTTTGCTTGGGAAAGCACACCTTGCCCCCTTGGAAAAAAAAATGCCCGTTTCAAAATGACTAAAAAGAAAGAAAATGCAAGTTACACACATCTGAATTAAAATAAACATAACATTCTGATTCTCCCTGGGGAAACACAGCAATCTCTTAAGAACTTTCTTCTTTTGTCAATCACTGCCGAAAGAGAATGTGCAGTTCTCGTATGTATCCCCATCTACCCTAAAACCGTGTCCCAGATATTGCTCTCTCAATTCACAATCAAGAGCAGACCCATCCAAATCAGTCCAGCCACTTCAATGGCTTCTTTGGGTTATCACCCATAATTTTTAATTGATAATGGTCCCTGAGAGGACATCTTAAGGTCCTTAGGACATGGCAGAGAAGCACTTTTTTTAAGGCTTTCCCTTGGCTACTGCCAGAAAGCCCCGCCAAGGCGGCTGCCCAACTGGTGGTGTTCTCCGAGTAGCAAGGTGTTGGGCGTGTTGCAGAATTGTAGGGATGAACCACTTTCAACTATGGGGGTGTTAAATAACCGAATGCTCCTCCATATAAAAACAAACAACACCCCCCCAAAACAACAATAACAGTGCTCTAACAAGGCCCTGCATGCAGAAATATAGAGTGCCAAGGACAAAAGGAAGCCGACTTTTGTCCATCCACCTTAGTATTGCCTACACAGACTGGCAGCATCTATGCAGGGTTTCAGAGAACCTCCCCAGTCCTCTCTATAAATCCCAGGGACTCAGCTTGGGACGATACATTCAAAGCAAGCACTCTGCCACTGAGATCTATGTCTGGATGTTACTCTATTTTTCTCCCTGAGCAGCTAGTTTTCTAGGTGCAAGAAATACTTTTTGGACCCTGACGTCAGCACACCCCCTCCCCACCACCTCCGAAGTGGCACAGCCCAGACACAGGCTTATCACCGCAGTGTGAAATAAGCCCATGTGTGTTAGCTTTAGGAAGGCTCTTATGGGCTTATCTTATCAGCGTGGTTAATGTTTAAGGAAATCAAGTGGATCTAACCATTTGACCTTCGCTATCTGAGATGGTGTTGACTTTTTCTCTTTTTTAAAAAACAGAGTACACATTGGAGTTTCCAGGCTAGAAAAGAGGCCAGTGCCAAAAAAATATAAACAAAATCTGACCACAGGAGGAGAAAAGCTGGGATTTGCTGCCTGAGCTTTTAATGGGTTAGAAGGTCAGGGCTCTCTCCGAAAGAGGCTTAATGTAGGAAAGGTAATGGGCGGCATCATGGAGATTGTTATTGGGGGGGGGGCAGTGAGGGGAGAGACTCTCAAACACAGCATGCGACTTGGCACAGGCATTAAAACACATTAAAACAAAAGACCCTAACAGCGTCACTAGGTTCAGTCTGCTGCCAAAGCCGGCCTAAGATATTTTATCGCTGGTGGGTGGGATGTCCAAAACGGACCTTCTCTTTCTCCACAGGGAAGAGCCTCAGCTCAGCAGCAGAAGGTCTGCTTTGCATGCGGAAATAAGGAGCCAAGTTCAATCCCTGTACAGTGGTACCTCGGGTTACATACGCTTCAGGTTACATACGCTTCAGGTTACAGACTCCGCTAACCCAGAAATAGTGCTTCAGGTTAAGAACTTTGCTTCAGGATGAGAACAGAAATCGTGCTGTGGCAGCGCGGCGGCAGCAGGAGGCCCCATTAGCTAAAGTGGTGCTTCAGGTTAAGAACAGTTTCAAGTTAAGTACGGACCACCGGAACGAATTAAGTACTTAACCCGAGGTACCACTGTATAAGGGCAGATTTTTGTTTATTACACCTGGTGTCTGCAGGTGAAGCTGGGAAAGAAATTCCCTACCTGAAACCCTGGAGAGCCACTGCCAGCCAGGGTATCATTATTAAATTTACATACCACCCTTTATCAAAAGACCCCAGGGTGGTGTAGATCATTATGAACAAATTTAAGGAGCGTGATAAAAACATTCTTGGATGAAGGGCAGTACAGTGGTACCTCGGGTTAAGTACTTAATTCGTTCTGGAGGTCTGTTCTTAACCTGAAACTGTTCTTAATCTGAAGCACAACTTTAGCTAATGGGGCCTCCTGCTGCCGCTGCGTCGCTGGACCACGATTTCTGTTCTCATCCTGAAGCAAAGTTCTTAACCCGAGGTACTATTTCTGCGTTAGCAGAGTCTGTAACCTGAAGCGTATGTAACCTGAAGTGTATGTAACCTGAGGTACCACTGTATAGAAATTTTAATAATAATAATAATAATAATAATAATAATATTACAATGCCCTGGTAAAGCTTGCCGGAGCAGCCTCTGCTAATTCCTCTCGAAGGACCAATGGTCTTGGTTTAAAAGTAGCATCCTGGGACTTACCAGTGCATGATCAAACTTAAACGTACTGATGTAATAGGCTGGGATGTCAGCTGCCGCCAACGGTTCAGAAATCTGTGCCACAATTCCACATTCATCTGGGGGAGAGAGGAGGAGAAAACAACAGCTGATTACAAACGCCAGTGTTAGCCGAGGAAAGATGCGATGGGGCCACAGACATTCCTGCTTTGGGAACCAGGATTAGATTACTATAATCTTCTTTCCGCAGGGCTACCCAGGGTGACTAGTCTGGAAAGCTTCAACACAGAGGAGCAGAGGTGCCAGCTTCTCTACAGAGGAATTGAGGGGGCTCGGAGTGGAGTTGTGCAATGTCCTGACGTCACGCGTGTGACGTTGTGAGGAGCCAGACACCCTCTGAACATTGAGGGTGTCTGGCTCCCTAAAAACACACATGGGTGTGTGTGACAAAACTGCCTTGGCCCAGGGCCAGATTTAGGTTTGATGAGCCCCTAAGCTACTGAAGGTAATGGGGCCCTTTATATGTCCAGCTGTCCTTTGTCAACAACAAATTGTCACTGTTTTCTGTTGAATATATGCTATATGGTAATTTATGGACCTAATCGGTATCTAAAGCCATTTGCACCTAACAAAATATGTATTTTTCAAAGTAATGGTTGAACTGAAATACAATTAAGTATATTAATAGTGAAATAATTATTAAGCTCTAACTTAAAATGATTGGAGGCCCATTACTTACATTGCAGGAACCTACGTGTCAGGGCTGCCTCAAGTCTCAGCTCACAAAAGACCAACGCCTATGTCTTCTTATATACAAAAGTGTTTATTGCAGTTCATTGTTTGCTTGACATCCTAGGCGCGCAGCCCTACGTCTGCTACGCTTAGACCGCTGAAGTCCCCTCTGAATCCGTCCCTCCCCTGCACCAATTTAAGAGGCTTGCGCTGCTCCACCTCTTTCTCTCTTTCCTTTCCGCAGGGTCCTTCTGCCCGCTGGGGTTTCGCCCCTCCTGGATTCCTCTGACGCGGAATCAGACTGCTCTTCCCCCTCCTGCGGGCTTTGGGACCTGGCCCCTCCTCCGGGCTCCCTGTACTTCCGCGCGCCTCTACATTTGAACTTGGCGCGCGCGCCAAACCTCCAACTTTCCTTTTGACAGTTACACTACTCCCTTCACTGCTCCCTCCCCTTCAGGGAGGGTGGCTTGCTCTGACCTCCCTCCCTTCTCTGCTGCCGGAGCTGCTTCCCCTGATACACTGGAAACTCCACCCCCTTCGCTGCACTCTGGTGGGGAGGCTGGCCCTGACGCCCAGCTGCCACTTTGGGATCCTCCGCTGGCCCCCTGCTCCTGACACGTCCCCCCTGGGGCTCCCCTGGCCTTGACCACCGGCCCCCCCTCTGGGAATCCTCTGATTCGCTGGAAAGACTCATGGAATCTCTTGAGTCATTGTCATCCTCTTCCTCGCTGGCTTGGGATTCATCCCCATCGCTCTCCATCTCCTGCCTACCCTGTGCCTCTCTCCCTGAACCCCTGACACTACGCAACACAAAACAAAACACTGTTGCTGTATGTAGGTTTTATTTTATTTGTTTTTTATCTTGTGCAGTGGTAACTCGGGTTAAGAACTTAATTCGTTCTGGAGGTCCATTCTTAACCTGAAACTGTTCTTAACCTGAGGTACCACTTTAGCTAATGGGGCCTCCCGCTGCCGTGCAATTTTTGTTCTCATCTTGAAGCAAAGTTCTTAACTCGAGGTACTATTTCTGGGTTAGCGGAGTCTGTAACCTGAAGCGTCTATAACCTGAGGTACCACTGTATTTTGAAAATGTACATCCAGGTTTTTTCCCCTTTAAATTTTTTTGGGGGCCCTGAGAGAGTGGGACCCTAAGCTATAGCTTGTTCAGCTTATACATAAATCAGGCAGTCCCTTGGCCCCTAGGAGTTGGCGCCTACGCCGAAGAGGGCGCCCTGTTGGCTCCTGCAGTCACAGGTCCTTCAACTGGCGGTGAAGGGAGCGTCAGGAATGAGTTTATCTGAGAAACAGAGGCTTTGAGAAGATCCTCTGTTTACTGCAGGGATTTGTTTGCTCTCTGCTCTTGGCATTTCCAGTTGCGCAGAGCCATCTGCGAAACCGTGAAGTGCATAATCCTTATGGCGAGGATCATGAGAGGGGAGGCCAGGGGTATACAGCCTGTTGACTTGCTGAGGTGGGAAGGAGGGGGAAACGGAATGGAGTACCATGGCTGGGCTAGAAACAATGGAGTATCGTGGGAAAGGGCATTGTGTTGCTCGTCCCCCTGGTAATGATCCGTGCTGCTTGGATGAATGGGACTTCCCATGTTGAGGGAGTGGTGCCCCATATCCCAATGAGCAGAAGAGAAGAATTGCAGCCCTACTCCTGCCTCACCCTGTATACCCCATGTTCCCTGATGGATATATTGACAGGGAAACGGGCAAATCCATTAGCTTCTCAGTAAATCCAACCTCAGCAAGTCATCAGCCAGCCTCTAAGAAACAACCTACCGAATCCAAGAGGCTGCCCTCCAATCCGGACCATCTTCCAGAGTTCTCCCGATGCACTTGTAAACAACAAATTATTAGGAAACCTTTTAAAAAGAGAGAGAACAGGAAAATAAGATTTCAATCCATCCTGCTGTATTAAAAAGAACTCGAGAAACCCAACACCCATTTAGGCCCCCAGGGAGGCCTATGGCATCTTTGATGCAAGATTTTTAGATTTAGGGTTGTCGCCAGCTAAAGTTTACTATGTGCACCACCTTGAACTCCTTAAAGAAAAAGGTGGCCTATGAATGCAATCTATCTATCTACCAACCGAAACAACCAATGAACTGTTTTGCCACCCCTGCCTCCTTTAAGAGGAAGGGCGGGATATAAATTTAATAAATAAACATATAACTAATGCAATGACACTCATAGAATCATAGAATCATAGAGTTGGAAGAGACCACAAGGGCCATCGAGTCCAACCCCCTGCCAAGCAAGAAACACCATCAGAGCACTCCTGACATATGGTTGTCAAGCCTCTGCTTAAAGACCTCCAAAGAAGGAGACTCCACCACACTCAAAGTGGCTTGCAAGACATAGCCAATATAAAATTCTAAAGCCACTTATAAAGGTAAAGGTAAAGGGACCCCTGACCATTAGGTCCAGTCGTGGCCGACTCTGGGGTTGTGGCGCTCATCTCGCTTTATTGGCCAAGGGAGCCGGCGTACAGCTTCTGGGTCATGTAGCCAGCAAGACTAAGCCGCTTCTGGCGAACCAGAGCAACGCACGGAAACGCCGTTTACCTTCCCACTGGAGTGGCACCTATTTATCTACTTGCACTTTGACGATTTTTGAACTGCTAGGTTGGCAGGAGCAGGGACTGAGCAACAGGAGCTTACCCCGTTGTGGGGATTCGAACCGCCGACCTTCTGATTGGCAAGTCCTAGGCTCTGTGGTTTAACTCACAGCGCCACCCGCGTCCCTAAAAAGCCACTTATATTTCGGGTAAAAGATCCCACCTGCTGCTCTTTCTTCTGTCCCCCAGAAGAATTCGAACCCAGATCCCACAAAAGACCACCCCAAAGTGCTGTTTTCCCTGGAATGTTCCTGAAGGCAGCTCCTCTCCCAGGTACCTATCCCTCACGTCTACCGTCTCCCTTGGCGTAACTCCCTTGCACCATTCTGGCTCGCTTTTTGATGATGGCTTCCATGTTCTGGGATGGGTGTATGAAGCCCATATGTATTCCGGGCCCCTTTTAAGTTACTTCAGGAGCCAGCTGGATTTTTGGCATTCATGTGGGCGCTGCGTGTTTGCATGGGGGCACATGCGAGGTCTCCTTATAAACACCTGAGGCCCAGTGAATAGGATTTAGGAAGCCGGTTCTCACCTCTTCTGCGTCTGTACATCCATCACCAAAGAAATGTAACCCTCAATGAGGGAGAATGAGAAAAAGCGAATGTGTCCAGAATCTTCATTGCCCACCATAAAATCTTTTACTCTGCGGAGGAACCAAATTTGGGAACAATTTATATGCTGCTCAATTGTGCCCAAAGCAGTTTACAAAAAGAAGAAAGCGTCGAATTTAATACAGTTAAAAACAACTATAAACAAAACTGAAATCAACGACAAGCTAAAAGCAAGATTAAAAAGCATGCCATCATTCTACATACCTTGCCTAAACAAAAATATTTTTTTGCTGGTGGCAGGAAGAATACAGAGGCAGGGAGTTCCAAAGTGCACCCTAAAAGATCAATAGCTGTGGAACAGGTATCATGTGGCACCCCTTTTTTCAAGAAGCTTGTGGCAGTGTTCCTGGCAATCCCAGGGCGTCATGAAGGGAAACTGTCTCAAGCGGGTTAAGTCCAAAGGCATTTCTTGTGATATTTAAGGAAGCTTCCTTCTCCCTTGTGCCCCCAAACCCAATTCCCTGGTTTGAACTTACCCATTGGAGTAAAACATGACATCCATAAGGAGTGTAGCAACCGAGGGGAGGGTATCTGGGTCCAGGCTGGTGACACAGAACATGTTACTTGGGCTGGAAAGTGGGTGGATGACAGGCCTCTGAACTGAAAGAGAGGAAGAGACACACAGATATAAAGGAATGATAAGAAGTTATTTCTGCTGTGGCAGCTTGCACTTGTTGGGACTGGTAGGTTGGAGGCAGGGGGCCTAGCACATCAGTAGAAATAGCAATAGATGGCGCCGTTCTTCACACAACAGAGTTACCAGCAACCTGCTGAGGCATTCTCTTCCGCAACCACGTTCTGCTGCAGCAAAACACTGGGAACAAGGGTACTGAAGAAGAGTAGAAGAAGAGTTTGGATTTGATATCCCGCTTTATCACTACCCGAAGGAGTCTCAAAGCGGCTAACAATCTCCTTTCCCTTCCTCCTCCACAACAAACACTCTGTGAGGTGAGTGAGGCTGAGAGACTTCAGAGAAGTGTGACTAGCCCAAGGTCACCCAGCAGCTGCATGTGGAGGAGCGGGGAAGTGAACCCGGTTCCCCAGATTACGAGTCCACCGCTCTTAACCACTACACCACACTGGCTCTCTTCATCGTAGCACGATGTTGGATGGCGCCCCTCCCCCCCGGAAATTGGAACACACCATTAAAAGGGGTCTTGGTTTGCAATGGGCTGTGACCAGAAAGAGAACACTGAGCCCTGTAAAACTGGAGGCAGGTGGCAAACTGGAGGGGAACCATACCCAGTTTCGGTTTCATAAATCCGTTTGTTATCCCGAGGCTGTCGGCTGCCACCGCCTCCCCGTTCACGACCCTGAGGATGGTGAATTCAGAAGCCAGCGTGTGCGTCACGAAGGGCAGGTCTCGCTCACGTATCTGAGAAGAAGAAGAAGAAGAAGAAGAGATAATAATAAGCTCATGAGAAAAACAAAGACCCTGTTGCTATTACAGTGGTACCTCAGGTTACATACGCTTCAGGTTACAGACTCCGCTAACCCAGAAATAGTGCTTCAGGTTAAGAACTTTGCTTCAGGATGAGAACAGAAATCGTGCTCTGGCGGCGCGGCGGCAGCAGGAGGCCCCATTAGCTAAAGTGGTGCTTCAGGTTAAGAACAGTTTCAGGTTAAGAATGGACCTGTCCTTCACTCTAAGCTCCCAGGCTGGGGTTACTGTGGGGCAATCAGCCTCATATAACCAACATGCTTAACTCTAATTCATGCATGAAGCCCCTCAACAGGAGTGCCAGCTTGGCCTCGCGACTGTGGGTGCCCAGGGCTGTGGGTGCCATGCAGCACGCATGACCCTGGCATCGAAATCTGTGGATGCCCAGCCCCTTGATGGGGGATTTTGTGGGTTCTCGGGGCCCCAGGGCCCCAGGGAGTCAGCACCTATGCCCCATATCAAACAGGACCACGGACAGAGATTGGTTGGATGGGAGTAAGGACATGTGTGTTTATGCAGGCCTGACCCAATACATTTTGATGCCTGAGGTGAACCACAGAATGGTGCGCCTTGCCTCTCAGGGGGTAGAGATCAGGAACAAGGGGAATAAAGATCTACACTGGAATCTGCTGCTCTGCGGATCTTGCTGCCCGAGGCAGTTGCCTCCCCTTGCCTTATGGGTGTGCCAGCCATGTATGTCTGCATGTGTCTTTGTGTCCCCTGTCTGGGAAGACACTGGAGCTCCAATCTTCCTGGCTCCTAGACAGGCCCTGATCCAGGCAGGTGCTTCCATGAGCTTCCCCATTCATGCACAGTTAGCAGGATACTTCCCTGGTTCATTGTCTACTCTGCTCCTGGGAACCCTCACACCCCTACTACGCTTTTCTTAACATCCAGAGCACAAAAGCTTCCTCAGAGCATTGTGCATTTGTGTTTGTCCTAAAAAAGAAAAAAGAAGGTATTGCCTGGTTGTGGAATACTTCTTAAGGACCAAAAGAGCTTCCTTTCCTTTCCCCCATTTTTGTTTTGCAAAACAACTGGTTATCAGTGGTTCAAAAGCAGCTGAAGTGTAAAGCTGCAACATTTCTGACGCCTCAGCACTCACACACATGATTTTACAGGCATGTGCACTACGGCCAAGAGGGGTCCAGCCGCCTACTAAGGACAGACAGAAGTTCAAAAAACTCTGGGGCGCTGAGTGCTGCAGGAAGGACAAGGGAGAGAGCTTGCACTAAACATTTTAACAAGGTATCCCCAAAGGCAAAACACAGGGACCACGGGATGAGGGCTATCACTTATTAGGGGCAGAGGGAGTGCCCCATTTTCTGAGTAAAGTGCAAGCTAGAGTAATTGGGTGTGCAGGACTGATGCTGTGCCATAGTCAAATCTAGAGGCTTCCCACTGCCACCCAATACTTGCTAGAAACTGCAGTCAGTGCCACTTCTGACACCATGTTGCATGTCGGTTACCGGTTATCAAAATTTTAAAAATTCAGAAGTCATGCAGAAGGTAAATAGGAAATAATTGGGGATCAAGTCATAGTCTCAGGGGAGGCCACCCATCTGATTCCTATCAGGTCTTCTGTAGACAGAGCATGACTTCTGTCATTTATCTGCTCACACTGTGTTTCCTTACCAGGATGAAGTCTGTCTGATAAGTGGAGAGCATGAATACTGAGATGTTCTGATCAGCCAACGGAGCTATCACTGATTTGGCAATCTTGGTCACGCCGATGGGCTGGGAGCTGGAGAAACTGCCTCCTCCGGAAACCACGTTGAGCGCCAACCACGTCGCATCTGCCACACTCAGGTGTTCTGAGGAAGGGAGCTCTGAGTGTTGGGAGGGAAAAAACCCCACAACGATTACCTTCATTGGTTCATCAGTGAATATTAATTCAGCTGAGAGCTAAGAAGGGAGTTCTGAAGTGTGATTGATCTTACATTTGTTCTGGAACGTTCCATACCTGTCAAAGAACATGGTGCCTATTTGTCCCTTGCACAGCAAGCACTTCTTGATAATGTTCTGAGAGTCTGTTTATTCTGGCAAATTCAGACAAATATGAATGACATGAAAGCAGTTTACTGTGAAACTATTTCGAGGGCAGTAGCTGTGTTCCTCTGGCATTTATTTATTTTATTATATACATTATACTTCTATACTGTCCATCATCTGAGGATTGCGGAGTGGTTTTCAATATAAAAACACAAAAATGTATAAGAAAAATACTGCTCCTTTTCCCGTAGGAGAGTCAAAGTGGCTCCAGGGTTGTTCTCCTGTACTATTTCAGACACGTGGTTTATATACTTATGTATGTGTTTGCCTTGTACATTTATGAACATTTATTTTATAAATATAAGACCTTAGAATTCCTATAACAACAATAAGAAATGAAACAATACCCACAGTTTAAAAAGCCATAGATTGTTTAGTTAGCCAATAGCCGGGGAGAAGAGGGATGCTTTTGCCTGGTGCCTAAAGATATAGAATCGTAGAGTTGTTAGGGACCCCAAGGGTCATCTAGTCTGACCCCGCTGCAATGCAGGAATCTCAGCTAAAGCATCCATGACAGATGGCCATCCAACCTCAGCTTAAAGACCTTCAAGGAAGGAGAGCCCACAACCTCCCAAGGGTGCCAACCTAACAAAGGCTCCAGGCAAACCTTCCCAGGGAGAACATTCCACAAATTGGGAGCCACCACGGAAAAGGCCCATCCTCATGTTGCTCCCTCCAGATCTCTTGTGGAGGAGGCACGCAAAGAAGGGCCTCAGATGATGCAGGTCGGTCCATTTGTTTTTCTTACAGCAATAACAACATACATACCCATGTGCACAGTGCTTTCTTCCGGGGAGGGGAGGGGAGGGGGTGGTACGCAGGGGTATGCATACCCCTAAACATTTTGCGACTCTAAGACTATTAAATAAATAAACCAACCAGCATGCTTTCTTCAGCTCATTCTTCCTCACATGCCCCCACCCAACTATCACCTGTGAATGAGAATGATCTGATTTTTTTTGCTCTTCCCTCGATGCAGAAGACCCCACAGAGGGCTGACTCGAGGGGTTCAACAAGGCACTGTGGGATGACCCTGTGTTTCTTTGTTACTCTAAGAAAACAGGTTATGTGCTTTTGCATAGTGGTAGAGTCCTTACGTTGTTTAAAGAAGGAATCCTGACCTTTTTGGAAATTCAAATGCTTTCGCCTCCACTCCCAATATTCTCGCTTGCACATTTTCTAGCTGGAACAATTGCAACGCCAAAAATATTTGCTTTCACGTTCCTGCTAATTGATGCCAAAGCCAACACAGCGAAGCTTGTTTCTCAGAATTCATCCAATAAATACCCCAGTCTACCTTCTGCCAACCACTGGTGGAAAACATCTTGCAACACATACGGATTTCTGAGTAGCATTTTTGCTTTCACCCAAAGATTGCGAGGGCTCAAAGCTCCTTTTCTCAGGCAAACAAAATGGTTTTGAGCCGCAGCACTCAAGGATAGATAGTGAAACAGACAGAGGCACATGAGATGCTTTCTTTGCCTCCATGATACTCTCCACCCAAGTTTGTAAAATGCCAAAACAAATTCCAAACTCTCCTGTATGCTTCATCTATCCTGAGCATACAAAAGGCAAAACAAAACCCAGAAGAATGCAGATAATGTCAGCCTCACCTTACAGCCTTAAACTTCAAAATGCAATTGCACCCTCAAAATTGCATGCATGCAATTGCAAAATGCATCTCTCTCTCTCTCTCTCTGGTTCCACTTACCCTTGATCCCCACTGCCTTCCACCCCACAGTCCCAATGGGCTGCACAGAGTACTCAAAATGACAGGTATGTTTCCTAGCACAATTCAAAGTGTTGGTGCTGAACTTTAAAGCCCTAAACGGCCTCGGCCCAGTATACCTGAAGGAGAGTCTCCATCCTCATCATTCTGCCTGAACACTGAGGTCCAGTGCTGAGGGCCTTCTGCCGGTTCCCTCCCTGCGAGAAGCCAAGTTACAGGGAACCAGGCAGAGGACCTTCTTGGTAGTGGCACCTGCCCTGTGGAACGCCCTCCCGTCAGATGTCAAGGAAATAAACAACTATCTGATGTTTAGAAGACATCTGAAGGCAGCCCTGTTTAGGGAAGTTTTTAATATTTAATGCTGTATTGTTTTTAACACTCGATTGGGAGCCGCCCAGAGTGGCTGGGGAAACTCAGCCAGATGGGCGGGGTATAAATAATAAATTCAGTATTACAGTATTATTATAACAGTATTATAACAGTATTATTATAACTACTGATGACTGATATTTCTTGCCCTGGAGCACAATTGGATGCTGTTATCGTAGGGGTGGGGATGAGAAAAGATGCAGTGAATTAAATATTACCATTCCCCCCCCCCCAGGGCAGGGAGTGAGGATAGTCCAGATGTAAACTGGACCTTAGAGGTTGGGGTTCATGCTCTCCTCACCAGAGGGAGAGGCTAAAAAAATATGAAGGTGAACGGAGGGTCTGGCTGGTGGTAAAGATGCTAACCTATCAAAGCAACCCTTGTATTGACAACACAGGCTTGGTCATTCGCTGGACTGCCTGCATTCTACATTGACATGGATAACTAGGTGTTGCCTCCCACAAGAGAGACAGAATTGTCGCCTGATTTTGCAGTTTGCCTGTGACTCCTGCTGTTCTGTCCCAGAATCCTGACACTTACAATCTAAGCAAGATGCCGGAGCAGAAATGAAAACAGAGAGAAGCAGTCTCCAATTATTTTGGGCCGCTCGGTTTGCTCTGTCAACTCTGGCTTCTTCTCCCTAAGTGATTGGGAGAGAGGTGGTGCGTTGGAAAGAGAGATCACACCTGATGCTGTGAAGGTTGACACCAGTGGCCACCCTTCCCGAAACACAGCAATAGAAACACCTTTAATAACACATTTCTGCAATAGTTCCAGCAGCTCTGGTTTCACAAACAGCCACATGAGGATGTGGCTGATGGCAGCGGTTTGTAAAATAAGTATGTGGTAACTCAGACATGGAAAAACTGCATTCTGTACACATGCATCACCTATCACCTATCATCTATCTATCTATCTATCTATCTATCTATCTATCATCTATCTATCATCTATCTATCTATGTATCTATCTATCTATCTATCATCTATCTATCTATCTATCTATCTATCTATCTATCTATCATCACCCCTTCATGGATCACCGCCTTGCCGTGGTGAAGGGGCTTGAATAACTCAGAGAAGCTATGAACTATGCCAAGCAGGGCACCCAAGATGAACAGGTCATAGTGGAGAGTTTTGACCAAACGTGATCCACCTGGAGGAGGAACCGGCAAGCCACTCCAGTATCCCTGCCAAGAAAACTCCATGGACAAAGACAACAGGCATATAAAAGTTATGACGCTGGAAGATGAGCCCCTCAGGTCGGAAGGTGTCCAACATGCTACTGGGGAAGAGCGGAGGACAAGTACAAGTAGATCCAGAGCTGATGAAGCGGCTGGGCTAAAGCTGAAAGGACGCTCAGTTGCGGATATGCATGGAAGTGAAAGGAAAGTCCAATGCTGTAAAGAAAAATATTGCATATGAACCTGGAATGTAAGAACCATGAACCTGGGTAAGTTGGATGTGGTCAAAAATGAGATGGCAGGAATAAATATTGACATCCTGGGCATCAGTGAACTAAAATGGACGGGAATGGGCAAATTCAGTTCGGATGACTATCATATCTACTACTGTGGGCAAGAAACCCGCAAAAGAAATGGAGTGGCCCTCATAGTCAACAAAAGAGTGGCGAAAGCTGTACTGGGATGCAATCTCAAAAATGATAGAATGATCTCGATACAAATCCAAGGCAGACCTTTTAACATCACAGTAATCCAAGTTTATGCACCAACTACTGGTGCTGAAGAAACTGAAATTGACCAATTCTATGAAGATGTACAAGACCTTATAGAAGTGACACCAAAGAAGGATGTTCTCATTATTGGGGATTGGAATGCTATAGTAGGGAATCAAGAGATAAAAGGAACAACTGGCAAGTTTGGCTTGGAGATCAAAACGAAGCAGGGCAAAGGCTAATAGAGTTCTGCCAAGAGAACAAGCTGGTCATCACAAACACGCTTTTCCAACAACACAAGAGACGACTCTACACATGGACATCACCAGATGGGCAACATCGAAATCAGATTGATTATATTCTCTGCAGCCAAAGATGGAGACGCTCTATACAGTCAGCAAAAACAAGATCCGGAGCTGACTGTGGCTCAGATCATCAACTTCTTATAGCAAAATTCAAGCTTAAACTGAAGAAAGTAGGAAAAACCACTGGGCTGGTAAGATACAATCTAAACCAAATCCCTTATGAATACACAGTGGAAGTGAGGAACAGGTTTAAGATTTAGATTTGCTGGACAGAGTGCCTGAAGAACTATGGGTGGAGGCTCGCAACATTATACAGGAGGCAGCAACTAAAAACATCCCAATGAAAAAGAAATGCAAGAAAGCAAAGTGGCTGTCCAACGAGGCCTTACAAATAGCGGGGGAGAAGGCAAGCAAAATGCAAGGGAGATAGTGAAAGATACAGGAAATTGAATGCAGATTTCCAAAGAATAGCAAGGAGAGACAAGAAGGCCTTCTTAAACGAGCAATGCAAAGAAATAGAGGAAAACAACAGAATGGGAAGAACCAGAGATCTGTTCAAGAAAATCGGAAATATGAAAGGAACATTTCGTACAAAGATTACCATAATAAAGGACAAAAGTGGTAAGGACCTAACAGAAGCAGAAGACATCAAGAAGAGGTGGCAAGAATACACAGAGGAATTATACCAGAAAGATATGGATGTCTCGTACACCCCAGGTAGTGTGGTTGCTGACCTTGAGCCAGACATCCTGGAGAGTGAAGTCAAATGGGCCTTAGAAAGCACTGCAAATGACAAGGCCAGTGGAAGTGATGATATTCCAGCTGAACTATTTAAAATTTTAAAAGATGATGCTGTTAAGGTGCTACACTCAATATGCCAGCAAGTTTGGAAAACTCAGCAGTGGCCAGAGGATTGGAGAAGATCAGTCTACATCCAAATCCCAAAGAAGGGCAGTGCCAAAGAATGCTCCAACTACCGCACAATTGCACTCATTTCACACGCTAGCAAGGTTATGCTTAAAATTCTACAAGGAAGGCTCAAGCTGTATGTGGACCGAGAACTCCCAGAAGTGCAAGCTGGATTTAGAAGAGGCAGAGGAACCAGAGACCAAATTGCAAACATGCGCTGGATTATGGAGAAAGCTAGAGAGTTCCAGAAAGACATCTACTTCTGCTTCATTGACTATGCAAAAGCCTTTGACTGTGTCGTCCACAGCAAACTATGGCAAGTTCTTAAAGAAATGGGAGTGCCTGATCACCTCATCTGTCTCCTGAGAAATCTCTATGTAGGACAAGAAGCTACAGTTAGAACTGGATATGGAACAACTGATTGGTTCAAAATTGGGAAAGGAGTACGACAAGGCTGTATATTGTCTCCCTGCTTATTTAACTTATATGCAGAATTCATCATGCGAAAGGCTGGGCTGGACGAATCCGAAACCAGAATTAAGATTGCCAGAAGAAATATCAACAACCTCAGATATGCAGATGACACAACCTTGATGGCAGAAAGTGAGGAGGAATTAAAGAACCTTTTATTGAGGGTGAAAGAGGAGAGCGCAAAATATGGTCTGAAGCTCAACATAAAAAAAAACGAGATCATGGCCACTGGTCCCATCACCTCCTGGCAAATAGAAGAGGAAGAAATGGAGGCAGTGAGAGATTTTACTTTCTTGGGCTCCATGATCACTGCAGATGGTGACAGCAGTCACGAAATTAAAAGATGCCTGCTTCTTGGGAGAAAAGCAATGACAAACCTAGACAGCATCTTAAAAAGTAGAGACATTACCTTGCCAACAAAGGTTCGTATAGTAAAAGCTATGGTTTTCCCAGTAGTGATGTATGGAAGTGAGAGCTGGACCATAAAGAAGGCTGATTGCCGAAGAATTGATGCTTTTGAATTATGGTGCTGGAGGAGACTCTTGAGAGTCCCATGGACTGCAAGAAGATCAAACGTATCCATTCTTAAGGAAATCAGCCCTGAGTGCTCACAGGAAGGACAGATCGTGAAGCTGAGGCTCCAATACTTTGGCCACCTCATGAGAAGAGAAGACTCCCTGGAAAAGACCCTGATGTTGGGAAAGATTGAGGGCACAAGGAGAAGGGGACGACAGAGGATGAGATGGTTGGATGGTGTTCTTGAAGCTACCAGCATGAGTTTGATCAAACTGCGGGAGGCAGTGGAGGACAGAAGTGCCTGGCGTGCTCTGGTCCATGGGGTCACGAAGAGTCGGACACGACTAAACGACTAAACAACAACAACATCTATCATCTATCTATGATCCTCATCTGCACCTTTCATTTAAACTCTGGGAATTGTAGTTCCATGAAGGGAATTAAAGCTCTCCTAACACTTCTCAGATGGGATGCGGGTGGCACTGTGGGTTAAACCACAGAGCCTAGGGCTTGCCGATCGGAAGGTCGGTGGTTCGAATCCCCGCAACGGGGTGAGCTCCCGTTGCTCGGTCCCTGCTCCTGCCAACCTAGCAGTTCGAAAGCACCTCAAAGTGCAAGTGGATAAATAGGTACTGCTCCGGCGGGAAGGTAAACGGCGTTTCCGTGCGCTGCTCTGGTTCACCAGAAGCGGCTTAGTCATGCTGGCCACATGACCCGGAAGCTGTATGTCGGCTCCCTCGGCCAATAAAGCGAGATGAGCACTGCAACCCCACAGTCATTCGTGACTGGACCTAATGGTCAGGAGTCCCTTTACCTTTTTAACACCTCTCAGCACCTCTAACCAGTGCTTTTTTCTGGGGGGACACAGGGGTATGCATACCCCTAAACATTTTGTGAATCTCTGTACTTTTGTCCGTTTACTGTATTTATTTCCCCCGATCTGAACGATAAAATGGTGATTTTCTTGAGTCAAAATGAGAGTACCCCTAAACATTTTTTATAGAAAAAAGCATTGCCTTTAACAAAATTCAGTTCCCAGAATTCTTTGGAGGAAAGCCATGGGCTGTCTAAAGTGGCACGATACTGATTTAAATGTACAGAGCAGAGGGGGTCCAAGGGTGATTTAAAGTTCCAACCCCCACCAAGCTCCCTAGTTGACCCTCGAGCCACCATCTCTCTCAGCCATGCCAACCTGGCAGGGCTGTTGTACAAATGAACTGGGAAGGAGAAAACTACCATGATTCTCTTCAGAGAAACACAAAACAATATAAAGTGGTACCTCGGGTTAAGTACTTAATTCGTTCCGGAGGTCCGTTCTTAACCTGAAACTGTTCTTAACCTGAAGCACCACTTTAGCTAATGGGGCCTCCCGCTGCTGCCGCGCTGCTGGAGCACGATTTCTGTTCTCATCCTGAAGCAAAGTTCTTAACCCGAGGTACTATTTCTGGGTAGCAGAGTCTGTAACCTGAAGCGTATGTAACCCGAGGTACCACTGTACATTTACATGCATAAACACATGTGCTCCCCTCAGCATCAGTTATGCCTGCATAGCTAGAACAAACCTACATTTCTGACAGCACCTTTCCTTGGAAAATGGGGTTTGCAAAAAACTGGGTGTAAATAAACAGCATCAGTTTCCCCCTCTCTTCCTCCTTCCATGGAAGTAAGGTCAAAGATACAAAATTACTTTCCATGAGTTTATAGTAATTCCTTTTCTTTTTCTTTCCTCCTTCTTTTTGTTATTTCCCCTTTTCATTTTTATTTTGACTAATCTGTTTTCCACTGCAGGCTCCTCTTCCACACAGGCCTGTCTCTAGCCATCCTCCCCTTGGCTAGCTGACCAGAAGAGAATTAACCCTTAAGGTACACACAGGATGATCTCTGCTGCTGCACTTCCACCTCTTGGCATCCTCGAGGTCACAGGAGGTCCAGATCCTGGGTGTGAACAACTCCTTGCCTCCTCCCCAGCCCTCCTGAATGCCTGGCCTGGGGACAGGATGCACTAAGATTTGCCAAAGTAGCCACAAAACCCGCCAAACAGGTCCTCGTGTCTCTATAATTAGGCCACGAGGCAGGTCTCACGTTTGGCTTCCGCGTATCAAGAATGTGTTTACATCAAAATCTGAGCCCGCAGAAGCCAACAGGGCAGCTGGATGGCAGCCAGCTGCAAGCATTCTTTCCAAGCAGAGATGCCGCTCCGCATTTCGAAGTCCTGCTAATCTGATAAGGTGCCCGGGGAATTATGTGGGTAAACAATGCCAAAATGGGCTGGTAGGGAGAGAGCAAGAAAAGGTGGAACAACATGATATACAACGAATTGAAGAAAACGTTCCATTTAACATTTGTTAAAAAACCGGAAGCATTTTTATTAGGGATTGTAGGGAAAAATCTGCCAAAAAAGCTGAAAAAAATCTTCATGTATGCGACAACGGCCACGAGCGTTTTAATAGCACAAGGATGGAAGACTGAAGAAACCCCAATTAAAGAATCATGGCAAGAAAAATTGATGGACTACACAGAACTGGCAAAATTGACATATAGGTTACGGGACAAGGATAACTGTGACTTTAAAGATGAATGGGAACCCTTTACAAAGTATTTGAAGACGCAACAAAGCGAACTGGACTCCTTGGCTGGTTTTGAATAAACATTCACAAACTTTTTATTGATAATAATCCACTAAATAGTTTGAGGAGCTATACAACTGTGTAACATGCAGAAAACAGCATTCTCAGAGAAACCAAAGACTGGAACTGAGGGAAGGGAGGGAGGGGGAGGGAGGAAAAATGGGGGGGGGGAAATAAGGATGATATGTTTCTGGATAATATGTTTTGTTTTAATTTTGAATAAAAAATTATTAAAAGAAAAGAAAAGGTGGAACACAGCTGGCTCTCAGGGAGGGAGAAAACTATCAGGGTGTACGCTGTTGCCTTGTGCCAGATACATACTTTCAACCAGAACCGCTGGAAATCGGCTACAGACCACTGTGGGCAGAGGTGGATTTGGGGGAGCACAGCCTGTTCAGTTGCCCTCGGTGCGGAGCCTAGAGGGCGCTGCAGCTATGATTTAGGATGGAGCGCAAGAGGCAGAGGAGGCTGGATTTCGGCCTTGCGCAGCGTGCCACTGAACTCCGAGGCTCCAAGGTCTGCCACTGCTGTTGAGTCGCAGCCACATTGGCACATGAGGAAATGTCAAAACTGAGGGACAAGCAGCGGTAGAGAGAGGCGCAAGGATGGGGGCCAGAAAGAAAACTGAGGAGCCGGATCGGAACCAAGAGTTGCTTCCGGCTAAAAATCCCATTCGAAGTACAGTGGTACCTCATGTTAAGTACTTAATTCGTTCCGGAGGTCCGTACTTAACCTGAAACTGTTCTTAACCTGAAGCACCACTTTAGCTAATGGGGCCTCCTGCTGCCGCCACGCCGCCAGAGCACGATTTCTGTTCTCATCCTCAAGCAAAGTTCTTAACCTGAAGCACTATTTCTGGGTTAGCGCAATCTGTAACCTGAAGCATATATAACCTGAGGTACCACTGTAGACCTACCAAAATTAACAGGTCACTGTCACTACTGTTCCTTGCCCTTCCAAGCTGCTGGAAACTGGGGGAAGGGAGAAGGCTCCTGAGCTTCACTCCTGTTTCTGCGTTGCCCACAGACATTTGGTTGGCTACTGTGAGAATAGGATACTGGACTCAGTTGGCCACTGGCCTGATCCAGCTTGTTAAGCATTGCTCACATCTCTGAAAAGCATTGTAGCTCCTTAGCCCCAGAGACCCCGAGGAAGGAATAAAAAACTTTGAAATGGCGCATCAGAATTCCAACAGGGGGGAATTGTAACATACAAATCTACCCATAGCAACTATGGTATATACAGTGGTACCTCGGGTTACAAACACTTCAGGTTACAAATGCTTCGGGTTACAGACTCCGCTAACCTGGAAGTAGTACCTCGGGTTGAGAACTTTGCCCCAGGATGAGAATGGAAATTGCGCGCCGGCGGCGCAGCAGCAGCGGGAGGCCCCATTAGCGAAAGCACGCCTCAGGTTAAGAACAGTTTCGGGTTAAGAACGGCCCTCCGGAACGACTTAAGTTCGTAACCCGAAGTACCACTGTATATTTGTCTTCTCCAATCAGGTGCCCTCCAGGTGTTTCAAACAAGTTCCATCAGGCTGAGGATGACAGGAATTTTTAGACCAAAAGATCTGGGCTGCACAAAATTGATATATAATATATTGGCCCTCTGCAAGACATAAACAGACACAAAGAGAGAGATTCATTTCCTCCTAGAAGTGGAATCATCTATTCATGCTTCACTGCATTAGAAGTTAAACCGGAGTATATTTTTAGTTGCCACTTGATTATGTAAGCTCCATTATATAACAAACTCTAGTTATGGGCATTCTGTTTGGCTCGCTTAAAGCATAGCAACGTTATGTCCAAACTGCTTTCCTTTGCTTTAGCCAAGAAAAATAAATTAAACGGGCCATACATTGAAATCCTGGCAAGGCTTTATTTTTATTTTTTTGAAGGACGGGCTGAGATCATTCTCTTTTTTCCGGGGTGATGGTGTTGTTGTTGCATATCTTCTACAAAACAAGTTATCTCTCACATGGACACATGAAGTGGCTTGATAGTTAGTCAGACTGTTGGGCTGATCTAACCCAGGGCTCCCAGGCTCTGACTGGCAGCCATTCCCTAGAGTCTGGGGTATGACTTTGTTGAGCAAGCTGGTTTCGCTAAAAATGCCAGGGCCGAATCTGTGATTCTGCACAGTGTGGTGAATCTAGCGCCGAGCTAGAAGAGGGAGCTCCTATGTGTCGTCTAGCGCAACATCTCATCCTTACAACAGCCCTGTGAGGTAGGCTTTGGCAGAGAGGCAGCGAACGGCTTACAAGCGGCTGAACGGGGGACCTGAGGGCTCTTCCAGTCAAAGACTGACATCAGGGGAGTTCAGACACTCAGCAAAAGAACACACAAAGGGGAAGGGGTGTCATTTAAATCCCCTCTTCTCTGCCCACCACACCATACTGGAAATTCATGAGTGTAACAAAATAATAACAGATTGTTCTGGTATAGCTCCAGGATTGGCAGGGTGAGGGTCTTGGAAACAAGCCTTCAAGCAAGGTTTGTGTGTGTGTGTGTGTGTGTGTGTGTGTGTGTTCCTCATGTTTTGGTGGAGCCTCATCCACAGACCTCTCTAGTTGCTGCATCAAGAACGTAATCCCCCTCCTTGCACCAGAGTGTCAGGTGTATAAGTGTGACCCAGGGCACTGTGGGAAATTAAAATGGCTGCTTGCCACGACTGGCGAAGCAGCTGGCCAGGGGCTCAAGGCATCTAGCTGTGCCAGAGTTCCTTGCTCTTTATCCCACATTAAGATGGGATGGGGGCTTTGAAGCTCTGCCACCCCAGCTCCCTTCTTGAAGGCCTTATTATCTATCTATCTATCTATCTGTCTGTCTGTCTGTCTATCTATCTATCTATCTATCATCTATATAAATCCAGTTATATGTTCCTTTTCATTCAAGATCACAGAGTAAGTTTGCAGGTAAAATACAGGGTATATCTAAAGAACCACTGATGAGCAAAACTCACGAAGGTCCCTTTGCTACAAATAAGGACTCTGGTCCTCATGGTTTTGAATAAGGGGCTAATTTAAAAAGGATCACAGGAAGTTGTCTTAGACTGGGTGATATCACTGGTTCTTCCAGCCTATTGTTGTTTGCACTGACTGGCAGCTGCTGTCTGGGAGTTTCCCCCTATCCGACCCACTGGGAACGGAACCTGGAACCTTTTCCACCGAGCTCCATCCCTTCCTCAAACTGGAACATCACTGCCAATGTAGCCTTGGATATATTTTTTTAATAAAAAAACGCAAAACTTTATTACCGCACTGATGAGATCACACCACCATGGATGTTGTTGATAACGGTTTGGCTACATCGGCTTCACAGCTCAAGAATGGCATTGTGACTAAGCATGACTTTTATAACTCTTCTTAACAAGAGGGTCAGTTCTATTTCTGACATAGGTGCCAGTTCCACGGTGGGGCGGGGGGAGGCAGAAAAAAGGCAGTGGCAGAGGCGCTAGGAAAGGGGGGGGGGGAAGTATCATATGAGAAGCAGCAGACTTTCCCTCCCTTTGTCAGGGAGCAAAAAAAATAAAATAGGCAGACTTCCTTTTACATGTACAATCCTGCCCTACCCTGCCTGCAGCTTTGTGACCTGTTGGGATAGATGCGCCCAGCAGGCCAGTGACCACAGAGAAAAGGGAGTGCAAGCTTGCTAGTAACACAGGGCTATTTGTCAGGGAGAACAGGGAAAGAAGATCCATAGAATTCTGGCACAGGAGTCAGGTGTGAGCCTGGTGCAAAAAATAGACGAACACGCGGGTGGCACTGTGGGTTAAACCATAGAGCCTAGGACTTGCCGATCAGAAGGTCGGCAGTTCGAATCCCCGTGATGGGGTGAGCTCCCGTTGCTCGGTTCCTGCTCCTGCCAACCTAGCAGTTTGAAAGCACGTCAAAGTGCAAGTAGATAAATAGGTACTGCTCTGGCGGGAAGGTAAATGGCGTTTCCGTGCGCTGCTCTGGTTCGCCAGAAGTGGCTTAGTCATGCTGGCCACATGACCCGGAAGCTGTACGCCGGCTCCCTTGGCCAATAAAGCGAGATGAGCGCCGCAACCCCAGAGTCGGTCACGACTGGACCTAATGGTCAGGGGTCCCTTTACTTTTTACCTAGTCTCTGGAAACAAACAGGAGGAGAATATCGGTCTCCCCAGGACACAGGCCATTTTTCAACAAGAGCACGAAACTGGCAAACCAGCATTTTGCACAGAAGTTTGGTTCTCTCCATTTCGCTCTCCTTTGCCTCCCGGGACAGACGGGATGCCAATCATCAGGTCTAAATAAAGGGATCTCCCTCCTTCCCTGCCTGTACAAACATTAAAACAGAAGGATCACATGGTTCCATGTAATATATTTAAGATCCACTTCCAAGGTTCCTTTCCCAGGGATTAATCCAGGTTAAGTGGATGGCAACTTGAGAGACATTGCCTTTTCAGTGGTGGCTCCTTATTTATGAAGCATGCTTCCCAAACCAATGCTAGAAGGTCAAAATTGCGTTTAGATTTTAGGCAGGCTTGTGGCGTTTGCCCTCCTAGGTGACATCATGCTGGGTCATAAGGAAAGGGTTAAATGAGTGTGAAGTGATTGGCCAGTGGGAACCCAAGGGGAGTAGTTAGAGTTAGAGTTGTGAAGAATGGAGTCGGGTGTTAGAGAAGAGAGAGTGAGGATACGTCTGTGGGTTGGGATAGTTTGATGTGAGGGAGTGAGAGAATCTGTTGAGAGGAGTCAGTTAAACATTTGGGATAATCAGTTAGAAGGTATTAGGAAGGTATAGGCCGGTAAAGAAACTAAGGTTAAGAAACTGACAAGAAAAATTATCTGAAACCATAAACTTGTTAATGCTTATAAAATAAACTCGTTTATTTGGTTTAATGTTAACAACTGTCTGGACTCTGTGTGTACCCAAGAGAAACGGGTTGGTGGCAGCGGAGAAGCAATCACAGTGGTGGCACAGGGATCAATAGACCGTCAAACGTCCGGGGACCCTGTGTGATCGCCACAAGGCTTATCTGGGATATTGAACAAGCGGGATGCACTCCTAAGCACATCTGCACAGGCTTGTTTAGAGAAGGCTTTTTCCTCACCAAGACTTTTAAATTGCTCAAAAGGCGCATCAGCTCTCTTAATTTGTCCTCTGAAATTATTTACAGAGGCCCACGCCAATATGGTGCCCCTTGGAAGCTGCTGGGCTCCCAACTCTCATCCTCCTCAACCATTAAGGCATGTTGGCTGGGGCTGATGGGAATTGTAGTCCAACAACACCTGGCACCAGATTGGGGAAGATCCACTGCTCCTTCTGCAGTTTTATGCTTGTTCTATTTCTTTTCACTTTCTATTGCTTTATTTGGGTAGCTTTCACGGTAAGCAGCTTTGGAGATTTTAAAAAAGAGAGAGAGAGAGAAGTCAAAGAACAGCTCAGGTTTTTCTGGGTTTCTCTCCACGTTTGGTTCGACATGGGAGTCAAACGAGGGCTGAGCTTGAAAATGGAACAAGCTAAATTTTTCTTCCTCCATTGGAAGCTTGAACTGGAACCGGTTTGACTTCTTGATTGCTATACTTTGATGTTTCATCTGCTTCAGGGCTCAGCGATATGCTCTGGCCAATGCTTTGTGGGCGTCCTTAATTAGCAAAATTAATAAATAAGCCCTAATTGCAGGAAGAGAGTCCAGGGATCTATGCTTTAAGCAGACAAATATCCTACAATATCCTGCCTCGCCGTCCCCTTTATTAATGCACCCCAAATAAATTATAAGGCAAGCCCTCTTCAGATACCAACAGCTTAACATGCTGCTTGGCTGCTGTTTATAAAACAAGATACAGCAGTTGGAACAGCAAGATCTCTGTTTGCATTCACAGCAAACAAAGTCAACTGGCAAACAAACAGGCTGTAATTGAGGGAGGTGGTTTAGTTTGTGTGTGTGTGTGTGTGTGTGTGTGCGCGTGCCCCCCCATCACTCTCCCCACTTCAGGCCGGCTACTTGGGGGGCAGAAGACTGAGAGACAGAAATAAATAGAATCCTTGCTAAATGCAATTTCTTAACATCAAGGGCAACGTGAAGGTCACCAGCCCTGAATAACAGTCATTGTGGATGCGAGCAAAGGAAAGGGCTGGAAAATATTCCTCACCACGATAAAAATAGGGGGAGTTGGGGGGGAAGGAGGAAGAGAGCTTCCTTCTTGCACTATAATTCTCCACTTACTGTAGAACATTTTCTCCAGGTTCTCTGGGCATCCCTTAACACGGGGTGGGAGGAAATTCCAGACCAATGGTCCACGTTTGGATTGCCAGATCTCAAAATCTGGATTGCCGTGGTCTCTGCAGGCCTCCCTGAGCTCCCCGGACCAACCACATGCCCCAATGGCAAACAAGCTGCTATTGTGCCATGGCTGAGTTCCTGAGCTGCTACTGATGACTGCCTAATAAATGCCTTTCTCTAAAGCCTCCTTTCTTCCTCCCCCGTCTGCAGAAATGAAGAGAACTACAAGAGAGACTGCAGCCAGGCGGGCAAAGGCTGGAAGGGCCATAGCTCAGTGGAATGAAGAAGGTCTCGGGTTCAACCCCCAGCTTCTCCAGGTAGGGATGGTGGGACTATCCTGTGCCTGAAACCACCGAGAGGTGCTGCCAGTCTGTTTAGACAACACGGAGGAAGATGGACCAGTGCTTTGACTGGGTGTAAGGTACCTTAGACTCACCCACCCCGCCTGCCTTCCTACCAGCCTAGTATTTAAATGAAGGTGGGGAACCTCACAGGCCACACTTGGACCACCAGGCTATATGGGGGAAGTCATGCTCATATGCATGCAGCAAACGTTTTCTGCAGGGGGCCAGTTCACTGTCCCTCAGACCTTGTGGGAGGCCGGACTATCTATCTATCTATCTATCTATCTATCTATCTATCTATCTATCTATCATCTATCTATCTATCTATCTATCTATCTATCTATCTATCTATCATCTATCTATCTATCCATCTCTATCTATCTATATTGGGGGGGGGGGATTAACAAATTCCTATGCCCCACAATTAACCTAAAGATGTGTTTAAAATAAAAGCACACATTCTACTCATGTAAAAACACCAGGCAGGCCCCACAAATAACCCAGAGATGCCCTCCCACCAGATGTCAAAGAGAAAAACAACTACCAGACTTTTAGAAGACACCTGAAGGCAGCCCTGTTTCGGGAAGCTTTTAATGTTTAACAGACTATTGTATTTTAATATTTTGTTGGAAGCCGCCCAGAGTGGCTGGGGAAACCCAGCCAGAAGGGCGGGGTATAGATAAATAATAATAATAATAATAATAATAATTATTACATTCGCTAGTCACTTTGCATGGGGGAAGGAAGGTCCCAGAGCAAGAAGAAACACAAAAGCAATTTGAAACCAGAATTATTTAAAGCAATGAATGGGCGGGGTATAAATAATAAATTATTATTATTATTATTTTAAATAAAAGGGCCGATTAAAAAAAAAACGCCGATTCCTGGACCATCCACAGGCTGGATTTAGAAGGCGATTGGGCAGGATCCGGCCCCCAGGCCTTAGTTTGCCTACCCATGCCATACGCAATACACATCAGGTATGAAGTGGGTAAGGTTGGCACTTCAAAGGAACAAGGAGGAGCCAAGAGTGGTTCCCCAATGGTCCCTTTGCTGGAGCAAGGCGTGTCCCCACCTGCCCACCAGCTGATGGGTGCTCAAGGAGGGGGACGTGGTTTCCATTCAAAGCCACTGTTGTGTACTGAGTTGAATAGGATCCAAAATGCAGCAGTCTGATTGGCCCTAGAACAATAGGATCCAGAATGCAGCAGTCTGATTGGTCCTAGAACAATAGGATTCAGAATGCAGCAGTCCGATTGGTCCACAGGAGCCACCCAATCCAGCTCCAGGTGGAAGTGAATCCGCAACCTGATTGGCCTACAAGAGAATCCCGGAATTAGCCAATCACGTGCGGCCCATTGTGTAAATAATGTATATAAAGCAGACAGTCTGTGGGAACTTCCATTCCTCCTCACCACTATGAGCTGAATAAAGAGCATGAAATCTACTCTTGACTCAGAGTATATTTCAGCCACTTCTCTCAGAATTGCTCTCTGAAGCCACCTTGCAGGAGACTGGCCACTTCCCCATAGCACTTCACCAAGCGGTCCACTCCATTGTATTATGCAACAAAAAGTATTGTTATCGTATACCGTGGATGCTGTGCCACTAATTTGCAACGTGTGCAAAGATAAGTATACATCATTGCTCTTTGCTGTAACTGTTATGCTTCTTATGGAACAAAATATAAACAAGCTGTGTAACCAGAAGAAGCCCCCTTTATGCAAGAAAGGAACTGGGCTGTTAGTGGTGGGAGCTGTTGCAGGAATTTATGTATAGGTTGGGGGGGGGTTGCACCTCCAGCAGATATCATGCACATGCAGCCCACTACCAAAATCAGCACAATCACTTTTGTGATTTGTCCCCACAAAACACTTTATCACAGTTTCTTCCTATCTATTCAAAGGGCCTTTTCTGCATGATACCAAATGTAACAATTCACTGATAAATGTATCTATGCACTGGCTCACAGGGAAAACTTCAGAAATTCATATAGACATGTGAGCTCAGCTACTCAGCTGAGTGATAATTCCCAGCATCCTGATACCTGAGTGCCAGACAGGTAGCCATTCCAGAAATAACAAACCCAGATGAAGACAAAAGGGTGTGATTAACTTGGCTGGGAAACAGGGGAATGTAAATATCTCTTTTGTTACACTTGATGGGTGTTTGGAGGAGGACAAGAACCATAGGGCAGGGTCCAGGATGCTCAGATTACTGCCACCAGACCTCCCCTTTCATGATGTAACCATGATGTATTAGTGATGTAGTTTGGGGGGGGGTTGTAACATGGGGATTAGCAGCTAATAAAAGTTTGGGGGCTCTTTTGTTCGGGGCTTCCATCTTGTTCCACCTTGTGGTAGGTAGGAATCCTGTCACAACAGTCTTCAATAAAGACCAAGCCTACTGGCTGCTGTTTTGCTCTGGTATGCCTGGCTGGTGCCCTTGTTTTTGTCCAAGGGACCCCTCAGATTTCTCCATTAACAGAGCTCTCTCTGGAACACCTTTCCAATGCACAGCTGCAATTTATTTTGCCTTTTCGCCATCAAATGAAGACCTTCCTTTAAAAGCAGATCTTTCCCCCCCAGTCTGTGGTTTTTGGTTGTCTCTGAAATACTTTTTCACGTAGAAAATGTTTTTTAATTTTTTTATATATATACACAGAACTGTATTCCCCCTCCCAATTTTTATTTATGATTTTCAGATTATAGCATTTCAATAATTTTACAGTCATTTTAACATTTCAAAACTTGGCTTCCTTCCCCCTCTTTCTGCGGTTCCTTAAAATTATTTTCAATATCTTCTGTATATCCAAATTAACTTAAATTGTTCATTTATTCATCTACTTTAAATATATACTCTTATTGAAACTGCAGGCTATTACAACAACCCTGCCAATGTTCTTATCTGTTTACAATTTATCTGTAAATACTCAATAAACCATTTCCATTCCATGGAACTGTATTTCATTGATCGTACATATGGAATTGTGTTTTTTTGTAAGGAAATGTTCATGTTGCTGATGTTTTTCCTTTTTTTTTTTACTGTATGTTTCGGGATGTTTCAATGGCAGGTGCTTCAGAAACAGAACACTTTTGCCTGTTTGTCTCTCCCTCCTTTTCGCCTTCATTAGGTGACCCTGCATTCCAGGAGGGAGCATTACACTCTCTCCACAATTAAACGTCAGCTACTAACCTTGTACACCTATGTGCTCATTGCCCTGAGCAAATTCACTACTTTTGTGGCGGTTAATATATGCAATTTACAACCCCCTCAACAACTTCTATTTTTTTTAAACACCCCCACAAGGACTGCCCTCCACAATCTACAAAAGCATGCTATTAGTCAACCAGACACTAGCCAAGCCATGAAATTTCTGAATGATTAACTACTGGCTCCCAGCTAAGGTGAGGAAAAATGTATCTTTTTAAGGTGGCCCTAGCTATCAAAGTTCCCTCTAATTATCCCCTTGGCGTGCAGAAGTAGATTTTCACCGGTGTGCACATTTTTCAAACCCTAGAGGGAAGGACAATTTTACATTTCAGTAGCATATGTGGAAAGCAACCATGAATACAGTTCTTAGCGTGGCCTTTAGGGCATTTGATGCAGCAATTCTTGCTGAAGCTAACAAGCTCTGAGTCAGGTCAGTTTTGACTACATGGGCGACTGCTTGGAAGCCCCATGGCAGGAGAGAAATGCCTTTTATCTATGTATATACTTACAAAATGCACTTTCATAAAAGAAAACAAAACAAAACTCCAACCAACAACAATTTTAAAATGTCAGTCGAAGTTGGTTAGCAAACTAAGTTGATGGATTACGCCAAAATGGCAAAGCTGACTGGAAAGGAACCAAGAGGACAAAAACTTCAAAAAAGAATGGGAAAAAAATTATAATTTATTTAGGAGACCAATGCAAGCAGATGAAAACATTACCAGGGTTTTAATCTCACTTGTAATGTAACAAACATTATGGACAATATGGAGTGATACAAAATATAGACTATGAAATAATATGCAGTTCTAAATGTTGGCAATAGGACCCATGGCGGGGGTAGGGATGGGGAAGTCTCGAGATTCAGAGTAATCTCTACATAGGGATATGCATTTTGGTTGTTATGATGTTATATTTGTAAAATCAAATAAAAATGTTTTCAAAAAATAAATAATAATAAAGGTGTACCTATGTAACTTGGGTGGGGAAAAAGCTGGTTAGCAAAGAATCTCAAGGTTGAAAGGCCGACCTGAATAATGTTTTTTAGAAGGTGTCTGAAAACCAGCAGTGACAACTCCTGTTGAACCTCTACGGGCAAGGAGTTCCACAGGACAGGGCCTACCACACTACAGGGCTCGGCCCCTGGTATGGGACAGCTGAAACTCAGGGTTGTGTGGGACCACTAAAGGTAAAGGGACCCCTGACCATTAGGTCCAGTCGTGGCTGACTTTGGGGTTGCGGCGCTCATCTCGCTTTATTGGCCGAGGGAGCCGGCATACAGCTTCCAGGTCATGTGGCCAGCATGATAAAGCCGCTTCTGGCGAACCAGAGCAGCGCACGGAAATGCCGTTTACCTTCCCGCCGGAGCGGTACCTATTTATCTACTTGCACTTTGATGTGCTTTCGAACTGCTAGGTTGGCAGAGCTAATGGGCACTCACCCCGTTGCGGGGATTCGAACCGCCAACCTTCTGATCAGCAAGTCCTAGGCTCTGTGGTTTAACCCACAGCACCACCTGCGTCCCTTGTGGGACCACTGGAGGCACCCTATCAGACAGGGCTAGTCCAGGACGTTTTGCTACATTTTCCTGGCCTGTGCATTCAATGGCAGTGCTCTGAGTACCACTGGTTACAACCCCTAGCCTCTGCACCGCCACCGTGGAAACCCACTGAGTTCCTTCCTCCTACAAGGCAACCGTCAATCGCCACCATCTCCTCCTCTTCCTCCCGACTTAATGCTGATACAGTTCATTATCTTATGAAACAAATTGCTTCAAGTGAAGTGTGACATTAGCATGTGCGTGATTCTCCAGTTGCTGGTGCTATTAAAGTTTAAGATGCAATTAGAACAGAGGGTAGAAAATAGCTTTTGCCGAATATTTCGCAGGCCATTAGTTTGAAGGATTTTCCACACAATTTATCCCTGACATTTAAAAGTAGGAGGGCTAAGGGGGGGAAAGAAATCCACGTGAGGGACCTTTGCCGTTTTGATAAATGCAGTGTATGTCAAACCAGGAGCAGCCGCGGCCAGCAATTTAATATGCTCCATCGGTTGATGGTCTTGTTCAAAACCTGACTGTGCCCAATCAGTGCAAATCACCCCATTAGTAGAGGAGTTTGTCTTGCATTATTATGCACATGCAGAATTTCAAGATGTTAGCTCTCATTGAGGAAGGCCTCCTAACTTTCCAGGCTGGAGCAGTTAAAGACCAAACATTCCTCATCTTTTCCTCCCCCCCCCCCCATTAGTTGAAGTTCTGGCACAGGCATAGGCAAACTCGGCCCTCCAGATGTTTTGGGACTACAACTCCCATCATCCCTAGCTAACAAGACCAGTGGTCAGGGATGATGGGAGTTGTAGTCCCAAAACATCTGGAGGGCTGAGTTTGCCTATGCCTGTTCTGGCATGTCTTCCAAGAGAACTGCAGGCCCTCCAAGTGTCCCTGTTTTCCAGTGACATCCCCTGATTTACAGAAGCTGATTTGATCCTAGAATGCCCTGCTTTTCCTTTCATCGGATAAATGTTGGAGGGTATGGAGTTGTCCAACCCCCAAGCTGTCTGAAGGCAGCCCTGTATAGGGAATTTTTTAAATGTTTAATTGTGTTTCTATATATCTTGGAAGCTACCCAGAGTGGCTGGGGCAAGCCAGTCAGATGGGTGGGGTATAAATAAAACAACAACTACAACGATAGAATCATAGAATTGAAGAGTTGGAAGGGACCCCAAGGATCATCTAGTCCAACCCCCTGCAGTGCAGGAATATGCAGCTGTCCCACATGGGGATCGAACCTGCAACCTTGGCATTATAAGCACCACACCCTAACCAACTGAGCTATCCAGGTTTATAATAATAATTATTGAATAGGAATCCCTATTTTCATCGGAGAAATGTTGGAGCATATGGAACTGGAGCTTGTTGAAAAGCTAAACATCCCACAGGAGAGTTCAGCCATGTCCGCCTGACAAACGTGGCCCACAATGGGAGGGAGAGGTAGCAATCTGGTCTGCCAGTCTCCCCACCACTGTCATACAATAATTTGGGACTGTAACAAAATGTTGCTGCGTGCAGTGATTCAAATCAGTGCACCAGCCAGCCGTCCGATCTTTCAACTACTCCATTCCATTCCCCATCAATGAGCATTCGGGGCCCATTGAGCATGTTCGCTCCTCACTGGGCTGGGGTGGTTTTATGTGTTTGTCTAGTGGTTGGGAAGACTCAAAAAAGGTTTGCTGCATTGGTCCCCACCCATTTTTAAAGAAAAAATATTTGTGCAATCTATACAAAAATAGCACAACAGGGACAACATCAGCCAGCGCACAGGTTTTGTGGTGAAGAGGGAAGACACATTTGTAAGGTGGCAGGATCCTTCTTTACATGTATTGCACAGGTGGGGTCCAATAACACTGAACTGAACTCATAAAGGGAGGAACATGAGGTGACCATCGTTGTGCTCACCTAGAAAGCCTTCTTCATCCACTATGATGGTATAGTCCTCTGGCGTCTCTGTTAAACTGAAGAACTTGCACCTGAAATAGAGGGGGGGGGGAACTGCTTTAAGCATCTGGCTGAACCATGAAACCCTAAGCATGCTTATGGAACACATTTCAGAGGCCAACACAACAGCAACAACACAAGAACATCTCTTTGAGTGATAAAGCTGGAAGCCGCAGAGAGAGACATGCCTTGCTCTGTGCCAAACCTAAGCTAGACTTTGGGGCTTCTCTGGAAACAAACGCAGAAGCAAGATCTGTCAAGGTGCTTCTGGTGTGACACCCTCTAGCTCAGGGGTAGGCAACCTAAGGCCTGGGGGCCCGATGGGGCCCAATTGCCTTCTCAATCCGTCCCGCTGGACGGTCCGGGAATTAGTGTGTTTTTACATAAGTAGAATGTGTCCTTTTATTTAAAATGCATCTCTGGGTTATTTGTGGGGCACAGGAATGCGTTCATTCCCACCCCCCCAAATATATAGTCCGGCCCACCACATGGCCTGAGGGATGGTGGACTGTCCCACAGCTGAAAAAGGTTGCTGACCCCTGCTCTTACCTATGCTCAGGTTGTATATATACCTTCTGGAAGAAGGTACAGGGTTATAAAGACTAGGACTAGCCGCCTGAGAAACAATTTCGATCCAAATGCGATTTTGGTTTTAAACTCAGTGTAAGGTAGTCTCTATGGGAGTATATTGTATTTAATTATGGGGTATCAGAGTTTTTAGGGGGCTAACCAGGCTGGGATAGCAGGCTTGTTGGTTTTTGAATGTCTGATGTAGATTTTTTCAATTTCGCTGCTCTGTACGGGACAATGATAATAAAGATTATCATATTGTATATGTAAATAACTCCTAAAGATACCATACTCTCCATTGGCCTTCATTCTAAGGAAATCAAACTCTGGAAGAGGGTTTGGAACCCCTGGACTCTCCCACCACTCGGGGATTGGGGTGGCATGTAACACAGAGTTTTAACCTTTTTTATTTTTTACATGACCTGGGCATCCAGAAAAGAGGCCTTTGAAGATGATCTTCAAGGTCAATAATGGGAAGAGGCCATTCTTCAGGGAACCCAATCTCCAATAGGCATTAAAAATGTCAAATCCAGCCAGGAACAGGCAAGGAACCAACACAGATGACGTTGCATGCATCCAGATATGAGGAATCGTGTGTTCCCTTTTCCAGATTATACTGCTAATGCTTTTGTCCATTTGTTGCATTGTGGAACGGAGGCGTTTTGACCGATACTCTGGCATGTCGCGCTAAATGGCAGCCGCACCAGTGGGCATGGTGAGATACAACAACAGATGACACTGGACAGAGCCCAGAACCAGACTGAAGCTGGTGCAGTCGCTTAAACATTGGCAAGATATGGTTCCAACCTCCTTGTCCCAAACAGCAAGTCCCCTGCTACATTTTGAACTTGCTGTACTCAGTGAGTGGCTTTTATTTTTATTTTTTAAGGCTTTGCACACAACACATTTGGAACAGTCTAATCTGGAGTTTACCAGAGCATGGATAAATATTAGCTCAGAGAAGCTCAGCTCAGAGTTAGCAGGGTTAGGGAATCTGCTGACGAACCACATAGATGCTGTTCAGGCGTTCTGTCTGAAAGGGGATTTCCCAACACAAGTGGAGAGCAGAGATGGTGCAGTGGGGTGTGCCTCACTCCCACCCCAATGTCCCCACATGAGCCAGCCCTGACCAGGCCATGCTTAGCCTCCCTGCATTTAGTAGGAAGGTCTGAAGTGGTCACCTCAATGTGGTCATGCCACCTCAATGTGGTCATGCTGTTGCCAACTGCAGAAAAAGTGGCTGGGCTCATGTAGCACATTTAAAGCCCTATAATGCCACTTTAAAACTGTCATGGCGTCACAGAACCACAGCACTGTAGGTTTGGAAGGGATCCCCTTCCACCCGCATCGTCCAGCCTGGACACTGAAGTCCAGCTTGCGGTCCCCTCCTTGCGAGAAGTGAAGTTACAGGGAACCAGGCAGAGGGCCTTCTCAATAGTGGCGCCCGCCCTGTGGAACACCCTCCCGTCAGATGTCAAGGAAATAAACCACTACCTGGCTTTTAGAAGACATCTGAAGGCAGCCCTGTAACGGGAAGTTTTTAATGTTTGATGTTTTACTGTGTTTGATCTTTTAATTTGTTGGAAGCTGCCCAGAGTGGCTGGGACAACCCAGTCAGATGGGTGGCACATAACATACCCTCCAACATTTCTCTGATGAAAATAGGGATGTCCCATTCCACAATCATAATTGCACTGTTTCTACCCCACACGTCTTACTGGGTTGCCCCAGCCACTCTGGGCAGCTTCCAACATATATAAAAGCATTAAACTTTAAAAAAACTTTCCCTTTACAGGAAGGTTATTGGTATGTGGAAGGTGATAGGAAAAGAATTTACTGCTTGAGGGGTGGAATATCAAAGGTCCGCTCCTTTTCCCCATTTGTAGAATTTGGAACTCTGCATGACATAGTGAGAAGCCACGATGCCCCTCTGCGCCCCTCCTGCTATACCCCTGGACGTATCCTGGAAAAAGGGGCTGGCCAGAGCCTTGACTGAGAACACTCCACACAGGAACAGGTTGTTGCTGGTCTTACTTTTGTATCCTTAGCCACTGACCTAAGTTAACTGCACCCCAAAAATCCAGGCTACCACCTGAAGAACAACAGACCTTTGCAGTAGTACTGAAGGCCATCAAGAGAGGGGTGAGACAAGCCTCGCTTGGCAGGGATTTCCACAACTTAGGGGCGGCCACAGAAAAAGACACCTGCACCTGCCACTCTTCCAACAGCTTGCTTATTTTGTGTTGCTGTTGCAGGTGCAATTGAGACACATATTTGGGATATTGTTTGGCTTTGTTTTTATATACAGTTGTACCTCGGAAGTCAAATGCCTTGCGAGTCAAATGTTTTGGCTCCTGAACACCGCAAAGTGAGTGTTTCGGTTTGCAAATGTTCTTCGGAACCTGAACGTCCGATGCAGGTTCCGCAGGTTTTGATTGGCTGCAGGAGCTTCCTGCAGCCAATTGGAAGCTGTGGCTTGGTTTTGGAAGTCGAATGGACTCCCGGAACAGATTGCATTCGACTTCCGAGGTACGACTGTATCAAAACAGCCATCCACTTTGGAAAGCCATTTTATGGCGGGCGGGCCAAGGAAAATGGCACACAAACCATTCTTCGAATCAAATGAATATTCCTGTGTCAACAAGAAATCTGTCCAGGAACAACCCACCCTGGGCTAGATGATCACCCTGACAAGTGTTTCCAAGCAAATTCCAAATTTCCTTAGAAGTTACTGGACGCGGGAGATGTTTGGACTGGCTGGCGTGGAAGAGAAGGCATGTAATTAATACCGTGGCAGAGGAAACAGATCTGTATCTTGGAACAGCTGGGCGGCTCGCTTTTTGCAAACTTGGCACATTGAGGGGGAAGCGAGGCAGCCAACTGACTTAGCAATAAAAGAGAGAAGCCCCCGCCCCCCAATGCCATCCGCAGAGGAGCCTGTAACCCAGTAGGCTGTGAATTCTCCTGAACGCACATCTCCCCTTCTAAATTACTCTTCCCTTCTGGAATTTTGCACGCAAGTCAGCCATGTGGTGGACGAGTGTGTGGAGATCCTCATGCACAGTGTGAGGTCTCCTGGTATGGGTGATCGGGTGTCCTCCCTCGACAGTCCTCCACAGCAACCTGCCGTCTGGACTGAGATGCATGAGGGGCTGCCCTTGGAGGCTGCACCTGGTGCATAACACCTGAAGGAGCGTCTCCACCCCCATCGTTCTGCCCGGACACTGAGGTCCAGTGCCGAGGGCCTTCTGGTGATTCCCTCACTGCGAGAAGCCAAGTTACTGGGAACCAGGCAGAGGGCCTTCTTGGTAGTGGCGCCCGCCTGTGGAACGCCCTCCCACCAGATGTCAAAGAGAAAAACAACTACCAGACTTTTAGAAGACATCTGAAGGCAGCCCTCTTTAGGGAAGCTTTTAATGTTTAACAGACTACTGTATTTTAATACTTTGTTGGAAGCCGCCCAGAGTGGCTGGGGAAGCCCAGCCAGATGGGTGGGGTATGTATGTATGTATGTATGTATGTATGTATAAATAAATAAATAAATAAAATGCAGCTCCCAGGGTGGTAAATGGGGCAGTTTGATGGGACCATCATGCACCACCAGTCCTGAAGGCCCTGCGCCGGCTGCCAGTGAGTTACAATTTCCAGAGTGGTCAACTATCGCTCCGCCTTCCAAAGGAACTCTGGGAACTGAAGTCCAGTGAGGGGAATAGAAGGGTTTGCAAACAACTGTCAGCACCCTTAACAAACTACAGTTCCCAGGATTCTTTGCGGGAGGCCCTGACTGTTTGAAGTGGCGTAATAGTGCTTTAAATGTACTGTGCAGATGAGCCACTGTAGATTTTTAAGCCCTGTTCCCCACCAAGAGCTACAGTTTCCAAAGTGGTTTAAACAATCAAGCCCAGGGAATACTGGGAACTCTAGTTCTGTGAGGGGAAACAGGCAACTCCTAACAACTCTTAGCACACTTATTGTACCACAGAGCTCAGGATTCCTTCGGGGAAATCATGACTGCTAGTGCTATAACAGTGCTTTGGATATAAGGTATGGATGCAAGGTGTTACAAACTACAGCATAAAGCCCGAAATGGCTTAGCGTTGTAGAGTAGGAAGGGACCACAAGGGACAATGAAGCTGGATGTTGGAAGATTCAAGACAGGTAAAAGAAAGGACTTCTTCATGCAGTGCCTAGTTAAACTGTGGAACTCCCTCCCACAGGGGGAGGCAGTGATGGCCAACAACTTGGGTGGCTTTAAAAGAGGACTGGGCAAATTCTTGGAGGATTTCTAAAGGCAGGAAGGTTGGCACGAGTGAAGGTAGTCTTGCAAAAAAGAAAGAAAAGGTTTTTGGGTAAGAATATTAGGCCTTCTCTGTACTTCTTACTGCATTGCTGTACGATGTGACTCAACCAATCAAGATTGAGCGGCTCCTTCATCCAGCTGCCTGCAGCATGTTGACCGAGTCTCTCAGAGTAGTCAATGGGGTGCCTTCCAGGGGTTACTGGACTACAACTCTCATCATTCCTGATCACTGGCCGTGTTGGCTGGAGCTAATGGGACTTGTAGTCCAACTGGAAAGCATCTCTCCGGCTAAGCCTGTCCTAAAGCAACAGAATTTGGTTTAAATCTGGCTAGCCATCCTGGCTTGATAGGGAGGAACAAATCAGGACATCTGGATCTCCTAAGAAGCTGGTTTGCTTCCTGGGTAGATGCTTCCCAACTCTGGCTTGGGTCAGCCAGAGTGCCAGAGCTGTGCACACCAGCACACAGCTTGAGTTTTCTTAAGTCAGTGTTCTTGGTTTATCGCTACAAGTGAAGGTGGCCAAGAAGTGGCTGCTTCCATATGCAGTAGAAACTTACTTAATTAAGCCCCAGGGCTTGGAAGAGACACAGGTCCTACAGAGTAAAACTAAAAAGGAGCACAGTTCTGCGCATGTTTCACATAACTCAGAGGCAGCTCAAAACCAAGGAATGAACAAAATCAACCACCATTCCAAACCTCGCTATTTGTATTTGAGAGGGTTCCAGGCTCTAAGCAACGTCCAAACCACCACACGGTTCACAGGAAGTTAAGCAGGGCATGCAAGTATGTATTATGGACTACATGAAAATGGTGCGCAGCCGTGTGGGAGGCTGGAAAGTCCGATGGCCTGTAGGCTAATTTAAAAAATGCTCTGGAAGCTCTGGCAAGAATGACCTGTCATTTCCCCTTCTGGTTGCTGGGTGGGTGGGAAGAGGGAGGAAGGCAGAGGAAGAAGCAGGGAGAGGAGGAGGGGAAGTGACTGGTAGGGCAGAAGACAGGGAGATCTAGGATAGATTACCACACTCTGTTATACGTGGGGCTGCCTCTGAAGACTGTCTGGATACTTCAGCTGGTGCAGAATTCAGCGGCCAGGTTGCTCACTGAGGAAATACTGTTTGAGCATTTAAAGCCAATCCTGACCTGACTGCCATTCTGGGCCCAATTCAAAGAACCGGTTTTGACCTCTAAAGCCATTAATAATAATAATAATAATAATAATAATAAGTTGGCTGGAAGCAATGGGCAGTTTTGACAATCCCATAAACACAGTCCCTCCAGCAGCAAAACTTTTTTTGGGGGGGAAGCTTCCCACCCCTAACACAATGGCACAGCCAGCAATATTATATTAAATATTATTGTATCAATCAAATTACAGTGGTACCTCAGGTTACAGACGTTTTAGGATACAGACTCCGCTAACCTAGAAATAGTACCTCAGGTTAAGAACTTTGCTTCAGGATGAGAACAGAAATTGCATGGTGGCGGCGCGGCAGCAGCGGGAGGCCCATTAGCTAAAGTGGTACCTCAGGTTAAGTGGTACCTCATTCTGGAGGTCCGTTCTTAACCTGAAACTGTTCTTAACCTGAAGCACCACTTCAGCTAATGGGGCCTCCCGCTGACACTGTGCAATTTCTGTTCTCATCCTGAGGTAAAGTTCTTAACCTGAGGTACTATTTCTGGGTTAGCGGAGTCTGTAACCTGAAGCATCTGTAACCCGAGGTACCACTGTAGTTTCTAAGTGCATCACCATTAATAGCAATAATAATAACAATAACAATAATAATAATAATAATAATAATAATAATAAAATACACTGCACTCCCACCTGTTGTTGTCAATTTTTTTTCTGGACTCCTTTTATATATTTAATTCATTTGTAACCGAAGATCAAGAAAACACAAATTTTAATAATAATAATAATAATGTTAAAATGATCACAGATGATTTAGCTGAGGTTCCTGCAATGCAGAGGGTTGGACTAGATGACCCTGGGGGTGTCCCTTCCAACTCTATGGTTCCATGATTATGGCTGAGTTTGGTTCTGAGAACCCAGTTCCAGTCTCCTTCCACAGCCTGCTGGCAATCTGGGACTTTGGAAGCTCTTCAGATATTACCTCTATGTGACCCCCCTCACCCCCCCAATCCCAGTATGTCTTGGCCCTTTGACTCTCTCTTAATGGCCCTGTTTTTCAAGGGGAAGCAAGAACAGGCTGTGCAAAACGATGTTTGTGTCTCTCTCGTTCTTAGCTCGAGAGTCCAGAGTAAACTTATTTGTGGCACAGCTTCTCGGGTCAATATGTGCAAAGTCTTGTGTAAAAGGAGTATTCGGCGCAGGTTAAGTGTGGGTTAGAGAGCAGAGGCAGGAAAGGTGGGAGGAGGTCATCGCAAAAGCTGGTCAAATATGTACTTTGCTTTATGCGCAGAAGAACCCCACAAAAAGGCATTTCAAGGCAGAAAGCCACAACCTTTGGCAGGAGACACACTTGAGCGTTGTCAGCAGTCCTGCTGGACACTTGAGGCAGTTTACTGCCACCCCCCATCCCCCAATCAGCCGCCTTGTTTTCCCATTTTAAATGTGATGTTGAAATCCTAGCATAGGTTGGAGATAAAAACTGACTCGATTTGTTATTTTTGACCTGCTTTCCTTTCAGGAGACGTACGGAGCAGCTTTCAATATTAAAAATGATAACATATTAAAGTGGAGATAGACAGTTGTCGCAAAAAGAATCCCACACAGGCCATGCGTTTAAAAGTCATGGTGTCTCACGAAGAATCTTGGGAACTGCAGTCTGTTAAGGGTGCTGACAGGGTTGGGTTTTGTTTTTTTAAGACCCGTTCTCCTCTAAGAGCTACAATTTCCAGAGTGGTCAAATGTCACTCTGCCTTCCAAAGGAACTCTGGGAACTGAAGTTCTGTGAGGGGAATAGAGGAGTTTCCAAACAACTTTCAGCACCCTTAGCAAACTACAGTTCCCAGGATTTTTTGCAGGAGGCCCTGACTGTTTAAAGTGGCGTAATAGTGCTTTAAATGTACCGTGCAGATGGGCAACTCTAGGTTTTTAAGCCCTGTTTCCCGCAAAGAGCTACAGTTTCCAAAGTGGTTTCAACATTCAAGTCCAGGGAATTCTGGGAACTCTAGTTCTGTGAGGGGAATAGGCAACTCCTAACAAGTCACAGCATGCCTATTGTACCACAGAGCTCAGGATTCCTTCGGGGAAATCATGACTGCTAGTGCTATAACAGTGCTGAAATGTAAGGTATGGATGTGACCATGGGACACGGGTGGTGCTGTGGGTTAAACCACAGAGCCTAGGACTTGCCGATCAGAAGGTCGGCGGTTCGAATGCCTGTGACGGGGTGAGCTCCCGTTGCTCGGTCCCTGCTCCTGCCAACATAGCAGTTCGAAAGCACGCCAAAGTGCAAGTAGATAAATAGGTACCGCTGCAGCGGGAAGGTAAACGGCGTTTCCGTGTGCTGCTCTGGTTCGCCAGAAGTGGGTTAGTCATGCTGGCCACATGACCCGGAAGCTGTACGCCGGCTCCCTCGGCCAATAAAGCGAGATGAGCTCCGCAACCCCAGAGTCGGCCACAACTGGACCTAATGGTCAGGAGTCCCTTTACCTTTATGGATGTGACCAAAGGCAGTGACCAACCAGTGACTTCCCATCTAAGCCACTTTTGAGGTGGAAGCTCCATCTTGCTTGGCAAAGCCCAAGGGCTTGCTGCATCAATGATTTTCTGACTGAGAAGCATGAATAAAATTTGAATGGAAAAGAGGCCAGTAAACAACCCAGCCTAATGCTTCCTCGAGTATTTTGGCTGAAAGACCTACGCACACTCTTAAAGTAAGAGTAAGAGGTATGATAAGTTGAATGTCATGGACGGGCTGGACGCAGAGGATTGGTGGGAGGAACCAGCTGGGTAACCCCCAAGGGAAGAAGTCTCAGAGCCTGGGGAGTGGTGGTGGGACAATGACAGGTAGTCAGAGGGAGAAGTCTGGGAAGAGGAGGTGTTGGGAGATGGAGAGGTAACAGGGCTTAGTGAGCAGGGAGAGTCTGTGAAAGAGAGAGGTCCAGAGTCAGAGTCAGAAGCAGAGGCTGGAGAAGAAGAGGGCAAGAAGCAGAGATGAGTTAGGCTGCTGAAGAAGCCAGGGAGTTTCCCCCTCCTGCTACCCTCTCCCATGGTCTCCCAAGACCAGGAGAGGTATGAAGATGGAGAAGCAAAGACAGGCAAGTCGAATAAGTCTCAGATTTCAAGGGAAGGATCCAGGGGAGGAGGAGACTTAGGGAGCAGTGGGAAGGCAAGCACCTTCAGTCCTCACAAGTGTTTCATTGGGGCAAGTCCTACTGGGAAGAGTTGCTGTGCTCACTAGGCCTGAACTGTTCAGTTGCTTTGAATAAACAGTTAACTTCACAGACACATTGTGATTTATTGCTGACCTGCTCCCAACTCCCACCTTGACAGAAGACAATACTGAGCTAGATGGACCCAATGGTCTGACGCAGTGGAAGGCTGCTTCCGACAACCCGATGACTAACAGATTTGTTATGGCCGTTGTAATTTAAAGAAGCATTTCCGCCCCACCTCGTGGCTCACAAAGGGCCGTCCGAGGATTCAGGCAGATTTCATCGCACGCAATAGTTCCTCCCGGAGAAGAGCAACAGTAGAAGCTAAAACATTAAGTGATATAAACTCTTTGGAATTTCAGATCTTGGTAGCTAATGAGTCACTTGTTTCGGAGAGATGCATTTGTGGCAGGCAAGTGCAATGAGGCTGTCAGAATATTATGACATCTCTGCACATCAGACAGACGCGTTGAGTGGCTAACATTTTACAACTACGTTTTCCTTGGGTCCAGAGGAAACCCACTGAACTTAATGAACATGACGAATGTAGGTCCATTAATTTCAACGGGTCTACTCTCGAGGCAACATCCGCACCATTCATTTAAAACATTATGATACCGCTTTAAACAAGCACCCTGGGGACTTTTGCTTGTTACGGGGGCTGAGATTTATTAGGATACCCTTGTTTCTCTCAGAGTCCTACAATTCTCAACCATCAATCCGTCTTTTGGGAGTTGCAGCTCTGGGAAGGGAACACGGGGCTCCTGACACCTGTCAGCACCCTCAACAAACTACACCTCCCAGAATTCTTTGGAGGGAGCCCTGACCGTTTAAAGTGGAATACGAGTGTTTTAAATATATAGTGCAGATGAGCCATCGTCCCTATTTTCATCGGAGAAATGTGGAAGGGTATGCAAGCCCCGTGGGGGAAAGCTGAACCCCAAAGCAAGAGAGCTTCAGTAACGAAGGCTGCACCCAGACACCACACGTTTATTTGCATGGTGTGGATGTACCAGATAAGTAAAAATGGAGATGAAAAGGCACAATAAAGGACAACAGGGAGAGGAAGAATACTGACGGGAGGGGGGGTTCAAAATGTAATCGCTGCAATATCTCCTCATCTGCCACTTCACTTTTTATTGTGCAAATTCTCCAAATTCCAAGCCAGGATAAACCAAAGTCGACAGCCTGGATTATACAGATTAAGGAAATGCACTTGCTGGGTTTTGCTTCTGCTAGTTGGGGGGGGGGGGTGAGAAAAAACTCTCAGAATACTCAAGCCTTTGCTCCGCTGGAAGCTGTGTCCTCATGGTCTCCAGCATTTTCCCCACAGCGAAAGGGGCTAGCAAAAGACAGAAAGCTATTATAGAATTGTAGAGTTGGAAGAAGGGACCCTGAGGGTCATCTAGTCCAACCCCCAGCAATGCAGGAATTGCAGCTAGTGCATCCTTCTGCTTATAAACTTCCAAGGAAGGAAGAGTCCAACACCTCTCGTGGGAGTCTGTTCCACTGTCAAACGGCTCTTACGCTCAGAAAATTCTTATTGATGTTTAGTCAAAATCTCCTTTCTTGGAACTTAAAGCCACTGGTTCGAGTCCTACCCTCCAGATTAGGAGAAAACAAGCTTACTCCATCTTCCATGTGATGGCCCTTCAGATATTTGAAGATGGCGATCCTATCTATCTTTTCCAGGCTAAACATACCCAGGGTGGCTTCTTCAACCATTCCTCATATGGCTTAGTTTCCAGACCCTTGATCATCTTGGTCGCCCTCCTCTGCACATGTTTCACCTTGTCAACATCGTTCTTAAAACTGTGATGCCCAGAAATGGACTCAGTACTCCAGGTGTGTTCTGACCAAGGCAGAATAGAGTGGGATTATTACTTCTCTTGATCTAGATTCTAGACACTGTACTTCTGTTGATTCAGCCTAGAATAGCATTAACCAAGAACAGCATTAGCAGTCATGGATTCCCACAAATAATCATGGGAACTGCAGTTTGTTTAAGGTGGTGAGAGTTGTGAGTTGACCCCTCAAAGAGTTACAATTCCCAGAGTGGTTTAACAATCAATTCCTCTTCCCAGGGAATCCTGAGAACTGGAGATTTGTGAGGGGAATGGTGGTCCCCTAACAACACCCTTTACAAACTACAGTTCCCAGGACTCTTTTGGGGGGTAAGCAGTATCATAGTGCTTTAAATTCATAGTGCAGAAGGTAATAAGCTGCAAAGGTGCTGCGGAGTAGTGTAACCTGCCTGTAACTTTAAAAAAACGCATTATAGTTAAGAGTTTTGCTATTACAGTGGTACCTCAGGTTACATACGCTTCAGGTTACAGACTCCGCTAACCAGAAATAGTGCTTCAGGTTAAGAACTTTGCTTCAGGATGAGAACAGAAATCATGCTCTGGCGGCACGGCAGCAGCGGGAGGCCCCATTAGCTAAAGTGGTGCTTCAGGTTAAGAACAGTTTCAGGTTAAGAACGGACCTCCGGAACGAATTAAGTACTTAACCTGAGGTACCACTGTACCTACTGACTTACTTCAACACAACTTCTCAACAAACAATGGGGCAAGTGTGGCTTCGAGTGAGAAACATTTAAAAATGGAGACAGGGTTTAGAAGATATTTTTTTAAAAATTAAGTAAAAAGGATCCTTTCTTTGGTTTGCCCCAAAGTGTGCCACAACAGTCACCACTTTCTCTGCCTCTGGAATGGCAAATGGGAAGGAGAGAAAGCAGCTTTTATAGCTTGGCGTGGGCAGGCCTTACTGCTCAGGCGACATAGTTGCCGATCTCCATTCTGCAAAAATGAATTTCCACATCTTAATCCTACTTATTTGCAAGTATGCACACTGAGCGGGATGAAGGTGGTGACCTATTTATAGGGGAGGAGCTCTAGGAAGAGATCAGGATCTGGGGTTCAGGTTAACAGAGTGTTCCTAAGCATGTGCAAAGTCCCTCTCGTTCAACAAGGATGCATCTTTACCTAACAGGAGCCAATTTGTGCTTCTGGTGTGTTTAAACTCAACAAATCTCACTGTAGGCAAAAAATGCCAGCTTTAATAAAATAATAATAATAATAATAATAATAATAATAATAATAATAATAATTTATTACCCGTCCTTTACCCTAAGGCAACAGGGCGGGTCACAACAATTTAAAATATAACATTAAAAACAGTTTAAAACAAATTACAATCACAAGAATTGGGTGGCTCCTAAAAATATACATCTCAAGTGTCAAAGTGCAGGGCAGAAGGCCATTCACTCAGCAGCTTCCAGAAATTAACCCATGCGATCTCAGTGTGTGATCGCACAAGTAGGACACAGGTGTGCTCTGTTTGGATGTTACCATAGAAGGCAATTGTAGCGCAAGTGGTTGAGAGTCAGCATGGCATTGCCAAGGCTGGGCTATGGCAGAGTCACAGAACTGTAGAGTTGGAAGGGACCATGAGGGCAGCATTTGGAATGAGCTGAGCACAGGGCACGTTTTGAGAAGGGCAACTGGCCTTTTCTGCAAGGAAGTGGAGGTGTTTGGCTGCCAGGTTTGGCACCTAACATCTCCATCTGGCTGGCTGGCGTGGCTGCGATGCTGTTCCAGTCAGCTGGCCTGTGGAGCAGTGCAGCAGCAAGAGACACACACATCTTTTGTTGCCACAATGCCCTGTGGATCCCCTGAGGCACACCTTCTGGTGCTGTGCGAGCCAGGTGATTCGCACCCATGCATATCTTTTGCTGCTGCGCTGCCCCACAAACCATTTGCTTCATAATTTGGTTGTTTTTTAAAAAAATGCAGGTAGACATATCATTGTGATGACCATATCCTTGCTTTAAGGTGCCACTTGGCTCCTAGATTTTATATCTCAGTTTCTAATCCTGCACAAGGGTCATCTACTCCAACCCCCTGCAATGCCGGCATGTTTGGCCCAATGTGGGGCTTGCACGGCCCCCAGGATTAAGAGTCTTACGCTCTACCAACTGAGAAGCTCAAGGTGGGGCAGAATCTAGGAAGCAGGAACCGTGAAACAAGTCACTAGTCAGGACTGGAATCCACGTGATCAAGACAGAACAAACGGAGATCAAAGAATAACAAAGGATCCAGAAACACACTTAGGAAGATCTTGATGCTCAAGCAGTGCTCAAGTGAAACAGGAAGTCCCCTTCTGCACTCCTTCCTCTCCAAGACAATCCAATGGCCAGTCTGGGCAGGCGGAGTCAGTCTAGGGCGAGAAGCCGCTGCCTGCAATTCAGTGGCTCGTCACATGGGGCAGACACAAGCGGATCCTGCAACTCTCTTCCATAACAGCATCCACATTGTCCAACGTTCAAAGCACACTCAGTACACATTTGAAGGACATGGTTTTTCCCCAAAGTACCCTGGGAGCTGCTGCTTGTTTGAGGAATTACATCTTTGCGAGGGGAAACGGCAGTTCCCATGATTCTTTGGGGATGCTTCAAATGTATGGTATGACTCTGCCTATTAATGTCTTACTCAGCCACAAAGTCTCACCGTGGGACTTGGACCATTTCTTAAGGCCAAACCACACATGCACATGTTTATTCAACACACACACTTGCCAATTCAGCAATAAATTGGGGGTAGTATATTGGGGGGTGAGGAGGGGAGCAAATGGCAGCATCTGATACCAGGAGTGAATAGTCAGACAAAAAGCACCTTAAAGTAGTCAGGAGTGTTGGTGAGACAAGGTAGGAATTGAGGGGCAAGATTTGCAACCATCTTGGCTGTCAGTCCTGGAAGACCTGCTCCCTGCCTTGCAGGCCTTTCTTTTCCCACCTGGCCTGGGAGGGTAGGACCCGGACTGACTCCAACTACAGAAGCTGAGGTTGCTGAACGGACTCTTGGGCTGAGGTGTTGTTTGTCAGTTGTTGTTGTTTGTTTCACTGTTGTTGTTGTTTTTTTTGCATCTATAGCTGTGATTTGTATGGAAACTGTCTAGCTAAGTTGTGTATTTTTATTTAAAAATGTTTTGTTTATTGTTTATGACTACTTTTACATTGCAGTTATGTCTTTTCTTTCATGCTGTAAGCTGCTTTGAACTGTGGAAAGGCGGCACACAAATAAAATTATGTATGCATGTATGTATCTGTTTCCATACTTCTCTGTTGAAAGTTAACATGTGCCCCAATCCAGAATTATGTTCAAACAAGGGAGCATGCACTTCCAGATGTGGGGAACCCTTCACCCTCCAGATGTTGCTGAACCACATCTCCCATCAGGCCTAGCAAGGATGGCCAATGGCCAGGGATGATGTGAGTTGTAGTTCAGCAGCATTTGGAGAGCCAAGGGTTCTGCTTGCCTGCCTTAACTCAAAAGGATTGTGGCAAGGATGAAAGAGTCTGGATTGAAGAAATGTAAGGGAATACCTCCCCTAAAACCAAACAACTCAAAAGATTGCTAGTCAGTCTAAATGAAGAGTGGAATTTGTCCCCCAATGTCAAAATATGAAATCGTTAAGGATTAGCGCCTTCCAACAATCAGGGTTATCATGGTATAAAAATTTCCTAGGAGCTTGCAAACGAGTTGTGAACTCTGTACTACTTATCCTTAAACAGTAATAATACTTCATATGTTTGCTTCTTTAAAAACAAGAAAACAAAGGAGAGCATTCAAAAAGGATGAAACACACCCACCCGCCAACAAACTGAAATGGTACGTCCCAAAATACTACTGGCCAATTTATGCATCCAGCAGAATCCAAGTGGCAAAGCAGCAGTTCCTGGCTGTACCACATCAGACTGCAGGTGGGTTTGTTTTGTGTTTTCCATTTTGGAGGGGGAGGGAATCTCCCTGCACAGAGAGAAGTAGCATGTCAGGAAAAAGCTTTCAGCTTTGCCTTTTATGAAAAATGAAGGCATATATATATATGGAACAGGCAAACCTCCATGGAAGTGGTGTAGCCCAGGAAGTGTTTAAACACTTGTTTTTGCTCACTGAACTTTCGGCAATAGGTCCAATGCTACTGAGAGCATCACTGGCAGTGGGGAGACTGGTACATGACTCCTGTCGTGTAAATAACTGGCCATTTTGTGGCAGGTGGTAACAATTCTTCACAAAGAGGCTGGTCATGCCATATGAATCCAACTCTTTTTTTTTAATGGAAGCTTTTCCAGGATTTCTGCAATGTGTTAATCACAGATACAATAGAACTTTGTGCTCCGGTGTAAACCCCACATTTTAAGACAAGAAGGAATTAAAGGTTATCGGTGACATCTGAAAAGCCTTTGGGATTCCTCCCAAAAGTGCCACAATTAACAATGCAACAAAAGGGAATCGTCACCATCCATTGGGGAGCGGGCGGGCGGGGGGAGAGAAAGAACGGAACTAAATGTTTAAAAATAATTGTGTTGCATTTTAACTGCAAACAAGTTGAAATGTAAACAAGCTGTAAACAAGGCAAAGACAGATAACGTTACACAGCAAACAATGTCAACTGCCAAGCCGCAAATCGGGGAAATTTCAAAGCAATGAAGTTTAAACTTGAGATAAGGGATAGTAATCAAATTAAATGGCAAACATGCCCATTCATTCAGCCACATTATTAAGGTGGGATGGGCGGGGTGGGGGTAGAGAAACATGTCCTTCCCCTTCATTTTCAATCTGCAATTCAATTTTAAAACAAATACACACACACACAATTTATTAGCGGTTTCCCCTGGGCCCCAGGAGTGCTTGGTTATTAGAACTGGTTTCTGAAGTGGATTCCAAGCAGCAATGCAAAAACACTTAATTCCAAACCAAGAGTGGAGTTTAGGAATTATTTCTCTTAACCCCCATCTCTGCTCTATCTGCAATAGAGGGGGGGGCGGGCGGAGGCAGCACTCAACCCTCTATTTACAATATATTTGCAATTCAAATTGTATCCATCCAAGAAGCACTGGTATTGAGTGTGTGTGGTGAGGAAGGGGGGCGGGTGGCTATTCACTTTACTTCTCGGTAAACATAATAATACAGTCTTAAAAACAACAACAACAGCAACTCGATATATTCACGGATCGGGAACCTTTGACTTCATTTCTCCCCCGCCTTCATTTTCCAAAAAGACAGGAAGAAAGAAAAATATGAACAACATGATGTTGCAGGAAACCCACGAAAGTCGCCTCTTGCATACTTAGCAATAAACGTACCTTTTTGACTAAACGCTACATGGTCTTAACTGCTAGCACAATTCTGTGCACAGAAAATAAAAACACACATACACACCAATACAGCCTCCTCTGTCCCCTCCTCCCCTCTTCACGGCTGCTCTTTGTTGTTCTGACCGAGTCCTTAGTTTTTCTTTTTGGGGGGCGGGGAACCCCCCCCCGCCACTTAACCCTCGGTTTATTCACTTTTTATAAAACACACACCGCCGCCTAAACTTAGCAATGCACGCAAAGAAAACCCCTGCCGGCAGCTGTTTAAATCCATCAGCATCTTTTAAAGCAGATTTGGGGTTTTTTCTTAAAAAAAAGACTATATGGGGGGAGGGGAAGAAGGGGGCGTGTTTGTGCAGAAACTCGCAAAAAAATTAAAACAAAAATAAAACGAAAAGCTCTCACTGGACCGGCGAAACCATTTAAGGATAGCAATAGGAAAAGAAGTGGGGGTGGTCGGGGGGGGGGGTTGACCCATTAACCCTAACCCTCCCCACAACCTTGATTCCTGTATGGGAATTAGTCAAGCCCCTACCGCCCCCCCCCCCTTTACAGCAGTGCTTCGTCTCGTTGGCCTCTTGTTAAAGCTGGCAAGGCTGCCGAGCAACACCCCCCCCGGTGAAAAAGGGGGTCCCCCGTTACCTGGTCTTGGAGGAGAGAAAAGCTAGCTTGATCAGCCCGTAGGTAAACAACTGGATTCTCTCCTTGGCGACACTAGCTACTTTTAGTCGGTGCTCTAAAATGTGCAATTCCATCTTTTCCTCTTTTTCATTTGTAGTTCATCAGTTTTGGGAGCCTCTTGTTTGTTGCCTGGGAGGTTTCGGGGGGTGGGGAGGAGCAGGAGGAGGAGGAGGAGGAGGATGGGGGGTGTCTTCCTCTTTGTCCGAAAGGGGTATTTTCCCACCCTCTTCCTTTTACGTCTCCAACGCAGGCAGAGAGTGGAGGAGGAGGAGGAGGAGGAGGAGGAAAATAATGACTTTGAAAAAGGGATGGAAGAAGAAGATATTATTTGTCATGGAATTAACAAGGCGGTTGGTTGCAGGGGGGGAGAGGGAAGATTTTTGCTAACTAAAGAAGTGGCGCTGATGGAGGGAGAGAAAAGAAAGAAGCAAAGCCAACAAAAAAAAAAGAAAGAAAGAAAGAAAGAAAAAAGAGGAGGGGAGAAAAGAACAGCTGAAGCTGGAAGGAGAGGGGAGAGATTCAGAGCGCAGAAAAAGCGGCTGCTGTTTCAATGTAACAAACAACTTGCCAGTCAAACGGGCCCTCAAGTGGGCATGCGCAGGAGCGCGGAGCATTCTGGGAGGTGTAGTCCAGAGGGCGGAGCACGGGTCAGGAGTTGGGGGTTTTGCCTTGTTTATTTTTTAAGGACTCCCCCCCCCTCCGCGAGGTGCTTCCAAAATAAAAGAGTCCTTGGCGAGTCGTCCGGGTGCCTTGCAAACAGAGACTATTCTTTCAGCTGATCTTATTGCCTTTTATGGGTACGAAGCTTTTCAAATGATACCACGATTTAGAATGGAATGTTGTTGTTGTTGTTTAGTCGTGTCCGACTCTTCGTGACCCCATGGACCAGAGCACACCAGGCACTCCTGTCTTCCGCTGCCTCCCACAGTTTGGTCAAGCTCATGTTGGTAGCTTCGAGAACAGTGTCCAACCCTCTTGTCCTCTGTCATCCCCTTCTCCTTGTGCCCTCCATCTTTCCCAACATCAGGGTCTTTTCCAGGAAGTCTTCTCTTCTCATGAGGTGGCCAAAGTATTGGAGCCTCAGCTTCAGGATCTGTCCTTCCAGGGAGCACTCAGGGCTGATTTCCTTCAGAATGGAGAGGTTGGATCTTCTTGCAGTCCATGGGACTCTCAAGAGTCTCCTCCAGCACCATAATTCAAAAGCATCAATTCTTCGGCGATCAGCCTTCTTTATGGTCCAGCTCTCACTTCCATACATCACTACTGGGAAAACCATAGCTTTAACTATACGGACCTTTGTTGGCAAGGTGATGTCTCTGCTTTTTAAGATGCTGTCTAGGTTTGTCATTGCTTTTCTCCCAAGAAGCAGGTGTCTTTTAATTTCATGACTGCTGTCACCATCTGCAGTGATCATGGAGCCCAAGAAAGTAAAATCTCTCAATGCCTCCATTTCCTCCCCTTTGCCAGGAGGTGATGAGCCCAGTGGCCATGAGCTTCGTTTTTTTGATGTTGAGCTTCAGACCATATTTTGCGCTCTCCTCTTTCACCCTCAATAAAAGGTTCTTTAATTCCTCCTCACTTTCTGCCATCAAGGTTGTGTCATCTGCATATCTGAGGTTGTTGATATTTCTTCCGGCAATCTTAATTCCGGCATGGGATTCATCCAGCCCAGCCTTTCGCATGATGAATTCTGCATATAAGTTAAATAAGCAGGGAGACAATACAGAATGGAATACGATCTGCAAAACACGTTTTTATGAAGTGATGGCCGTGGAGGAGAGGGGCAGGTGGGGCTTGTCCATCTAGGAATGTAGCCCGTCTTCTAGGAGAAGGAAAACTCTGATCCTAACTGATCCTCCTCTGCCTTGCAGCTCTATTCATTGGTGAGAAAGGCTTCCGGAGCAAACCCTGATGAGCAATCGGATGCCTTGCGGGACACTCAAGGGCATCCTGATCAAATTTGCAGATGACACCAAATTGGGAGGGGTGGCTAACACCCCAGAGGACAGGATCACACTTCAAAACGACCTTGACAGATTAGAGAACTGGGCCAAAACAAACAAGATGAATTTTAACAGGGAGAAATGTAAAGTATTGCACTTGGGCAAAAAAATGAGAGGCACAAATACAAGATGGGTGACACCTGGCTTGAGAGCAGTACATGTGAAAAGGATCTAGGAGTCTTGGTTGACCACAAACTTGACATGAGCCAACAGTGTGACGCGGCAGCTAAAAAGCCAATGCAATTCTGGGCTGCATCAATAGGAGTATAGCATCTAGATCAAGGGAAGTAATAGTGCCACTGTATTCTGCTATGGTCAGACCTCACCTGGAGTACTGTGTCCAGTTCTGGGCACCACAGTTCAAGAAGGACATTGACAAACTGGAACGTGTCCAGAGGAGGGCAACCAAAATGGTCAAAGGCCTGGAAACGATGCCTTATGAGGAACGGCTAAGAGAGCTGGGCATGTTTAGCCTGGAGAAGAGGAGGTTAAGGGGTGATATGATAGCCATGTTCAAATATATCAAAGGATGTCACATAGAGGAGGGAGAAAGGTTGTTTTCTGCTGCTCCAGAGAAGCGGACACGGAGCAATGGATCCAAACTACAAGAAAGAAGATTCCACCTAAACATTAGGAAGAACTTCCTGACAGTAAGAGCTGTTTGACAGTGGAATTTGCTGCCAAGGAGTGTGGTGGAGTCTCCTTCTTTGGAGGTCTTTAAGCAGAGGCTTGACAACCATATGTCAGGAGTGCTCTGATGGTGTTTCCTGCTTGGCAGGGGGTTGGACTCGATGGCCCTTGTGGTCTCTTCCAACTCTATGATTCTATGATTCTATGATTCTACATCTTCAGGAGAAGAAAAGGCTAAGGAGTAGACCCTACACAAATCTGGAGTGGAGCCTGTTAAGTTGTGGGTGAACATATCAGACGACACAGCGATTCTTCAGACAGCTCTTGTTTATTCACAGGCCAGAACAGAACTAGGCTGAAGGGTTCAGCCAACCTGCTTATATAGATCTCAACTACAAAGCAACAGTAACAACTTTCTGTAACTATCCAATCACTGAACGTCACTTTCAATTCCTTATTTGCATATGCGGACCTGAGTGAGATACTGACCTATCTACAGTATCCCCCCTGCTGGCCCAGGGTGAGAACTTTGGTACATAACAGAGTCCCTAAGATGGTTGGATGGTGCCTTGTGCGCCTCCTTCCGGCAACTCCTGCAGCCAAGCTGGTGCCAAATGTATTGCTCTGCTTTCCTTTGAACCACATCAGTAAGGTTGAGAGAAGGGTCTTGTCATCTGGGCAGCCCAGGACCTCCATATACACTGCCCAGGTTTGCGTTCTGGAGAAGTCACTTTGTGAGCTTCTAACACACCAAAAACAATGTGGGAGGCAGTGGTTACGAGCTACCAGTCTTTGCAGCCACAGCTGCCGCTGTGATTTCCTAGTGCAGAGCTTTCTAAACTGTGTCCTGACACCGTTAGTGTGTCGGCTGCAGTGTGTGGGTGTGTTGCACAAATGCTTGCCGTGCTCATCCCGGGGCAGGAAAGGGGTTAGTTTAACCTCTGGTTTACTAGTAAAACTGAATTACTGTCACGAAATGATGCATGTCTAAAAAAGCATGTCAGCAACATGAAAAGTTGGGAAAGCTCCTCTAGCAATTTGACCTTCGGTGGTGCACTCCATTGTCTTTCAAGACAGATGAGTGCCATAATAGAAGGGACATTTTTTCATATGTGGTGGGATTGTAAAATTATAAAGAAATATTGGGAAATGATCTATAATGAAATGAAGAAGATGTTTAAAATAACCTTTGTCACCCAGAAGCTTTCCTACCAGGCATTACAGGAGTGGACTTACCAAAATCACAAAATAATTTGTTTATGTATGCAACTATGGCTGCACGGACTTTATTAGCACAACATTGGAAGGAAGAAGGTGTCCCAGCTAAAGAAGACTGGCAAGTTAAATTAATGGAATATGCTGAAATGGCAAAATTGACAATGAGGAAGAGACGACAACAAATTTAAGGAAGAATGGAAAATGTTTATTTCATATTTACAGAAGCATTGTACACAGGTTAATACATTGTTGTTGTTTAGTCGTTTAGTCGTGTCCGACTCTTCGTGGCCCCATGGACCAGAGCACGCCAGGCACTCCTGTCTTCATTTTATATGCCTGTTGTCTTTGTCTTTGTTATCTTTGTTAATACATTAGCAGGGTTTTAAGATTACTTGTAATTTTGTTATTAATGGATAATAGGTAATTTAAATAGGTTCTAAATTTAATGATGGACATGCAGTATGTTGATAAATAATAGAACCAAGGAAGGGACAACTAGAGGGAAGTCAATTTGTTTTGCTTTTGTTGTTGTTTTTATTTTTGTTATTTTTGGAAAATTAATAAAATGTTATCAAAAAAGAAAAGAAAAAAGAGACAGATGGATGCCAGCAACATGGAGGAGAGGGCTACTGATAACTACGAACCACAATGGCTAGGCTCTGTCACCACAGCTGGGGGCAGCAGTGCTTCTGAATACCAGTTGCGAAAAACCACAAGAGGGGTGTGTGCTCATGTGCTTGAATCCTGCTCTCTGGTTTCCCACAAGCATCTGTTTGACCACTGTGAGAACAAGATGCTGGGCTACATGGGTCACTGGCCTGATCCAGAAGGTTCTTCTTATGTTTTTAAGTTAGTATAAAGCTTTGGAATGGGTCTTTGGTTGCTGTTGTTTTTGGGAGAATTTTTGTGAACGGAATGAAGCTTCACCATGCCCCTTGCCTCAGTCCAAGCCATGGGTAGGTAAACTAAGGCCTGGGGCCTGGATCCGGTTCAGTTACCTTCTAAATCCAGCCCGCGGACGGTCCGGGAATCAGCGTGTTTTTACATGAGTAGAATGTGTGCTATTATTTAAAATAAAGCAATGACAAACCTAGACAGCATCTTAAAAAACAGAGACGTCACCTTGCCAACAAAGGTCCGTATAGTAAAAGCTATGGTTTTCCCAGTAGTGATGTATGGAAGTGAGAGCTGGACCATAAAGAAGGCTGATTGCCGAAGAATTGATGCTTTTGAATTATGGTGCTGGAGGAGACTCTTGAGAGTCCCATGGACTGCAAGAAGATCCAACCTCTCCATTCTGAAGGAAATCAGCCCTGAGTGCTCCCTGGAAGGACAGATCCTGAAGCTGAGGCTCCAATACTTTGGCCACCTCATGAGAAGAGAAGACTCCCTGGAAAAGACCCTGATGTTGGGAAAGATGGAGGGCACAAGGAGAAGGGGACGACTGAGGACGAGATGGTTGGATAGTGTTCTCGAAGCTACCAGCATGAGTTTGATGAAACTGCGGGAAGCAGTGGAAGACAGGAGTGCCTGGCGTGCTCTGATCCATGGGGTCATGAAGAGTCGGACACGACTAAACGACTAAACAACAACAACATTATTTAAAATGCATCTCTGGGTTATTTGTGGGGCATAGGAATTAATTCGTGTGTTTCCCCCCAAAATATAGACCAGCCCCCCACAAGGTCTGAGGGACAGTGGACCGGCCCCCTGCTGAAAAAGTTTG